AGCCCCGCAAGGCGTGTTACAGTGCTTGTAACGGTTATCCTTGATGTGCCGTGCCGTATTCACGGGGTAATCCCTGTCTCTCGTTCTCGGGGAGGAAGTTGTCCATAGGGCTGCAAAGGAATAGGATTCTGAAATGCGGAGTAGTACTGGCAAGCCGGTGAGGCTGGGACTTCACGGCGACTTATTACGCATTAGGGAATAGGGGCATGCTCATATAGACCAGGGGGTTAGGGCGAGCTGTTTCAGGACTTGTCAGATCGTGAAGTGTCGGATAAGTGTCAGAGAGTAGGGAGTGGCGTCGGCGACCAAGTTATCTGGATGCCTGGTGGAGGTGATCAGAACCCCCATATTGAACTGACCATTGGGTACTCTGTAGGGAGTGCTTTGTAGACTATACAATACACTGATAGATCTTCCAAGTTACGAACGCGTTCAATTTACACATCGTGTACATCAGAGTAGAATTGACGAATAAGAAAAAACCACAGACAGTCTCTCGAGTCTCATCAAAACCTAAGCCACGTTCCTTTCAGCCAAGAGCCCGAAATGTCGATCGCCGGTCGCCCAAGAACCACAATCGGTGATAACAATGAAAAGGCCAACAGCAAAGCCGATTCTCCCTGGTAATTTGGGAAAGGGGAAAGGGCAAGAGAAGGGGAGGGGGGCACAGCTTGCGCCCGACCAAACCAGTTCGTTCAAACCACGCCGTGATCCTCGTAGTACTGGGAGGCGGGAACCGCGCTAGTTGGACTAACTAACTAGCTACGGCACACTTGCTGCACTCTGTAACAACCACGGGCCACGGGCCGTGGGGACGACTTGGGCACGAATTTGGGAATGATTTTGCCGACTAGAGGGCTCTGCGCATTGCTTAGCTCTGTTCAGTTACTTAGTGCTGTGCTTTACGTCGAGCCTCGAATGTCAACGCCGACGTCCTCCGTGCTTTACTGAGTACGGAGGACAGACAGAGGACCGAGAATCGAGGGTGGAGGCGTCTTAGGAGGTCAATGCTGATGCATGACGCAGGAACAGAGCTCACAATCAGGAGCTTAGTTGGTTGAACCATCACTACGGTGGATTCTAGAATCCGTACGGATAAGACATTTCTCGTCGGAAAAACGAGATGGAACTGTGCTGTGCTCGACGAGAAAACCTATCCCACTCATTAGATACCTGCTATCGATCCCGGATAATCTATAGCATTGAGCGGTGTATATAGGCGCCACCTAGCCGTCGGTCATGGACTAGGTCATTATTTTGGCCCCTATCGCTTAGGCGAAGCACGTCGAATCGTTGAAGGCGGGAAAAATAGTCAGTAGTCACTCTGCTTTAGTATGGAGTCTAGTACGGATCACGATCGCCCTCATGGCGTCACAGACGCGCCACGCCCCGAATTTTTTATGCCCGAAGTGAGCCTTTCCGGACACGCAGACCCGGACGAGGTTCGTGGTGCGGGCGCGGGGACCAACGGACATCGACACGGGTTGGGATGTGGCTTCTTAGGATGCAGTCATGGATAATACGCGACTGGATTACCAAATTACTCGGTCGAAGATACACCGCGAGGCAACGTGAGAAGGCAAAGCCACACAACTTCGCGCGTACAAAACAACTTTTCTTGCTCATGGATTGCCGAGTACGGCAATTGACACACAAACTACTGACCAACTCCTGTACCTACCTTATACATGTGTCACGAATTAAACTTAATCAAGTTACCGACCTTCTCAAACGGTTAACTCCTGCCAGAACACTAAAACTCCCTGTTCGAACTTCGACCAGAAGATCACAAAGTCCAGAACGCACCCGCAAGGGCCCAACCCCCGATCGGCGGTCGTACCAGCATGATAGAACTCTATCAGGGTAAGTAGACGCCGATCTAATCGGGTCGTTCGCGCACCGCCCAGAAGGATGGCTGGAGTTGAATGTTTGGCTCGCTGGAGGCCGAAGGGCGAGGGATCGTCAGGAGTCCACTTGACGAGACGCCCGGTGGAGAGGGCCATCAGACGGTGGCCGCGTGCCCGGAAGTAAGAATAGTAGGGCACTTGACACGGAGGGGTGTGCTTGTAGCCGTTCAGAATGATAAATTAGGGATGAGAATATATTCACGGTATAGTAATTCGCAGAACAATTAGAGACATTGTGAACGACAGAGTCTACAAGGCGGCTATGGACTCGATAGTACCTGCTATGTTCAGGTACAATTTTTACACTTGCTCTTCTGGAGCTCTCGGTCTTCCACCTTTTAGGGTTTCCGCCCAGCCGCGTCTGAGACGCTGGCGCCGTTCTTGACTTTTTCCGTCGGGCTTCTCCCTTGTTTCGAACCCCTTTAGCTGCAAACTCAACACCCCACTAGGGGCTCCTCCCACGCCGGCAATGACGAAATTGAAGGGAGTTCGTAGGCATAGGGCGTGTGGGATATCCGAGATTGTACAGATTATCCAGAAAATTCTTGTATCAGATACTTTAGGACAAAGATGGGGTTAAAATACGAACCATAAGATTCTGGTACAATGCTTACACTGAATGAGTCTCGTCCGGTCTGGTTGGATAAAAGACCGCAGTTAGGGTTATCACCGGGACGGGAAGAACGAACTACTCCTTTCCAAAAGAAGCCCGGGTTCCCCTGGTAGCAAGCTGCTAACCAGCTAGCTAACTAGAGCTATTGTACCTGTTCTACTGTACCTGGACCCAAGGTTGAAGAAACACCCTAAAGGACGGGAGGACGAAACGACAACCAAGAATACCAAAAACCAGAACCAACAGTAAGTAACCAAGCGAACCAACAAATCCCGACCGGTATCACAAACGGGCCTATCCCCCGCATCCCAAATCTGAGACAGCATCGCATGTCCTCATACACTCATGCTCATGCTTTTCCATCTTTTCGCGCAAACCTACGTTCCCCGTATCCCCTGCGCGACCGGTGAGTTCCGGAAACTCTTCCCGTAGGCTGGCTAGCATCGACGAACTTCCGAGAGGGCGCGGGGGTGGACGAGAAGCAGCCGGTTGGCTATACGATTCATAACCTTGCAAAATTAGGTGGAAGAAGAGGGAAGACCATATTACGGAATTCCGACGATTTGCCCCTCCCAATGGTAGAACCTCGGGTTAAGAGTATAGACCGCATGAAGGACGGATGCCTCCACGACAGACTTGAATTCAAGAGTGTGAATTATAGATCTAGAACTTCTGAAAGATTTTCCAGATGGGCGATGAGGGTTACGGCACCCTCCGAGATCTGCGTGTGATTTTCCGATCGGCTGTGATTAGGATCGCTTGGAAGAGAGTTTCACCGTAGAATTGGGTGGAAATGTGATGAGAATCTGTGTTCTAGAGAGACACAAATGCATATACCGACGAGGAATGACAGGTGAACTGCCGAGGAGCACATGTCCATAGCCTCAAGACGATGGAGAAGTACGGGGTACATACTATATCGCTTACAACCTCCGACTAGCCCAGATACTACTATAGTATCCTTATGATAATTGATCCAGCTTGTGCAAATAAGGATAAAAGGCCCACGTCAAAGACGATAAATTACCCACGATTAATTAACCCCTCGATTTATCCTCTCCGTAGATTTTGCCAAATTGCCAGACTGTCACATTGGCCAGATTTACCAGATTAAATCTCTTTTTTACCCCACCACCACCAGCCCTCCGGGACGCGATAGACAGAGACTAGCCTACTACGATCGGGTGGCCGGCGCTGCCCAAGACCCAAGGTCGACATTCGTGGAAGATCTAGTCCCAAAAAGGTGGGTGGTAGGTCCTCGACGGTACCTAATTAGGATGGTCGTCATGGCGCGACTTACTTCGTATGGTAAGGAACGGGGAGGAACGAGGGACTGGGACTGCGACATTTGCTAATTATTTCCATAGTTACTAGCCACGGTACTGTAGTAGCAGAGTCGCTAAACGCTCTAGTCGCTCCCCATAGTGAATTACAGCACTACGAGCTTAGCAGTACTTCTCGCAGGCGTAACAGTCCCCTCTCTTTCAGACAAAAACCGTTGACAAGCCGCCCCGGCCGAGGCTACGCTAGCGACGCGGGGAAAAGACACCAGCACGTCAGCGAGCGAATGATAGTCTCGCATGGCGCATTTTGAGAGATATTTAGGGGGGTGGTGTACTCCTAGGGAAGGCAATTACTAGGCAGGGCGGGATTTCTGCTATTCGAAGGATTCGAGAAATTAAATGAAACTGCATGAAGCCGAAGCGAAGGTCTTCTCCGGAGAACCAAAGCAAAAGTCCCATGCGCATTCCATCACAAGCAGAATTGTAGTTACGGAGTAAGGAAAATTAGATTGAGGATGTGAGGGGATAGACCGAGGAAGCCGGCACGTCTTCTTCTTCGGTAGACGAATGGACGGGGCCTCCCGTACAGAATGCAGAGTGCAGATGCAGGCACGAGCATTTCCAGCATGCATGTACGGAGGATCGAGTACGGAATACTGATTGCCTGCTCTATTTTATCCAGGGTTTATTTTCGGGAGGTTGCGTGTGCCCTCCGGTCCACTTCTCGAGAGGAAGAAAAGAAAAGAAAAAAAAAACAAACACAAACACGTTAGAAGCCGAAAAGAAGATCGTCACTAAATTAAAAAAAATACGAAAACCAAAAATAAATCTAGAACCCAGGTGAGTACATGAGTGCGTACTGTGACAGTATCGTACCGGCTTGTTTAGTTTCTCACGCCGATACTTACTCGAGAGGGCTAAGCGGGCTCCACCGTCAAACACGTTCCGAGGAAGCAGTCGCACGAAGCCATTCGGTCGGATCCGTCTGGTTGGGACTATTCCGTGCTCAAGGTAAAGATAGGAGAACAAGATATCTATGATAGACAGTATAGATCTAGATAGGTTATAGTTCTACCGGTGATAGCCCAAAGTATATATTATAGAGCATATTAATCGTTTGGATCGAATTGGAATAAATAATAAATTAATCTAGATCCACCTGAGGTCTTTGTCGTGCAACGGTCGAGCCCTCTAATCATCGTGGAGCGCCCCTGAACGTCCGGGCCCACCGGGGCTCCGTTCCATACAGATGCAGCTATACTCCGTACGGAGTGTGTACTACTCCTTTTGCGAGGACCAGTTATGAATATTACCTGAATAATTCGAGCACGTTGCCAGATCTCCATGGTACCCATACCGTCTTCTCCATACCCTTCTCCTACTACGGAGTACTACAGTACTCGCAGTCTACGACTATCGTCCTTCTCTATCGTGAGTTCTTATTATAACTCCCGCCCTAGCCCGATATTTTGGATCCTCCCCTCCTCCCCTACTCTCGCTCTCTCCCCCAGAAACCTCCACAATCATTCTACTTTCTCGACCTTTTCCTCAATCTTTCATTAAAAGACCCTATCAATTCTCTTCTACGGGCACCTCTCAAACATTCACTCAAACCCACCTCTAACCCTCGCCGTCGCGCCTCGAAAAGGGTTCAAAACAGCCTCAACCTACCATGAAACCACACCAATTATTGGTGCTTCAGCCTGTTCGCACATAAATTGGGGTCTCCAAATCAAGTTCCTACCCCGTCCACAAAAAGAAAAAGAGGACGTCCTGATCCAGACTCCCCCAATTGTCTCCCCCTCCCCATTTCCCCCCCCCCCCCCTCTCGTATCTGCCGTGATTCAGATAAGACCTCCAAAGCGAACCCGAGACAATTGGAACCCTCGGACACATCATGTCGACCTTCTCGCGTGTCCCTGGCCATTGGGACGACGACCAGTCCGGCCACAGTGATCCCCCGTCTACCCGCTCTTCCAACGATCCTCCAGAGCATGCCGCTCATATTCGCTCGCGATCTACAGCTCTCGCTCAGAGTCCTAAACGTTTGTCCGTCTTTAGTGGCCGCTCTAGAAGTAACACTACCACGTCGACCTCGTCGCGCCGCTCCCCGGGCTCGTCCATGACTTCAATTGATAGCTCCGTTCCGTCTCAGGACGAGCGGGCACCCTCTGCGCTGGCTATGCGATCTGATAAATCAGAGCGCTCGTCGAGGTCCTTTTTGGCACGTGGGAGCCGTATGTTGCGCCGACAGGGGAGTAAGATCAACCTCGTTGCCACGCTGGACGAGGAGGACGAATTGGAGAGGATGCCCCGTCATCGGACTCGACAGGCTGATCAACGTAAGTGGGGAAACATTTACTGATTTACTTTCTTCTGCATTGCTTTTTGGAAAGCAACTGGCCCTCTTTTGCGATGTTATTTGGAGGAATGATCAATTGACCATATACATCTCTTTTCAGACGATCGATTAAAGAGCATCATTTCGGATCCATTCGATTTCCACCATCTCACCCACACCAGTCCTTCGCAATTTCAATCTTTAGATCAAACGCGCGAGAACGACCTCGTTACCGAGTTTTCGGTCATTCGCGCCTCACAGCGCCCTGAGGCTGGCCTCAAGGGTATCCGTGCTGATGACATTCATTTCCGCAACTTTTCCGTCGACAACCTCGCTGCCTTTGGAACGGCGACCACCGTTGATGAGCCCGCGTCCCAGAGCCCACCCGACTCACCTGCGGCATCGGGATCGACTAGCCCAACCCATGGCCACGTGCGCCGAGAATCTCGCACTCACGAGAACTTCTCTCGTCCGGTCCCGAGGTATCCCCGGTCTTGTCCGACAACGCCGCCTCCCCCGGCGGTGCCAGAGATCCCCAACGATGAGGGTATCGAGCCGGCTCCTAGGGCCATCGACGAGATCCTAGGTTTGAACATCCCGCCCACATATCCCGAGTATATTGACTCGGAGCGGTCTTCATCCTCACATCGTCAATTCGGCTCCGATTTCGTCGAGGATATGAAGGCCCGCACGTCTTCCGTGAGCAGCCACTACAGTCTGGAAGAGGTCCCCGAGGAAGACGAGGGAACCAGACTGTGGGACAGCCCAGACGCCAGCATTGGTACCGTGCACTCCCGTTCTACCTCACACGTGAGTCCCGGTACGGTCGAACCTCACCGGGCGTCTCGCACGATAGCTCCCAAGGCTCCGCTCTCCATCTTCGTGGCTGAAGAGCTATCGCGCAAGTTCTCGGAAGCTCTTGGCTCGCCGACCTTGCCCCAGACCCTGCCTAGCACCCCGCCAAAGGAAGACTCGGAGACCGCTCAGCTGGAGATCACACCTCCCTCGACCTCTGGCGTTCGACAATTCTCCTACGACGAGGAGATGTATGACTCTTGGGATGCCGATATCGACTACTGCTACGAGCACGCCGCAGAGTCGACCTCAAACTTTGACTGGACGCGCACCTCTCTCGACGAAAACCGGCCTCAGATCGGACTCGCTTGCACAGACGAGTCCTGCGGTCTCTCCGTTCCCCAAAGACCAACCCGGCACCTCCAACCTAGCCCATTGAGCACATCCACCCTGGCAACGCCAGACCTGGACTCTTCCCCCGCACGTTCACCCCAACCGCACTCCGCCGCAACACCTTCCACCGAGTACGAGCGCGCCTTCATCCGCGGACCCACAGACTATTTCCACCCCGTCTCCTCCTCGATCCTCTCAAAGCAACTAAACCAAGACATTCTCTACGAGGACTACCTCTCCGGCGCCGACGCCGACGCCGACGCCTCTTCAGACCGCCACTTCCCCTTCGCCGCAAGCGGTATCCCAAACGCATCCCCGCGCTCAAGCTTCTCCCCAATCAGCAAATGCAACTCCCAAGAGAGTCTCATGCTCTCCCGCGCAGCGAGCATCGTCCGCAAACACCGTTCCTCCGTCTCAACAGCCTCCGTCCCAGAACTGGTCCACTCCCTCTCCAGCTCTCGCGAAATCATGCCAACGGACCGTCTCAGCGCTGCCGAGATCCTGGCCCGTCCGGCCTCGAGCTCCCTGCATCGTCAGACGAAGAGTATGGCCGAGGCGCATATGCTGATGCACGCTGATAGCAGCGCGAGTCTTGCGAGTGCTGAGACGACTCCACCCGCCTTGTATGATCAGTGGAAGAGTACCTCTGAGATTGGCGTTGAGAGTGATGTCGTGGGTGTACCCGTCCCCGTTGCTATGGCTGCTCTGCCGGCCGTGCCAGTGAAGAATCCCAATCGAAAGAAGAGTCGGAATACTTCCTACTCTCTTTTCCCGACGCCGGCGAATTGATTTCGTCCAAGCCTATTTTGCTCTCATCCTCTCTCTTATCTCTTGATTTTGATTTTGGTGCTACTTGGAAGACAAAATTCGTGGTTGCGTAAACTGCCCATTTGTCCTTCGTTTTTCGTTTTCAGTTTTCTGCCTTACACTCTGTCCGTGATAGATCTCCATGAGTCCATGACCTCCCTGCTACCTGCTATATTTCCTTGTCTCGCCTCGTCTTGTCTTGATTGTTTAACTGGTCCCGTCGTTTACGCCAGTGTTTTTCTCCTTTTTTTTGTCTCTTTCCGCAAGGACATGTTCCATACGCGCTCTCGTTCTTCTCATTTTCTTTGCCCTTGTCTTTGCGTCTGCTTTTGGTCTCTCTGTTCCATCGTCTCATCGTTACTCATTTCTTTGCCTCTTGTCTTGTCTTGTTCGATGCATTTCTCAGCGATATCGGTATCGGTCCTGTTTCTGGTGTCTGGAGGGGGAAACAAAAAGCCGGGGGAAAAAGCATTTGGAAAAAGACGATTCTTTCTGTTTCTTTCTGGTTTGGTATGCTATGATATGACTTGGGTGGATCTGATTGTTTGGATGAATTAGGCCCTATTTCCATTCTGGCTGGATTACCTGATTCTGGTGGTTGGATGGTTCTGGTTCTGGTTTTGGGTGCTGGTTGGGATCATTCGTTATGCCTGGCCTGGCCCTGCCTGGCTCTTGTCTTTCGCTTTTCTGTTTGATGTCAACAGCTCTTTGAGTATTTATAGAGTGGTGGTATGGTGGATGCTATACTACAATGTGTGCCTTTGAATGGCGCTTTGATTCAAACTGTGAAACTATCGTAGACCGTCTGGACCTTACAGAGTAGGGACATCGTAGGGCTGAGACATAGTATAGTAAAGTGTCCACATTCAGATCTAGATCTAGACCTGGCAAAGGTTTTCTTATCTCGTATGTATCTTTGCTAAGACGTATTCACTAGTATTCTAGTGTAGTCGGCATATACCGGATAAAATTTAGTATGCTCTAAAGGGGAAGTGCGAAGTGTGAAGTGGAGAGTGGAGCGCAGACGTGATGGTCATACGACCGCTTAGTCCGTACCGTAGGACTGGGAATATCATCCACGTTGTTTCATGAGAAGGAGTGGAATTTGTATTCAGTATTGTCCTCGTCACTGACATAAATTCTTTTCATACACTTTGTCCAGTGCTAAGAGGAACATCTACCATGGAGATCACAGCATATGTCTATTTGAGATATGCGTGGCCTGTAGAACATGGTGAGAGAGAAAACTAATTAAATATCTGAAATGCAGTATACTACGCTGGAATTGCTGTCTTCTGTCTCGAAGAGATGAAAGAGATAGAATGCTTTTGAATTAATATGAAGGCTTTTGATTCCATAGTTTTTTTTCTCACGTGACCGCTACCCCAACTCTTATCTTATCGGCTGCGCTCACTCATCTAATCGTTTGGCAACTTCTCGACTTCCACTTTCTTTCAACACCAACAGTCGATGAGCCAGCCATGGCATCACCTCCGCCATCAAAGGCCCTGGCCAAGCGGCCGGATGGTCAGCTGATGCCACCTCCTCCAGCTCCAAAACGAATCAAACGCCCCGCCACCGTCCTCGACGAAGACGTCTACACCAACGCTCTTTCACACATCATCGCCCGCGATTTCTTCCCTGGTCTACTAGAAACCCAAGCCAAGCAAGAGTATCTAGATGCGCTGGACTCCAAGGATAAAGCATGGATTACTAGCTCCAAGAAACGCCTCGCAGACGTTATGCGCACGCCGACGCCCGGCTCAAATGCGCGACGGAAAATAGATTCGGGTTCTGTGGCGGGCACCCCGATGCATTTTCCGGCAGCTGGCTCCGATGAGACTCCTCGTGGATGGGGAGGGGATACTCCCATGTCTGTCGCGTCTACTGCAACATCTGCCACGACGAGGGAGGGCCTGGAGGTTCCCGACGTCTCTAACATGGGCCTGATGGCCTTCCAGAGCAAGTACACCAGTGAAGACAACGAATCCTTCAATACTGTCCTCGACAAGCAAAACACGAAGAAACGGGAGAAATATGCTTTCCTCTGGAATAACAATAAGATTCCCTCCGCCCGCCAAATTGCCCATCACCAGCAAGAAGTCAAGCGCATCACTGCACAAGGTGGCAACCCCGAAACTAGTCTCGTTAAGCGGGGCGATTCTGAAGTTGCCATCAAAACAGACCTTGATGCACGGCCTGCGAGACCTGATGCATGGAATTCCCGCCCGGACAACGGTCTCATGTTCCTCCCGTCTTCGATCGAGGATACGCACGAGACGCTGCACCAACAAGCAGAGGCAGCCTCACGCGCAGGCCCGAAACGAACACTCTATCAAAACACGCGCCTGCTAGATGTAGACGCTGCCGCCGCTGCAGACGCCACATCCTCCGTCCCCGACTCGCCTTCAATCTCCGCAATCCAAGATGCAATCGCCGGTCGGCCGCGCTTCAGTGAATCAGAAGCCTCCGCAGTTCCGGGCGGCGAGACACCCCGCGTCAATGGCTACGCTTTCGTTGACGAAGACGAACCCGAACCGGAGCCCGCCCCCGAAGACCCCTTCGAAGCAGACTGGCGTCTCCTCGGGCGCTCATCAGATACAACGCCGAATCCATTCCAACTCCGCGAAACTCGCAAGCGCGAGGCCCTACACCACCGCATGGTAGATCGCGTCTCGCGCTCTAAACGCGCTGAAAAGGCTGCCCGTACGATAAAAACTCCTGTCACCGTGACCCCGCGCTTTGCCAGTAGTCCCCGCGTGGACTTTGGACTTCGAGGTACACCGGGTGGTCCAGTTCCCGGTGGCCAGGGCAAGATGCTGACGCCTGCTGCACATAAATTGTTGTCGCAGGTTGGTGGGAGTACACCGAGGGGATCGGGATCGGGGGCTACGGGGAAGTCTGGATTGGGAAATATCTGGACTCCAACGCCGCGGCGGAAGTAAGCTGGTGCGTTTTGGGAGTATCGTCGCTGGTGCTGGGTTTAATGGATTATGACTTATGATATCAATGGTTTGGGGCGTTCTTTTGGGAGATGTATATATAGAGGAGGTTGCTCATGCATATTTAATCGATGGACAGCCATGGTGCTGTATCAATCAAGTTCAAAGGGGTTACAACGCCCTCATGGAAAATCAGTGCTTTATTGATTAAGCGTTGTAGCATGCATGGCGGAGCAAGTCGTTGGAAAATACCCTAGAGTGTGTTCCTGCATTTGTCTAAGTGCTATGGACCTGTGCTTCCTTTTGGAAAATCATGGACATCGCAACAGTCATCTAGTAAGTCTGCAAGTGTAGTGTCTATTAGCTATGTCAAATAACCTTAGTAAAGTGAAATAAGAAAAAAGAAGAGAGAAAGAGAGACAGGAGAAGCTGTTCTATAGGTCCGCCAGAACTAAACCCAGTGTTTAGCCAAAATGTACATCCATCGTCCAGTTAGAATCGGCAAGTCGGAACAAGCAGGAAACGGGCACCCGAAATCCCATCACCAAATTCCTATCCGGCCCGATCTCGGGACTTCCGAACTTCAGTCAACTTCTTCCTACCCACGCTTCGATGCAGGAAATAATCTCAAGGCTGTCATAAGATCATATACTAGGTAATAATCATACCAGAAATAGCGAGCCTAGGCGCTGACTTACAGTCTAGAAACCCCTTGGTACAGACCAAATTATTCACTCGGCCTAGACATAGACCCGACAATCTATCCGACTCTAGCGGATATCATTGTATCTGGAAGATTCATTTCAAACACTCTAAAACAAGCGCCGGAGTGAATATGAGTGTCGGCACCGGTATCAACACTGACCAAGCACCGTCACCGACTGCGGCGCTAGCTACGGGGTTGCAAGGTGACAATGCCGCCACTAGCACCGAGGCAAAACCAACTTCGATGCCCGAGAAGGAAGATGCACAACCAAATGCAGAGGGAGGGTCAAAATCAGAACGTGGGGACTCGGCAGCAACACGTTCTACGTCCTCACTGCTAGCATCTCTGTGGTCCCCTTTCAGTTCGCTTCTACAAGGTTCAAAGCCAGTCCCGGTTTCGACTGCCAGTCCCGAAATATCAAATGGATCAAACTTAATTGAGACTCAAACTACAATCACAAACAACGATAACGACACCAAAAACTCAGCATCATCATCGTCATCATCGTCAACGTCAGCATCAACCCAAGTTTCATCAACCAACACCAACACCAAACCCGACTCCAAAACCCCAACCCCGCCAAAAGAACTAGAATCACAATCTCCGGAAGCATACTACACCCCTAACGAGGTCCCCCTCTTCAAGGCCCTCCAGAAGAAGCGACTTAGCGGAACCCGCACAAAACAACTCCTCCGCGCCGCATCCCGCGCATACAACGATCCCCCTCCTCCACCGGAGCTTGGGACCTGTTGCGGGAGTTCTTGTGACCCCTGCGTGAATGATCTGTGGAAGGAAGAGAGGGATGTTTGGAGGGAGAGGTGGGGAGATCGAAGGATGGAGGGAGATGGTGATGGTGATGGTGGTAGTGGAGGGAGGAAGGAGTTGGAGTGGTGAGGTTGATGTTGATTGATACCCTTGATGTATTTAGATTTATATATGTAGTTTTCTATTAGGAAAACGGTTCTGAGATATGAAATGATGTAGAAGTGCTTTTGTGGTGATTCATTTGAACTGTCACAGCTACATGTACATCAATTCAAGAAAGGAGCAACGAAAATGCGGCAATGTCGACAAGTCAATTTTGTGAAATCGACAAGTCTTGAAAGGCTCATAGATGGTACTGAGAGGCGTTTCCTCAAACCTAACGACATGTCCGAAGCTCAAGTTCCCATCTTCATTGACTTCCTTCGAGGTATGCTCACAATTGACCCAACATATCGAAAGTCAGCCGCAGAACTACTACAGCATGAGTGGATTAAGATGTAACTATGCCCATTACGAAGTTTTCTATCTCTGGTGGACAGTAAGCCATGTCACGCTTGGACACCGCAAATTCTTGTTAACATTTGATGTCAGTGGGTCAACTGCCAAGGGAACCATGATTGTCAGAGGCTAGATACCAACTGTTTTCCGGTGCTGGCATACTGAATCTGGAGATTGCACAATAATGCATGACCATACAGAACTATTTCGTTCGTATTTAACAACTCATGGCCCGTATTTAACAGCTCATAAGGCCATGAGGAGAGTAAAAGAAAGTAACTAGAGGTTAGCTCGTTTGAAATAGACATCCACGAAATGCAAATACAGGAAAGGCATATACTGGTCAGCGTCCATAACACGATGACTAGTGAAAGGGTTCAACTGCCAGCGAAGGCTCTGCAGGCGTTTTGGCTAAGCGAAGAAAATTTAATGCCATAACAAGCACTGCATCAGCTTCCAATTCCCTATGTCCGTTTTCTGCAGTGATGTATTTGTGGCCTCGCCTATCCATTTCTTTACTTCAATTTTGCGTATCCCTTCGAGCAAACAATTTCTTCCTTCTTTTTAAATGGAGGTTTGAATAGCTTGGTATTATGAGAAACTGGACCTTTTAACTTAATCATCATATAGACCAACGGACACCAGCTCTTTGGAAGGAACTTTCTCTTTGGGAAATAACAAGACCTTTTTTGTCAATGACGAAACTTCTGCAGGATGGTCTGGAATTGCTCTGAGCGTATTGTGCCGCTATGGCAAAACTAATTGGATATAGTGATTCACATGTCCGCCGTTTATAAAACAAAGTCATGACCAAGTGGGCATTAAAATTCGCTCAAAATGCAACTTTCCTCAACCCAAACCCTTCTATTTACACATGTCCAACTTAGATCCATATCTACAAAAGCCAACCCAAAACGAGAATGACAATCCCCCAAACACCCCAACCAGCAACAACCCTGAAGCCACCATTCAAATAATACGCAGCCCCAAGATAACTACAGGTGATATCTCCATCCCCATTCCGATACCCATAACTAGCATTCAACCACTCCCCAGTCGGACACCCAAAGCCCAACTTGGAAGGACACGACTTCACAAGTGAGTAACAAATATCCTGACAAGGCAGAATCTCCTTGTACGGACCAGGCTGGATCTGCGAATCGATGAGTGCGTTGCGACTCGAGTTCGTCACGGCGCTTTGTCGGTACACGCTATCAGCGGGTAAAGAGGAGCCATTGATAAAATTTTGACCTGCGTTGCGGACTTGAAGGTAGGACGCGGTTTTGGTGAAATCTTCGCAGCGGGGGATGGAGACGCTGCAGAGCCATTGTTTGTAGGCGGTTGCGCAGTCGTCGCAGCCGACGGCGAGGGAGTACATTGATTCGGGCTCGGTAGAGCATTGGATTTGCTGGAGGCTGTAGTTGAAGTTTTTGTAATAGTCTGAGGCGTAGGTGTCGTAGATTGTGCGGAGTTCGCTGACGTTTTTGCGTTTGGGGTTTGCGGGGACTGCGTAGGCTACTTCGGAGCAGAAGGTTAAGTTGAAGAGTACGGCGCAATTGTCGTCTGATAATATTGTTAGTGGAGAGGCCAGAGTTTAACTTGGGTTGTTGAGTATGCGTACCTGCTTTCGTACTGAAATTCATCGCCTTCCACACAGATCCACCACCTCCGATGATTCCATTGCCGGATTGAGTCGAGTTACCAATCATAGCAAGAATGCCATTGTACGTCGAACTCCGATTCAGTCCAGTGATATAAAACTGCTCCTTGGGCTTATTGCCTAATCCGCGAGAAGTCATACCCATCTCAGTCGAATTGCTGATCCGGCCTAGCGTTGAAAGTCGGTTCAACGCGCAAAATGACCGCTCCAGCCCTGCTAGCGCCGAATTGTTGATATTGTGCGCAAACATGGTATACGGCGGGCTCAGATTCATCCATTCCTGATAATTTGTCGAGTTGGGCTCAGATTGAGTCAGGTTATTGGTGACCAGCAGGGCGGCTGAAACGTCTGCATCGATGAAGTAGAGGAATGAGTCGTCGTCGTGGACGCTGTGGAAAGGCGCATCGATAGATGCAGCGATTTGGTATTCATAATTTCCAGAGAAGGTAGTTGAGTTGCGTGCTACGACGCCAATGAAGATGTCGCCGTCGGTCGTGATATTAGCATTCGCAAAACCACCCTCCGCGGTGATCATAGTCTGGAGGCTATCGTCCTTGCCAGGTCCGGGCTTTTCAAGCGATTCGTCCGTCGAGTAGTAGATCTCTAATTGAGGAAAGGAGCCAGGGACGGTGCCACTGCTATTAGACGTCGGCGTGCGACACGTGGTCACCGACAGATAGACCGTGGTCTGGTCGCGCTTAGCCAACGGCTCTGCTTGTTGTCGTTTCCGCAGCTCAAGCTTGATATCGTCATTCTCCTTCACATCCCGAGAGCTCAAACTGGCCGGTAATGTTGATATCGTAGTCGCCTTCTCTCCATTCACCACCTCTTTGGTGACGAAGAACCACTGTATGCCACCTACCTCCAACGTAGAATCCTGGAACTGGTTGTTACCTAGTGACTTCGCATCACTAGGATAACCCCTCCGCACAAGGTCCAGCTCAGCCATTTCCCCGTCCTCACCCACATTATCTCGTAGCTCCAACCCATTGAATGAATCCAGCGACACGGGGAGACCTGCCCCATCGCTGATGATCGGCCCGCCGATCAGGCTGCTCTCTGGATCGTGGAGGATGTCCGCGGCATGGCCGGTCGAGGCATGCGCGAGACCTGTGAAGAGCGGACTAAGTGTGCCGAGGACCGTTGCAGTCAGCAAGTACTGCACGGCAGCGTATTGTTGTCGCATGGAAAGTCGATTTGGGGGGGTTGCTGTGGCGCAGGATTGCGCATGGACATGTGTTCTTCGGGTCGGAGGCGCATATAAGATTGAGGGTAGCTTGGCGATTGTCACGGACAAGCAAACTATGGCCCACCAACTTGCAGCCCGCTTCCTGAAAAATGCAATGTCTTCTGCTGCATGTGGGAACCGTGTTGGAGGGAGGAACTGATGCTAATCGCGGAGGATCGCCTTATCGGGTTGTTGCTGCCTTGTTGCCTTGGCGCCACGAAGGGACCAACGAGTGGCGAGTGAAGTACACAGGCCAGTCTAATTTTAGATCGATCGAATGTGGACATTTTAAGCTATGAGGAACTACAAATCCAATTTTCTAATGCATATATGGATTTTCATGTATTCACAGATGTAAAGAGCAGAACTATACATAAATGGCAAATGTACTCGACGGTAAATACCACGCTCACAGAGCCCGCCGTCACAGAAAATCACAAAGGTACCACCCACATACCGCACAGGCGGAGAAACTAATCACAGAACGAGAAGCCAAGTAGTTAACTTCGCAAATCAGCTCTCTCCTATCCAAAGATTCCCCCTTGCATAACATCATTATACCAGCTTCTGCCACCTCGCCAGGCACATGCTAAGAACCACAATGGCTCCCATCACGCCCAAAATACCAAAGAACCATCCCAGGCCCCCGGCATCCTTACCCGGCACATTCACGTTCATACCAAACAGACCACAGATCAAATTCATCGGGACCAGGATGGTGGCAATCAACGTGACCTTGCTCAGCACCTTGTTGACATGGTTGCCCAGCACGAGGTTGGTCACATTCAGCTGAGCCAGGTAGTTGGTGTGCGAGCGACTGAGCATCTTCTCAAAGTGAGCCAAGTTCGACATCATGGTCACCACGTGATCCTGAATATCACCCAGATACAGGCCGATGTCGCCGCGAGGCGTAACCGAGTACTGCTCGTTGCATCGCTTGGAGAAACCACGAATGACGTCCGCCTTGCCACCCAGCAGGCGCATCAAACTCATGACCTTCTTGCGGAGACCGCCAATGCGTGGCAGGAAGGATTCGAAGTCGTCAACGCGCGCGATAAATACATGGTCTTCGATCGCCTCGGACTCGAGCTCGACATCCCGAATGACGGGGCCGAAGCTATCGACAATGTCATCGATCATGGCATAGCAAATCCAGTCGCTGCTGAGCGAGACGTAGTCGCGCAGCTTACCAATACGCTTGCGCACATTGGAGGCGTGCGGGTTCTCCTCAAAGGAGAAAGTCAGCACTCCATCCCGGAACACCACCATGTAAAAGTTGACCGGTTCCAGGAACTCCTCGCTAGTCTTGTCCATTTGAAAGAAAGTGCGGAAACAGACAAAGTAGTACTGCTTGAAAAGTTCCACCTTCTCGCGCGCCTCCTGTGTCAGGATATCCTCCGTGGTCAGCGGGTGAATCGAGAACGCTCGAGAAATGGCACCGAGCTCCTCCTCCGTGGGATTAACCACATCCAACCACCACACACCACCCTCGGGGCCCAGCTGGAACAGGTCGCGGAAGCTGTCACCAGGGAGGACCAAATCTCCCAATTCCGCCGCATGTACGGTGGTCTGCGACTCGGACGAGAAGAAACCAAATCGCATGGGCTCATTTATATTAGGCAGTGTCTCAACCAGCTCCTTCTCGCCCAGTACCTTGCCGGGTCTCTTTTCATCCACCTCTTCACACACCTCGCAAGTATCCGACGAATCGGCCGAATCGGCATTCTTGAGTTCCTCCAAACCCGGACTTTTCACACCCGCACGCAGATCGTAAAAGATGCGGGGCTTCTTGCTCTGCGAGCTCATGCTATGCTTGCGGCGGCAATTGTTGTTTCCAGTAATGTTCTTGTTCTGCTGGTTCAGCGCCACAAATTCCTCCAGCTCCTCATAGTCGATGACCGGGATACGACCGGGCTCGTCATAGGTGATTGGCACACCGGGCTCCTCCGGCGCACACACAGAAATGTCACCGGGCGCGGGTCGGATAACACTGGCGTTGCTGAAAGTCGGACGGCGGGCGTGGGTGCCTCCCGAAACAGTACGCTGCAGCATAGCCTCCAGATCGGGGGGCACATGGCTTTCCAAAGTGTTGGCACGCTCGCGCCGACGAGGGTCCGCAAAAGCATCGACGGAGTTGGGCGGCGACGAAGACCGCGCCGAGACAGAGGAACTGCGGGACAAGTTGCCTCCAGCCAGTTCCTGCTGGGCGCAGCTGATACGTCGAGGCGTGTGGAAATTCGCCGTGGGATCGACCGAGAAGCGTCGGCCCATTCCAGCTACGTCATGCTCTGAGCGATCGTCGTCTATCACCGCTTGTTCAAAGTCTCGAAAGACGGGATTGCCTTCGCGCAGGGCATCTTGCACCTGCAAAAGGTCAGGACGCTCGGGCAACAGTTCACCTCTCGGTCCCTGCTGAGCAGCGGTGTTCTGGCGGCTCAGTGGCTCTCCTAGGGGAGCCTCGATGCGCGGGGTCTGCACGGCATTCATATGGAAGCGGTGGTCATCCAGCTCGGGAACCGGAGTACTGTACCGAGTCAGGCAAAGGTCCTTCTCGGAACGGTGGCTGCTGGACATGGCTGCGGTATGTATTTTTCTTTTCTGGTGGGTTTGATTGAATGATATCGTTGTTCTGGGAGGAATTGAAGGGGAAGAGGAGGGGAATCGGGTAGATCGAGATCGAGTTTAGCACGCCAGGTTGGGCTAATTTTGAATTTCCCTTTCGCTGGGAAATGTCGGTTATCGACTCGGGTTTGGGTGGATTGAAGTTGTTAAATTTGATATTGCTTTGTCGGCAGCACGAACAGCCACAGAACGTAAGCCGGTGTTCTTTTCTGATTCAAGAGGACCGTGTTATGGAAAACGGGCCTCCATCCATGAGCCAGACCCTTCACGAGGGTCTGGCGTTCCCGACGTACGTCTGGCTGCGAGGCTCGAAAAAGGAAGTAGGCAAGTTAGGGGGGTCTGGTGTCGCCCCCGCAGAAGACCCGGAACTTAGGGCCTGCAAGAGGGTTGAGGAGAGAGGAGTACTGAGTGTAGCGAAGTCCCGCCAACTTGAAGGAGTCGAATGAAGGGGAGCGATAGTGCTCCAGGGCGGCGACGGGCGAGCGAGCAAAAGTGGACGCGAGCGAGCTGAGTCGCAGGCTTTATCAGAGGGTTCAGAGGATCACTCGCAGAGTCTTCCGACGGAAATGAACCTGCAAGACCTCGAAGGGTAGGTTTGAAGATGGTATAAAAAAATGCAGAGATTTGACGGGAAACCTGCTTTTCCCGAGTAGAAGCGGAAGTTGTTATATGCCTCGATGGACGAGAGGGGGGGGAGCGGAGGGTGAAAGAAACAGGAAAAAGTGGCGCCGAGACGAAAGGTTTGTGGCGAGAGACGCACGGGCTAAAATGGACGGCGGGCGATGGTTGCGGGCCCGGGCCAGTCACAACGACTGGAAATCATTCATCGTACTCCATAGTCGATGCTCTGGAACGGATGATTCGTATTGGATAGATCCACCACGATCGAGAATTAAAAACCAGAGAGACTCTATAGACATCCTACAGAATCATCATGCCTCTTTGCTTTATACGCTGCATATCTCATTGACAGACGAATACTTCATTCCAACCTCGTACTTACCGCCGTCCTGGTACTGTGAAAATTTTCGGCGGGTCAGGTTGCAGGCGGCGTTCCCCGGCCAGAACGACTAGAACGACTACGGACTAGAACTGCGTAGAGTTTTAACCCTCGTCTATAGTTTGTTCCAGCCACACGTTTACCCTAGGGCCCTTAGGGTCAGTCCCTCGTCACCACTCCCGTGAGCCATGAGGCATTTGTTGCCGAATCTTCACCGGCATATCCTCGTCTCCTTCGACTTAGGGTTAAGCGCTGACCGTCGGGGCTTTCTACCCTGCGGAATATGGCGTCGATCGGATGGACCACTGGGGTAATTGAGGCCTTTAACATGTAGCCTGTAATAAGTGTTCTCTAAATTACTCTACAGAGTACGAGGAGTCGTACTATCTGCCGAACTAACAGTAGGCGACTTGACTCCATAGTTAGGCACCAATCTTTTGTACTCCTTACAGACTCCATCTCCGACAGACTACTCCGTAGTACTAGTTGTCACACTACTTTGAAACCAAGACCCATATACAACCGTCACGGATGACACTAATTACACGGTCAGACTGACTGAGGCCCAGCATGCACGGAATAAGTCTCCTCTCAGGCCGACTCCGAATGCCCCTCTAACGTGTCGGCTCTCTCAAGTGGAGATTGATAGAGCAAACCCGGCGGCGATGGAGTATAACAGGAAGCGAAGAACGAAAGACCACGCGACACCTGCTCATCGCTATATCCAATTCAACCTATGAAATCCTCCTACTGACACTCACTAACAACTTAGTCTAGCCTTACCAATCGAGCCAATTGACTAGCCACGAGTCCGCAGTTGATCAGCTCCACTCTTTTCCCCGACGTCGGACACTCTTTTTTTCTGTTCCCGCGCCAAGACCCGCAATTCGAGTCATACGGCCCCTCCATACAATTCACAGCAACTCCGACAGCAGCAAAAGGCACGGTAACCACTTCCCCTCCTCAATTGCACCAATCTTGCTAGGTACCAACGGGTCATTGTATCATTGGAGGCTTCTGATTCGCAATTAATACCCTCTGCCCACCATGGCCTCCTCTTTCGTGATCAGAACCCCTTGCTCCTCCGCCAACATTGGCCCCGGCTTCGACGTGATCGGCCTGGCCCTGTCCCTCCATCTCGACATCCACGTCACCGTCGACCCCTCCAAGGGCTCCTCCACACTCCCGCTCAACTGCGCTATCACCTACGAGGACCAGAGCAAGTCCACCGAGATAATTAGTCTCGATCCCGAGGTCAACCTGATCACCCGTGTCGCCCTCTATGTCCTCCGCTGCCATAACCAGCGCGCTTTCCCCGTCGAGACCTCCGTGCACATCGTCAATCCTATCCCGCTGGGTCGGGGTCTGGGATCGTCGGGCACGGCTGTCGTTGCCGGTGTAATGCTGGCGAACGAGGTCGGTAAGCTGGGATTGAGCAAGGACCGCCTGCTCGATTACTGCTTGATGATTGGTACGTTGGACAATTTCCCTGGAACTCGGACGAAGCATGCCAATGGCTTTCTTTTACTTTCCGGCGCAGGGTTCTGCTCCAGACTAGTATCTGCACGAGAACTCATGGCGGGAGTATGAGGAACAATGGGATCTCACTTGGTCACACAACAACTCCCCACATAACGGTTGTGCTCACGTATTGTTCCCTACAGAGCGCCACCCCGATAACGTTGCTGCGTCTCTGTTCGGTGGCTTCGTTGGCACGTACCTGAACGAGCTGAAGCCCGAGGATGTTGCGCGCATAGAGATCCCTCTCAGTGAGGTCCTGCCCGCGCCCGCGGGAGGTATTGATACCGGTTTCCAGCCCCCAGAGCCCCCACTGGGCATTGGTCACTACCGCAAGTTCAACTGGGCTCCGGAGATCAAGGCGATTGCGATTATTCCGGACTTTGTGGTGCCGACTGCCAATGCTCGTAATGTGCTCCCCAAGACCTACACCAGGGCCGACGTGGTATGTATGAGACTCGAGGAATATACACATTGGAAGACTCACTTCCGTCCCTTCAACCTGGAATGTACGAGCTCTAACCATCTTGATTGCAGGTCTTCAACCTCCAACGCGCTGCCCTCCTCCCCGCTGCCCTGGGTAGCTCTCCACCAGACCCGGACATGATCTACCTCGCCATGCAGGACAAAGTGCACCAGCCATACCGCAAGACCCTCATCCCAGGTCTGACCGAAATCCTGCAATCAATGACCCCGACCACCCAGCCCGGTCTTCTGGGTATTTGCTTGTCCGGCGCTGGACCTACCATCCTAGCCTTGGCCACGGATCGCTTCGACGAGATTGCTGACCGCATCATCGCCCACTTCGCCACTAACAATATCACTTGCCAGTGGAAGCTGCTCGAGCCTGCCCAGGACGGTGCCACCGTCTCTGCGAAATAGAGCTGTTCCGAGCGGATGCTACCTATTCTTGCCAGCGTCACAGGGTCGATCGCCTCACTGTAAGTGGCTCGCGATTTTTGTATGACGTGCGTGCGCGCTGCCGTACGTGTAGATCTTTATACGACGGTGAGCCGGGGGCCACGATTGCTTGGTTCTCCTTGGATCGATCCGGGGGGTGAATGCATGAGTCACGGACTTCGAAGCAACTCTCGAATAGCAAGTGCATGAGTTGGTCGGCACGAGCGCATTCAGTCCCACTTCCTTCCCGAGCCATGTGTCAGGATGCAAGATGGGATGGTTTTCGTTCACCGCTGCTTCTGCTTCTGCGCTTCTCCCGCGTCATGCATGGCATTTGCTTGTGGGTAGGGAAGGTCGTTTATTTTCTACTCATTTCTTTTATTGTTTTCAATTTAGCCTGGAAAAGTCACCTTTGTGACTGGTTTGTGGGAGGCTGAGCTTTGAGCTTTTGGATATTGGTCGTTTCGTTATCAGTGGTCGCTTACCCTGAAGTATGGACCGGGTTCCATAGAGATAGACATTTGGAGTACATAGATGAATCATGAGCAACGCGTCACCTTTTTTCTGCGAAACAGTCTTCAGGTAGACTAAGCCAAGCATTAATTTCCAGCATTGAAATTTTCAAGTCATCTCGAAATTCATTCGAGTCCCTGACTGGAAGTATAGTACTTCTTCAATACGTCCACTATGTACTTGTCATCTGTCGCTGTCTTTAGTTCCGCGGGCGGAAGCGGCGGGCAGATGACAACATTACGATAAGCTACCTCCAGAATCTCCGATTCCAAGCTGGCCCCAAACAGATACAGATCCTCGAGTCCATTAACCCGCAAAAATAATGGACAATATCCTCGCTCCATTGCAAGATGCCTTTGAAGGCCAGATTGTACGTTTCCCGCAACACCGCGCCACACTACCCCATCCCTGCGCTGCTGGCCTATACAGACAACCCATACCAATCGAGACACGAAAAGCGCGACATAGCTAACAGCACATCTAGGACTTCCACGGTCAACGTCTAGCCGAGCTCCTCAGCACGGTTCTGCTAATAATCTTCGGCGTAAGCTTTCCTGCCCCCTTCGTCCAATCTACAACCTTCATTTTACGATCTTCCGAACCGAAGCAAGCAAGCGCGAGACTAATCCAATCACATAAAACCCACAGACGATCAGTTTCCTCGTCGGCTACATCTATAAAGATATCCATCTCACGCTATGGACCGGGCTGGGCGGCACACTTTTCACGGCGCTGGTTGTTGTTCCGCCGTGGCCGATCTATAACCAGAATCCCGAGAAGTGGTTTGGGAGTGTGACGGGGAAGGTAGGGGGTGCGAGAGTCATTGTTGATGGTGTTAAGGTTGCTTAAGATGGGGATCTGAGGAAAGAACAAGAAGATCTTGGGATAGCATTTGGGATATTATTCGGATGTGGTGTAACTATGCTAGAGCTATACCTACAGCTTCTAGGGCTGGGAATAAAATGAATCATTGGTCTTGACTAGTTTGACGCGCCGTTTCTCCATCTTCGATTTTCTGTTGCAATCCTCCTCGTATTCGCCGCCCGCTGAGCCAGGTGTCTGCGAATGTGTATGTGTATTTGTAAGAAGACTTTCGAAAGGGGCTCATATGCCAACGCCCAGGCATTGCATTGTTCTCGTAGAATATTGTAAAAGGGAAAACATGGAAATTCACTCGTGAAAGACGACGCCCAGCGCCATCTACCGTCCGTACTTCTGGAACTCCCAGTCTCGGTTGTCGAGTGGGCATACCTGTCGGGTCTTCAGCCATCGCGAGATGCAGTGGAAGTGGAATGCGTGCTGTAGAGAGGGGGAAGTTAATGAACAAGCTCATTAGAACGGAAGGGATCCCGATTATCATTTTTGGAATGGGGTATACAGACGTTGCAAATACCCCATGCGACGGTGCATTCCTCGTTGGTTGATGAGCCTTGGTTTGCTTGGCATTCGATGCCTGGTGGTGATCATGTTAGCATTGATGCTGGCTCATCAGCGGAGACGATTCCCCGTAGAGACATACACAAATCCATAATGTGGTTTCGGCAAATGGCGCAGTTGTCGACAACGATATCCCAGGCCCAGAGGGCAACTGCGTTCCACTAGATAGAATCTCAGTTGAATTGTTCTCGTTTTCAAGGTAGGCTGCCCCCAAGGTTGCTAGATAGATTTACCTTCTTCACTTCAAACTTCTTCTTATCGCTGGCTCCGTCGGTACCCTTTGCAACGGCCTTGCCCTTGGACGAAGAGGCAGAGGCTTCTTTCATTTCAACATCCGCCATAGCTGTGGTTGTGGTAGTGTCGGAGGCGGAGATTCGGAGGATGAATCGAGGGTTGGGGAGAGGGGATTACGTCGAGGACCTCTAGTGGCGGCTGGAATAGGTGTAGCGATAGGCGCGGAGGGGACGTGGTGGAGGGAGGACAACCTTGGAGGCGAAAGGGATGATGATAATATAGAAATGAGCAAGGAAGATGACGGACACGGCGGAGCCTCAAAAGGTCTGGATAGCTCCCCCACTCCGTAGTCCAGAACTGTTTGATTGTGTTTGTTCCACGACGATAGCTAAGCCTAGTCCGTACTAACTGCCAAGGCGGTGAGTAGGGCGGACTGAGCAAAAACCGCTGCGGTGGCGGAAATCCTTAGTCATCCCCCGCTGCGCCTGAGACCTCCGTCGTCACTTGGCGATGACTCTCCTCTCTTCCTCCTCTAGCTACAACTACAACTTCCTCTAGACATGTCTCTCTTGTGCGATTTATTCGTGCCTCTCTATTCAACACTCTAGACCTCCCTTTCTGTTTTTGTGCTCGGTCTCTCTCTTCGCAACCCCTCGCACTCCCTGTTCGTTCTTTGCTCTATTTCTCCGGCGTCGAACCATCTCTCTAATACCGTCGATAGCTGCTGAGCAGTGACTGGACTTCATCCCTTTGATTTTCTCGTTACTCGTGTTTTCTCTCAGCGCTTGTGACCTTTTGTTTCGTCTCCTTTTTCCGATTATTTTCCCACCCAGGCTGCCTATTTTTTAAGCCAAAACAACCAGCCGTTATGTCGGCCCAATCTCCTCATCCTCCCTCTTCCAAGGGCGCTCGGAATAACAACAATAACAACATCAACAACAATCACCGAAGACCCTCGAAGAAGATGACTATTCCGCATCCACAACACTCTCTGTTGAGCACCCCGCCATCTTCACCCCCGCGCAACATGAGCCCGGCTGGAGTCACCACCGATTCATCGGTCAACGTCCAAACCAAGAAGAAGCCTCCACGCTCGGGAAAGAAACCTCCGCCTCGCAGCGGCCATGGAGTTTCGCCCGCCCCGAATCAGAATGGGCATCGACACACCAATTCGCAACCCAGCGTGGTGACTCCAGCGAAAGACAACGCGGCGGCCTATGCAGGTCCAACCTTCCATGCGTCACCCGCCCCATCCGCACTGCCCATTCCGAGCTTCTTCTCCAAGTCTTTCCCTGAATCCGATCTCGCGCCGACTCTGGAGACCGACAGCGACAATGCGGAGATGGAACCCGATCTCGAGACCACGCCTTCCAAGCCGCGTGCTGCGCGCCCGCAGACTGCGGCCACGACTCAGGCGGCGCAACCTTCACCCCTCGATTTCCTTTTCAAGGCTGCTGTGCAGGCTCGAACCTCCAATACTATGAGTAGTCCTGAGGCCGCCGCCCGTGTGCGCTCGCCGCAGACCGATTCCAAAGTGTTGCGTTCAAACGCAAACCACACACCCGGTGGGATGTTCCCGATGGACTTGGAAACTGAGCGTGCGCGGGCTTCGCCAATCGGTCCCTCGTTTGCGCCTTCGTACCAAGATCGCATGAATGCGCTGCGATCTTCCAGTTCCCCGTCTCAGTCACCTAGTCCTGCTCTGGGTGCTACTACAGAAGACCAAAACCGTCTGAAGACCGAGCAGTTGAAATACATGTTGTTGAACCCGCGGCCTCAGGAGCCACCCTCCTCATCAAACTCTCCGCCATCTCAGACTCAGCCTGGCCACTATGGAGCTCCCCATCTTCCTCGACCCAACATCAATTCGACCGTCCCTCACTACGCTACTCCTATGCGCACGTACTCGGGCCCTCCGGCGCAAGGCTATTCGCCCGTCGGTCCACCACATGCGGGGCACATCGACAACAGCCTCCATGCCAACGCCGGTCGTCCTTCGTACCCTTACACCCAGGCCAATGGCTCCCAGCCGTTCCGGAATACGAACTCGCCTCTGAGACGCGAAGTCCCCGGAGTTAATGGCTACACCAATGGCTATCGTAATGGTTACTACAGCAACGGTCACTCTTCCGGTCAATCGTCGCCTGCACCCTATGGGAATCAACATTATGCGGCGACTGCTCCCGCTCCTGTGCAGCACCAGAGCGGCTTTATCTCTCCACAGCCGCAGTACACCCAGGCAGCCTTTCCCCTGTCGATCAATTCTCCATCTCCTCCGGCTTCCCGGCCGATTGATACCAAGAAGATGGAGGATGACTTGCGACGAATCCTAAAGCTGGATGCTACTCAAGCTCCTGGGCCTGGCCTTCCATCTAGTGGCATGCAAAGTTCATTTACTGCTTAGCTTTCATGTCCTTGTTTCTTCTCTTTTTTTTGATTTTCTGATGAAGGAGGCCATTCTATAAGGGCGATGATATGGACGTGATTTTTTCTTTTGCACACTTGTCTTTTTCAACACACTCCTGCTTTCATAGAGGGCATGGGTGTCTTCTATCTGCCATGTCTTTTTTCTTTGTTGTTTACGGCTTCATGCATCGGTTTCACAGGCGGTTTGCATCACTTTCATGGACTGGGTTCATGACTGTCTTTGTTTTCTCGTGTTACCCTCGGCGGCTCACACTTTGATCTTTTTCCTTGTCCATCTCCCATCTATTCTTTGGCAAATGACGTTTCGTTTCCTATGTCCCCCGCCTTTTTTTCCCCTTCGCTTCAACGTCTACGACCTCTTCTTGCCACATGATGACAATGGTACTCGGTCGGGCGGTGTTTCCCATGATGCATCGGTTTCGGGTTTCGGGTTTCGGGTTTCCAGTGGAAGTTCATCAACTTCGGTTTCGGTCTTGGCTGCCTTCGGTTTGGGCTCGGTTCGGGTTTAGTTTGACGAAGCCGAGCCGCTTCGTTTGCATCGGTCGGAGTCGGGATCCTGCAATGCACTGCGCTTATTCTGAATTTGCACGTATTTGCCTAGCTAGTTGGGCGCTCGAGAGCATGGATTGTCTCTCTGCCTGACCAGCGGCTGCGATTGTAATTGCTGTCGCATGCATAAGTGCAGGCTCGCTTGGTGCTTCATCTCAGCGAGACCGTCATTCTCTCGCTTTACTTTGTTCATGTCTGCTTTTTGTTTTTTTTCCTGCCTTTTTTGTGTGTTGAGTGCCTGGCGTAAGGGATGATTGACTGTTTCTTCGGTTGGTCTTTTCAGCGCTATACACTCTCGTGTAGTTTCCCTTCGTTTGCCACCTAGACTCTGTTTCGGTCATGGCTTTCTGATTGTCTTGATCTTCGGTTTCTTGTCTGTTGCGAATAAAATTCGCGTCCACTCGTTTGAATGTGCCGGTTGGTGGACATTCTCTTCGTAGCGCCTGTTTGTAGGTGGTAGGGTATCTCGGTATTCTTGAGAACCTCAATCGGATAGCGTAGATAAGGTCAGGCAAGGCTTCTATGGTACTAACAATGCTTGCCTAATGGGGTCATTGAAGCCTATAGTAAATATTGTCCGAAAGGAACTGTCTCCGTGATCTACAAAGACAACAGATGACATTAGGACATAGATCCTGAGTTTGCAGTACTATGGATCACAAATACTGAAGTGTTGACTATCTGGCAACCTGGTACTCTTGACTTTGAGATAGATATTCGTCTTCATAACCCAGCCGATTATACATCTGAATTGGTTGATCTAAATGGAAGTTGAACTCTACATGGTCGAGTGTCATGCCACCAGGAAAGATGAATACTTGAGGAATACTCTCCATTAATGTGATATCTTGGTATATACCTCTTCCATTCATGCGTTATCAGACTCAATCCGGCTCTACCCTTACAATCAATAATCGAAGTGCTCCGTTATGTAGTACCCTCAGCTGCCCATGTACACTGGAATTCATGCTTTTGTAAAATAGAAAGTATATAGTTAGTGCAGTAGATACTGATTAATTGGCTGGTGATAATCTATAAAACTAAAATTCAATGTGACAACTAAATTAGTGAACACAGACCTCTGAACTTCCGAGTCGCTAGGTGGAGTAGTCTCTTCCAGCATTGAAACCACCGAATCACCACCGAATCACCGCCCCCGGAGCCACTTTGTCGAATTTTAATGGAAGCAACGGCGCCCGGCCGGTAGAAGTTTTTGTGGAGGGAACCCTCCCCGAGAACCTAGAAGGGGAGAACGGTTGAAGGATTGGTCCCCGGCGCTGATCTCAATTAGAAAGTTGGCCATGGTGTACTTGGCAAGGTTAACATGGGTCTTTGCAAGTTACAATAGAACTGGAGTAGATACGAAGTTAGTTCCTGCTTGACACAGTCTTGAATTTTTGTTTATAACTATAGCGAAACCTCTTCTCTGTATTGCTATACTCGGTACTCAATTGTGGACATTCGTACGTGGATTTGTCTCGTCTACGCGGGCGTTACGTGGGCGTTTTCTCACCCCCTTAATAATCGCGGGTCGAGACGCCACTGTGCCCCCCCGGTCGGCCTGCTCCACTCGGATTTGTCTGGGCCAACTGCTAATTTTATACTGCGATTAGATTGGGTCGGCGGTGGAAGTGAGAGGGGGGGGGGACCGAGCCATCTCTGGTCCATGATTCGGCCCTGGGGATAGAGTATTTCCCCCTATGCAAGGAAAGTGGTTTTTCGTTGGTAAACCCGGTGAGGGACATGATGATGGAGGGCAGTTGGGATGATCTTCTGCGGGGGTTTGTGGTTTCTTACTTGTGGCGTGGTAGGAGACTTGCTGTCGTGACAATGGCCGAGACGCTATCGAATCTGGGGAATATTATCGGTCTGCGGTGTTCTGGTTGTCGATCGTGTCTCGGACCTGATGAAGCTTAATTCGGGACAGGAGAGTGGACGCCACGGCAGAGCAGTGGCTGAGGATTCCAGGGCTGATGTGCTACGTCGTGGACAGTACGGAGTATCCGTACTGTCGTCGTTCAGGATGGGCCATCATCCTACCGTCATGATTCCCGTTCCGGTGTCTGGGTAGATTTGTGAATGTTCTGGAAAAGTGCCCGAACTCTGGCTGGGCCGCTTGAGGGTATTTGTCGTGCCAACAATGCATATTTGCCGATGGCATCCAAAGTTGCACATAGTGAACTATGTCCGTCAGCACTTTAGGCAGACTCGATGCACGCCGGCATAGGCGTTATGTACGTCAGAGGGTTGAATCGGTTGACAATGCGATTATCATCAATCATCATCATCGAGTAGACTCCGTAGAGAAAAAAAAAATAAACGGTTCCAGAGCGAACGTGAGAAAACGGGGTGGTATGCTGCGCTCGGCAGCAGCCACGACATCATGATCTGCATGCCTAAAGGTCATCGACCTGGATGCGGCCAGGGGCGATGAACTGAGGAGATACCAACACACCAAAGTCATCAACTGGTTCAGTGGTTCAGTGGTTCGGGGGGTTCCAAAGTGGTTCAGGTACCTGAATAAAATCCCTTAACCAGAGTGGTCCGTCCAAAAAGTTGGTTCCCGGATCCTCTTCAAATCACGAGGAAAGGACCATCTCTATCATATTTTTCGTTCCTGCCATCCTTACCTAACCCTCTCTCCCTCAGCTTCTTCCTCCTTCCAAATACACACTCCCTACCTTGAAACTATCTTAGCACCTTTTTGAACTCCCTTCCTTCTGCATTTCCGTCACTCATCTTCCCCATTCGACCACCCACCCACACCTCTCGCTGATCCCCGTCGGAGACTCGGTCGCCAATGACCGCCCTCTCGTGTCCTTTCTGAACCAAAAACCTTCCCCCCATCCTGACACCATGGCGAACGCGTAAGTTCCCCTCTATTTCTCTGCTCTCCGTTCTACTCTTTTATTCTCGCTTTCACTCCCTCTGTCTGCCCCTGCTACCGCTTTTCTCGCACATCTCAAACCCCGTTCTCCGCTAACCCCCTGGCCTGCTAGTTTCGGTTCGGCATGGCGCTCCTTTTGGCATACCATGACCTCCTATGACCGTCATGCCTCTCACGACTCACCCTATCGCACTGGTCGACACGTTCCCCTGAGCCAAAGTCGCCATGAACCTCTCACCTCCATTGCTACCAGCGCTCTCGAGTCCCGCCCCGACCTCTCCAGTACTTATGACGATGAAGCAACCAAGGGCTTGGCATCCGCACAAGCGACCGAATGGAACGGCTCTCCAACCGAGGTGGGCTCGCCAAACCGCCCCTATTCCCCGGGAATGCGATCGCTTGCTTCCCAAAAACGCGGTTCGAACGAGGGGCCCGATGGACCGGCGGAGATCCAGATGCAGAGCTTCCATGATGGCGCGCCCCCTCCGCCCCCGGTTGCCCACTCCTGGCGAAAGATTGAGCGGTGGTTGGAGCACAACTACGAAGAACTGTTGGACAATCTCGGCGAGGGGTGCACACAAAACGACATTAATGAATTGGAACACGAGTTGGATGCCACTCTGCCCTTGGAGCTGCGCGAGTCGTTGATGATCCACGATGGTCAGGAGCGGCCCGGCCTGCCTACGGGTGTCCTGTTCAGCTCCATGCTGTTGGACTGCGAAGAAATTGTGCAAGAGCGGAGGAACTGGAAGACTGTAAATGACGAATTCCTGAGCCACAATGCTCCCCTTTCTGCGCCGGTATCTAGCTCTGCTGCAAGCTCGTCCTCCGCTGCTGCCCAGCAACAAAGCAACCCGGGCGCGTGGCGCAATGATCTGCTCGACCGCCAGGACTCTCAACCACCGGGCGCCGTGCAAAAGGCATATGCTCACCCGGGCTGGATTCCGGTCGCCCGTGACTGGGGCGGCAACCACATCGCCATTGATTTGGCTCCTGGACCTGCCGGCAAATGGGGCCAAGTCATCATCTTTGGTCGCGACTACGACTGTAAATACGTCATTGCGCGGTCGTGGGCCGCGTTCCTGGCCGTCTTCGCCGAGGATCTATGCAGCGGCAAGACCTTTGTTGACGAAGAGACCAACGATATGAAGCTGAGGGAGTTCAAGTCGCAGAATGTTGAGCCCTCGTATTTGGAGATCTTGCGCTGGCGGACAGATCAGAAGTACGGACGTCGAGCGCCGCGACGACGTGCCCCCAATGGCCTGGGTGCAAATGCCAATGGCAAGTCCAGTAGCCGGGATTCGCCTTATGGTAGCCCAACTCGGGCCGACGAGCGTGGTCGCTCCCCGCATCGGTTCTCCAAGGGCCCAGCACAAAGCCCTAAGACGCCATTCGGTGTATCCAGCCCTCTGGCTCGTGTGACGGAGGAAACTTCGAGCCCTATTACCACTGCCGGTCCGACGATCTCGGAGGATTCCCGGGAGAACGGCAAGGAGGTCGAGCAGACCGAAGACCTTATGGAGGTTGCTACGCCGCAGATCTCCAACAAGGAGAACGAGGGATTCCCCGAGAAGACGACCGAGTCGAAGTTGTCTGAGAATGAGAAGAACGAGAAGACTGAAAAGAGTGACGGGACTGCAGAGCCCTCGAGCGTCATGGACTCGGAGGTCCTTGGGGAGATGAAGAACGTGGCTATTTAGAGTTTTGAGTTTGAGCTCGTGTTCGTGCTCGTACTTGTGCTAAATGGACATTTTTCCTCGCTGCTCTTCTTCCTTTCTTGCCGTGTCTTTATCTACCTCTATCACCTCTTTTACCTATCTCGCACTCTCGCAGGGTCTCTACTGCATTCTCTTTCCAATCCAAGGGCAACGCAGGCGTCGATGAAACGAACTTTTGGATCTACGTGCCACTGTTTCTGATTCGTGTATAGAACTTTATTTTTGTTTTCTTTTTCTTCCCTTTGTCCATCTGTGTTTGTTCCTCTCCGGATTCTGTGGCTTCGCGGCATTTGTTGTAACTTTTGGGGGGGGCCGAGGGTTAAGCTTGAGCTTTTTTTATTTTCCTTGTTTTGCTTAGTGTTTTGTGTTGCTTTTTCTTGGACTCGCCATCAAGCTGGCTTCTGTGCTCATGGTCTTGAAGCCTCTGCTTTTCTCCATTGAATATTTCCCTGTAATTCTATCATGAGGCAGTGTTAGTGCTTTGCGGTTCTTCCGAGGGCTTGGCTCCAATTCATTTCCCCTTTGGTCGAGGGTCTGGCTGTGTCTGGTTCTTGTTCTGTATCTTGTGTATTTGTATACCCATATAATGCTCATGGCGGTAAGTCCATTGGTTTCTTTTGATTGGTATCCTATATGCCGTCTCCTCTATATCATATCATCCAGGGGGTATGTCATACTCAATGTCAACATATACAAGCATCCCATGCTCAAGAGTCAACTCTTCATCCTCATTTACACTCCAATGATACCTTCTCCTCCTCCTCAATCCCAATCGTCATCGTCATCATCCTCGTCAACCCTCTTCACCTTCCCACTCCGAATACTCTTCCCCTTCCTCCCCCCAAACCCATTCCTCCTCCTCTCCCCCTCCTCCTCACTCCCCTCATCCTCCCCCTCACTCCCATCCCCATCCTCACTCCCAAGCTTCACAGCCACAAAAACCCCCTTCCCAACCATCCTCTTCTCCAAAACACCAACCCGGAACCCACTATCCGTAGCATCAAACCCTCTCTCCCCCAACCCCTCAAACCCAACAACCCTCTCCACGCCCACCCCATCCTTAAACCCAATCACGCACGGCAACACCCTGATCCCCAGCTTCTCGACTAGGAACGGCGTGTTGCGCACGTCCACCCGCGCGAAGCGTACCTCGTGGTGGTGCGGCGCGAGTTGCGTCAGCGCCTGGTCCATCATTGCGCACCGCGTGAAGTCTGGGTGGAAGAAGTGGATCAGACTGCGTGTCGACGAGGTCGTGTGGTCTAGCACTGATTGGTCGGTTGTGAGGGTTGGGTAGGAGTCGTTGTGCGTCAAGGTAGCAGTATTGGCTGTGGTGGTGGTGGTGGTGGTTGTGGTGGAGGGAGCGTTTGTGCTGCGGTTGTTTTTGCCAGAGGCGAATTCGGCGTTTAGTTGTTGGATGCGCGTGTCGCGGTAGCTGGGGTCGTCTTCGTTTTCGAGGGCTGCGAAGAGAGCTTCGTCGTCTGAGTCTGTGGCCATTCTTGCGGGACTAACTCCTGGTAAGGAGATTGGTTGGTGGTTGGTGGGAAGGAGAGGGTTGTGATATGGTGGTGTATGGGGTTTCGGGTGGTCAATTGAGTGTAAATTGGCAACTTTTGAAGTGCTTTGTGGTGGTTCAATTGAATTGAGGGGGGTGTTGGAGGTTGGAGGTTGAAGGAAGGTTGGAGGATGCAAATTAATTTGGAGGGGCACGGGGGGGCTGCTCCACCGGGTAGCTCGTGGTTCCTCTTGGTACTGCGGTTCGAGCTACTTTTTTACGAACTACTTACTGATAATGGAGAAATTTCCCGAATTATTGTGTTTGTAGATATATGATATTCTGCATATAGAAGTGTTCTGGATTTTTAAAGCGTTAAACATTCAATCGGTTTGGGATCGGGAACGTTTTGACGTAGCATAGACAGAGAAAAGAGTGTGCTCCAATACCAGACACTACACTATCAATAGACACTATTTGGTGTTTTCCCCTAGTTACTTAGTTACTACGTATAGGCTTATTAAGCCTTATTAGAGGAGTTGGTAGAAAGGCTTCTTTCGTACGCCTATCAATCGAGTTTTAGGGGCCATATCCAGAGAAATATGGACATATATTCAGGTATGAGTAGGCTATGAAAGACGACTCAAAATCGATATTTATCAACCATTTCACTCGGTGTTATGGTGAGCGGGTCACTGAACAACACCATTGAATATAGTTGACATGCCCTGCCCTGTAAGCTTCTTCTTTGAAAATATTGAACCACTTGTGTTGTATATAAGGCAGAAAAGTCTGTAAGTCCTTGATAATTTCATAGACTCTCTGTTTATTGCAAGGCTCGCGACCAAATACAACCAAACATAATGAGGCAATCATGTACCAATAAGTGGCCGTTCATAGTGGTTCTGGGACACGACTTGACTTGAGTAATTGTCAGTAGACATGTCTATCTCGTTGAGATTCTCATTATATTCGCTGTACTCCGCCCCAATGCGTGAACGGTGTGATCTGATTCGGCGCAAAACAAGCAGCGTTGGTTGGATGTCCAAGCCCTTGGTGTGCAGCGTATTGCCCAGTTTCAGCCCCGCCTTGCGCTCAGCCTCATCGAACTTGAGGCCTTGGATATCCTTTTCGACGCCCTCTCTGGGCTTCTCTCTTCACTTGATGTCTTCGCTTTCCTAGATTTCATCGCATCGAAATTGAAACTTTGATCGTCGTGCTACCAAGGCTGTCAAAATGGCGGAAGCCTTGTCAGTGGTTGGTGCTGTCGCGTCAGTCATCCAGCTGGTAGATTTCACTACCAAAGTCTTCGAGCGAGTGAACCAGTATATTCGCCGTGCGGATGAAGCTCCGGAAACCCTGCGTGATATTGGAATCCACTTACCACTTTTCATCGACGCATTGCGTCGGATCCAATTCCATATCAACTTTGGCCACTTCAATCCACAAACCTCATCCGCGCTAAAGATCTTGATCGATGAATGTTATTCGCAAATGATTGTGCTTGATGATCTTATGACAAAATTGGCGCCTAAACAGGGTGAATCAAAACTGACTAAGACTCGAAAGGCGATTCTCAGCTTGAAAGACGAAAAGACCTTGGAGAGGATCTTCTCCAAAGTTTCGGGATATATCAAGATGCTACTGTTGTATCAGAATTCCGTTACTGCAACTCATACAATGGTCAACACCAAATTAGTGCTGAAACAACTTGAAAATGCGTCCTGCTCGGAAACAACGATGAGCATAGACTGTGTTCCCACGACCGGAGACTCAAGAAGCCTGTCAACTGAAAACAGCGCACCACATGTGGCTTCAAAAAGTCTCGCCAACTACTTCAGGCAGAAAAAGCAACGACGATTATCATATTTTATGGGACTGGCCAGGTTTGGCTTTTACTGGGCCTTCCAGGCAGACCTGGATCTCTCCTGGGGAAATTATGGCTTCTCTATCAGCCCTAGCCTTCATTTCCAACGGCTGGTGAAGAACACTTCGCCAGGATTCCAGTTGGTGTACAAATGTTGTTTTGACCAACTTGACATTCAAACAGCATGTCAAGAGCTCTTCAATCTATTTCAAAGAGGGGTCATCTCGCCGTGGGATACCTTCCCTGACGGAACGACGTGGCTCGAGGTATGTGGATGGTCCTAATTATAGGGAGTCTTCTCATTGACACAGGTTTCAGAGACTTTTGAAGAATCATGTGATAGAGGAGACCACTATCGCTGAGTTTTTCATAACTCTATGTAAATGTGGCGCACCAACAAGAAACAAAACACCGTGAGTTAAGCCGTGTTCAAATGTTTTACATTTCCGCTCCATTGACTAAAGATCTCATGTACATAGACTTCTATCGCTTGTCGCTGGATTAAGCCGCGGAATACGCTTAAAAATATTGAAAGAATTACTCGCATCGGGATACGATTGCTCTTTGGACACTACGTACACGGATATTTGGGACCTTGGGCGATTCAGCGACCGTCGTAAACTCCTTCGGAGTTCGTTCTATCAAGACGGCGACGAAAGCGAGCCTTTCATCCTTAAATTTCTTGTGGAATGTTCCAAAAATGCTTTCGGTAAGTTTGAGTAATGTCTAGATGATGTTAGCACCCTATGTCTGACATTTGCATCCAGGAGTTTGGGGCCAGACTCTCCTGATGGACAGTATTCTATGTGGGTCTAGGACCAAAATTTCAAAGCTCTCGGAAAAGCTTTTGGAGCATCCGGAATGTCTTAAGGCAAAGAATTCTCTCGGCCAGACAGTCTTTCATCTCGCTGTTCTGCGGCCAGATGTACTCTCGCTGCTAATAAAGGCATGTTCCGACTTTGGTGTTCCCGACTTCAATGCAACCGACTCTTGGGGCAACAGCCCTCTACATTATGCTGCAGCTTATGGATGCACCGAGTCAGTAATAAGTCTGCTCAGGACCGGAGCAAATGTCTTGGAAGAGGGGCATCTAGAGTTTATACTATCGGCTTTGTTTTGGAACCACTGGGATGTGGCAGTCGAAGCTCTAACATTTCTTCGTGCAACCTCGCGTACCTTCGAGGCATCCATGCAAATTGAACTGCGTTATCTCATGACTGAGCTACTTGATGGTTCAGTTACAAGTCGGTTGCGGGAACTTTACTGGAGAAGGTCCTCCGAGCTCCTTGAAAAGATCTTTAGCCTGGGCGTTGACAAGCACATGCTATTTGAAGACGGCAAGACTTTATTGCATTATGCTCCAGACCCAGAGTGGATAGATTATTTGTTCGATTCAGGATTTCAAACTCTTGATCATAGCGACAGTGAAGGCGATACTGCTTTGATGACATTCATCCCGGATCGGACTGGTCGCGTGGGTAAAATTTTGGCCCGAGGATGTAATTTTGATCAACGAAACAACAGAGGCGAAACAGCATTGCAGATGGCATGCGCGCGAGGAAATTTCGATTTGATTTATGCTTCGACTGACGATGAGGCTTATCTCAACTCGGCTGCTCTCGAATTAATATCGATGGATCTTGCGGTCATAGCCGAACTTCTTCACCAAGGCGCAGATACTTCGATTCGTGACAATTGTCGCTGCCCCTGTGCCCCTGATGGATGTTCTGCGTTTCTTAGAATGCTTTGTCCACATGGATACCACGAGACAGGCTACGTATGGATACTTGAATGCCTCTTGATGCTCAATGATTTCCAAGGACAGACAGTTGCCCAAAAAGTGTTGTTCGAGATAAAACGTTTGCGGGAATTTGAATCGGCTGATATGACCCATGTCTGCTGCAGGAGAGGGCAGATGCCTTATAATCTCATGGACGACGCAGAAGTCGATGAGATTATCGAAGAGGAGAGTGAGTTTGTGACAAATCTTGAGGAGACTATGAGAAATGCATCTTTCAACCCGGACAACGAATCACTCGAAGAGGGCTGGCTAAGTTTGATCGGCGACTTTTGTACCCCTTATCAGGCCGTCAAGTTCGAAAAGATTTGGCAGTCGTGGGATCCAACTACCGGTGAATTCTCTGAACGAGCTTCATTCAATACCAATTTGATAAGCCCATACAACACTACATCGCTGAACAATGTTCGAATCGAAGAAGAGGAAGACAAGTATTGGTTATTGATGGATAATCCTAATTTTGATGGGATAAGCATGAGTTCGGCCTACTCCATGTGGGTGGAATGGATTTACCAAAATCCAGACAAATACCACTATCCCCTTCCAGTGGACAAGAATTGGTATGAGAAAAGGAAGCATTGGGCGACTCGACAGGCTAAGGTTCTCGAAGGGCTATCTTGATCGACAACACGATCCAGAAAGACTTATCATTTCGACAGTCTGATCTTCTTTCTTCAATAACTTTGCTGTACAGAGTCTTTCTTCTGTCTTACTGTGTGTCCTCTCCCGTAGCCCCATAGAGACCTTCAGGCATAATCATGCTATATGAGCCTTATGGGCATGCTGTCAAAAACGGGTAAGGGATTAGGTACTGGTAGAGTGTAATCGAACACAAGTCCAGCCAAAGATAATACAGATAAATTAGTTCTGAAGAATCATTGATTGTATGTTGAACAGGAATTAGATTGTTTATTACAATGGGCTTCGTTTCTCTTCTTTCAAGACCGGACAACTCATGTGCTATGCTGTTAGGGTTTGTTGTGAATTCTAATCCTAGCTGAGTCTAGTCAAGTTGGCTAATTAGAGAACCCGATTCGAAAGCTCATCTCTCAAAGTTGGTGTGTATTATTTGACCCAGTCATTTTCTCACTAACTTATTTAGTCTTAGTACGGTTTCTATAGGTCCGAGCATTCAGCAACTGAGGTTGAACTTGGCTGAGTCAGCCGCCTGTGCCTCCTGCTGAGGTAAGCAGGCTGGTTCCGGCCAAAAGATTTGCTCCCCTTGAGGGTGTTTTCTCCTTTGCGCGTCGTGTACGCTCCGTTGTCTCAACTCCGCTTCATCTCTCGACCATTTTGGGATTTTTGCGCTTCATTCTTGGGCGTTTCCTTTCGCTTTTCTCCGCATCCCTTTTGGTCTCCTCCTTTCTTTACAAACAGCCTCCCCAAGTAATCCGCTCGGGGCTACTCCGCCACCATGGTCGAAGACAAGAAGACCGACGACTACACCGTCGAGATGGACAAACTCGATCAGGGGGGAAACAAAGAATTCGAGGCGGCACCTCCTCCTTTGACTCGTGCTGCTAGTTCCCCGCCTTCTTCTCTTTCAAATAACCCTGCCCTTCCGGTTCTGGCGTATTGCGGCTCTTCCATCCTGATGACCGTGATGAACAAGTATGTTCTGTCGGGATTGGACTTTAACTTGAACTTTTTGCTGCTCATGATCCAGGTATGTGGGTTTGATATCTATCGGGGTGCAATGGCCTGTCTAATTTGCTAATTGTCCGTCAATAGTCCATTGTCTGTATCTTTGCCATCCAAACGTGCAAGTCTATGGGTCTGATTACCTACCGTGACTTCAACACCGACGAGGCCAAGAAGTGTATGATGTTCCCCTCTATTCCAGTCAATCTTGCAATCTTGAGCGACAATGAGAATCTTGACTAACATTGTTCTTTCCCGCTGATAGGGTTCCCTATTACCCTTCTGCTGATCGGCATGATCTACACCGGCTCCAAGGCCCTCCAGTTCCTGTCCATCCCCGTCTATACCATCTTCAAGAACTTGACCATCATTCTGATCGCCTACGGTGAGGTCCTCTGGTTTGGTGGCTCCGTCACCAACATGACGCTCTTCTCCTTCGGTCTGATGGTTCTCAGCTCCATCATTGCCGCGTGGGCCGACATTAAGCACGCCGTTGAGAGCAACGGCGATACCAGTAGCAAGGTTTCCACTCTGAATGCTGGTTACGTCTGGATGATGATCAACTGCCTGTGCACCTCTTCCTACGTGCTCGGCATGCGCAAGCGCATCAAGTTGACCAACTTCAAGGACTTTGACAGTACGTATTTCCCCCTGTCTCTGCGATGCATAATGAAACGCCATGCTAATTCTCAATGCAGCCATGTTCTACAACAACCTCCTCTCCATCCCCGTCCTCATCGTTGCCACTCTGCTCGTCGAGGACTGGTCCGCTGCCAACCTGGCCCGTAACTTCCCCGAGGCCAACCGCAATGGTATCTTCTTCGCCATGATCATCACCGGTGTATCCTCCGTCTTCATCTCCTACACCTCCGCCTGGTGCGTGCGTGTCACCTCCTCCACCACTTACTCCATGGTCGGTGCCCTGAACAAGCTCCCCATCGCTGTCTCTGGCCTGGTCTTCTTCGACGCCCCCGTCACCTTCCCCAGTGTCTCTGCCATTGTCGTCGGCTTCGTGTCCGGCATTGTCTACGCTGTCGCCAAGATCAAGCAGAATGCCAAGCCCAAGACCGGCGTTCTTCCCACCTCCAACCCTCTGGTCAGCGCCAGCAGCCAGAGCATGCGTGACTCGCTGCGCTCTTGAGCCAAGCTAGGCTATCATCAAGTTGAAAAGTTCAATGACAGCAGCTGCGCCAAAAAGCAGAGAAAAGAGATGAAATGACCTTTCCTTGTTGTTCTTGTTCTCATCCTTGTCCAGCAAGTCACCCATTGTCGAAAACTTAGGGTGGCTGTGGACCCCGTGCATCACCGCTTCCCTAAAAATACAGCAGGGGAGCTTTACTTTCCTGCATGTGTATGATTCATGTTTCATTGCAGCTGTCGATTCCCATACTTTCGTGGGTTGAAGGGTCGATACTATGCTTTCGGTGTTGGTGGATTTTCTTTTCTTTCTTCTTCGATCCGACCCTTTTCTCGTCTGTCTGCAGTCCTCCTCCCTTCACTTTCGATAAGAGGAGAATAAAGGAGGAGGCCGACAGAAGAGCCCGGCCTTTGGCCTATAGTCTTAGTAATTTTCCGGTGTGTTTTGCGGGCATAGCCTGGTCTGTTTTTTGTTCCTGTATATAGCTATGCCATGTTGAAATAGAACGTGTCTTTTCCTTCAATATGCCACAAAGTAGTGTTTTTTAGATCTAAATCACACAGATCTAGCTCGTGCCGTAGGGTAATGTCCTTGGAGTGCCGGAGAACTCTAGATAAGCCCGGAACTTTGATCGCCCGAAGCCAACCCCGTTTTTCACCTCGACTATTATTTCCGGAGTATACTCACTAGCTACACGCCACGACTTGCCACTTCCACGGGCTATTGAATACATCAATTTCCCTCTCATATCGAAAATCTATTTATTGGTCTCTCAGTCATTCGCACAATGCCTCGCAAGAAGCAAAAGAGCGGCCCCGCGCCACGCTCCCATCGCCCTAGCGGTCCAGCCAAGCCTGGTCCTGCTCCAGCATCGCAGGCTAAGAACAAGGGCTCTAAGCCCGATCACTCTGCCAGTGGCACTGTTAAAGAGGGCAGCCAGAAGAAGCAGGCGCTGCAGGCGAATCAGAGGCCGATTGTGCCATTCTTGAGGGGGGATCGTATCTTGTTGGTTGGAGAGGGTAAGTCTGCTGCTTTTTTATTCTGCAGTCTTTTCAGATGTTGTATATTCAATTCCCTGCCCTTTGTCACTTATCTCATTTATCTTCATGATTCTTGGAGGAATTGCAAAGTGCCCGGGCTTTGATATCTAGTACTGGGAATGGGAGCAAGATAAAAGAGACGGACAGCAATGATCCAAGCTTCTATCTTGCTAATCCATAATTCCCACATCTCCTTATATACCTAGATTATTTTGGTACAAGCAAGCTAACATCTCTCCAGGTGACTTCTCTTTCGCCCGTTCTCTGGCAAAACAATACAAATGCCGCAAACTATGCGCTACATGCTACGACTCGAAAGAGACGCTTTTCAGCAAATACCCACAAGCCGAGCAACACATCCAAGAGATCCTAGACTCTTCAAAACCAAAGCCCAAATCAGCATCCGAAGATGCAGAGGAAGCAAAAACCTCTGAATCCAATGCTCAGCCCACATCCACATCACCCTCAACGCAAAAACCCACGCCAAAGGTGCTCTTCTCCGTCGACGCACGTAAGCTCGGCTCTCCAGCCGGCGGCGGCAAAGAAATCCGTACGGGCTTCCCTCGCAAAGAACCCAAAATTCCAGCCTGGAAGCTCCACCAGCAAAGCCAAGCGCAGGCGCAAGGGCAGTCTTCTACTCCCACTGTGTCGTCGCCACCCAGCGGACCGTGGGATGTGATTTGTTTCAACTTCCCACATGTCGGCGGTCTCTCTACGGATGTCAATCGACAAGTACGCGCAAACCAAGAACTACTGGTAGCCTTTTTTAAAGCTTGTGTACCCCTACTCTCCACGGCGCCAGCACCTGTGGATGAAGACGAGGAATGGGAAGAAGATTCCGAAGAGGACTCTGATTCCGATGAAGATGGAAACGAAGACGGCGATGGCGATGCCCAGACTTCAGGCAAAGCCGTTCGCACCGGTCCCGGTCAAATTCTCGTTTCGCTGTTCGAGGGTGAACCGTACACCCTCTGGAATATCAAGGATTTGGCCCGTCATGCGGGACTACAGGTTGTTACGAGCTTCAAGTTTCCCTGGGCTGAGTATGAGGGGTATTCGCATGCGCGTACACTGGGTGAAGTTGAAGGGAAGGATGGTGGGAGAGGTGGATGGCGTGGGGAGGATAGGTTGGCTAGGATGTATGTGTTCGAGGTGAAGCCGGAGGAGCCACGTGGGAAGAAGAAGAAGAGAGCTAGAGAAGGGGATAGTGATAGTGAGTAGATTGGTATTTGCTGAGGATATAGAACTAAAAGAATATTTGATTTGAATTCCAGGTCATTCCAGATGACATTCTGGCCGAGATATGGTGGCATTCCGCTTCGCAGGATGAAATTAATTTGCCCTTCTACTTCGTTACATGATATACACCTTCTTCATCTCGCTCTCGTCGAAGACTTCGCCCGTCGTCGGGTCCTTGACCTTACCCGACTCGACGGATCCGACATTCTTGCTGATGTCCAGTAGCCGTGCCTTACCGTAGACGCGACCATTAGGCAGCACGATTGGATCACCTTCCACGTAACTCTTTGAGTGGTGCGCATATGGCATCTTGCGCGCCAACTCGTTCAATTCAGTAGAGCAGATGGGGCAGACGGATGTCGTCGTAGACTGGGAGTTGGAGCTGGAGGAAGTGTAGGCCGAATGACACAGTGGTGTCTTGAGCGCAGATAGGCCCGCGGACAGGGCTATGTGTAGTAATGGCTGTGACGGTAGGGACAAGAGCTCATGGTGTGTTTGGATGAAGAGGTCTGAGAGGAACTTCCACCGTTCGTGTGAGAAGAATGTCTGCGTTTGGTTAGTAGGGGTAGACTGGTTTGATTGTGGGGTACTTGGTACCTTGTATGGTTCTGCCCTAGTGTCTTGGGCAAAGACTAGCATTCCTGCTGCCCGTTGGATTTCCTTGCTGTCCGGGTCTTGGTTTGAGACTAGATACTTTCTGGCGTGGTTAATGGCATCGATTTTCTTCGACGGGTCCTGTGTCCGGACCATTTCAATATACTGCTGTAGCCGGAGTTCGAATTCGAGATTGTGCTATAAGACCTGTTAGAATGGCTCTAGATGCGGGTTAACCAGACAAAGAACATTGTCACATACCTGGCTCTTCTTAAGAGCAGCTTTATTCTCACCACACCACTGTAACGCCTCTTTAGTCTCTCCACGATGCAGGCTCTCCACGACCCGTTGGCACTGGGTAAAGACGTCCAGATCAACCAGGTCTTCTATGTCCCGCTCCTGAGCTAGCTGCTTCGCGCTCTCGGAGTATCCCGACCGCAGCATATGGTCCACCAGCAATCGATCCAGACGCACGCGCGACCATTGATCATACTTGACATCGGCGAGACTGGGAATCTGGTACAGCGCCTCCAGATGTTGAATACGTTTCCTCGATTGCGTCTGGATCTTCTTCTCTTCCTCCTGGAGGCTCTGCATCTTCCGCTTCAGTCCTTGCATGCGAGATATCATAGCATCGAGTGCTGCTAGTGTCTGGTCCGGCGTGTGGGTATTGGACAATGAGGCGTTTGCCGCCTCTTTGAGCGCAGGTAGTACATATTCTTTCTCTCGCTCGACTACTCGCTGGACGGTCTTGAAGTTTCGTCGTGCTAGTTCATGGGGGAGGCGGAGGAGTGGTTGGTCCTGTACAAAGTGGGCAATCAGCGGGTGACGTCTTTACTGCGGAGTTGCGCGATCGTACCAAGATCAGATGGCTTTCCGGGTTGAGCTTTATAGAGGTCAGCTCGGCAGCCATGGTGAGAGTATGATATCGTTTGATTCGCTCTTTGGCTTAGGGTTGCTTGCGAGATTTCTCTCTTTCTTCCTCTGAGCCAGGAAGTCGGGGTTAGGTGAAGGTCTGGTAATGTGCCGGAGGGGGAAATGCGGAGAGAACGGATGGGTCTGGTCACGAGATCTCTCGACTTCGTTATCGATACGGATGACTCCGTTGGCGTTGAGAAGTATTGTGATCACATTCATTATTGAATTCTAGAGGTTTTCTGTACTGGGTCTTGGATGTTTGGCAGTATGGCAAATGTATATACTTTAATATGATACCTGTCGTCTATCAGGAATAGCCTCTTTATTGAACTAGCAATACAATCCAACAGTCAAGTCATACTACTCATTCCTAGCTGTATATTACCATTGACAATTTTCTAGCATGCGTACTAGACTAAACGTAGACATACCTCCGTATCTATTTCTTGTCAACGGCTTCGGGTTTCCCAGACTTGAAATACCACCTTACTTGCACCTTTTGTGCTGATATAGATCATCCCAATACGTCGCCCAACTCTAGGGATCGCAGATCGCTTTTGTGGAATTTACGTTTGACATGTCAGTTTGGCCGAGTGGTCTAAGGCGCTTGACTTGAACCTCCCGACTTCCAAGTCAGGGCTAGGGGTGACCCTATCATGTTTAGGCATCAAGTCCCTTCGGGGGCACAGGTTCGAACCCTGTAGCTGACGTTTCTTTTTGTCTTGGTTGAGATGGTTTTTGCTTATCTCGTTCTCTTATCTATCAACTAATTGGCCTCATCGAAGAAGAGGGTTCTTCTTGATATGATTCACTGCTGGAATAGTCGAGGATTTCAAAGATTGGGGAGTTGGCGTATGTTAGAACGAGATGCCTTCCTCGGAATCCAATACCTTTTGAAATACAAAGAACTTCCTTATCAACAGTATTTGCCTCGTTGATGCTAATTGTCTTTTCTAAACTTTCAGTTCCTGGGGACCCCTGGAAAACCCTCTTTAAATCAAAGTCTTCTTCCTTCGATTTCTATTCTCAGGAGCATGGATGGTAGCCAAAGCGATTGAAAGCCACTTCTTTCGCCACGCCTTCACTCAATCTTTAGAAACCTAGGCTGAATTAGTCCCCTTACGGATCTTAACGCAAATAATCAGGCCAAACTAGTTTGGACATTCCACAGTCAGAGGTATCATTACTACGTTCTACTCACTTGACTTCCATCATCCGTTTAACTTATTCAATCTTTCTCAGAGTGCTTGCTTCGGCCTACAATACATTCTACCGTGAAGTCACGACGCGGCCTTCCTTGATAATTGCTAGCGAACGGTAATCAGGCCGATTAACGACAGTGATATCATATAGGGTTTACATTTAAGATGAGCAAGTCAGTGGCAAACCTAGGCGCAACCTGACCAAGGGTGTTCCATTTGCCATTGGTTTGGCTAAGGGTGCCGGCTCGCGTGCCTTTGTGACTCTCACCGGTATTCGGTATCAGAAGGAGGAGCACCCTTTGCGCATTGGGTAGGAAATCTCGCATATGGAACAATCTTGACCTTCCATTATCTGGCCGACAATCATGGGAATCAGTTTATGGATCAGCTGCAATGGGCTGCCTCAGATTGATGGCGCTTTGTTCTTGTCTTGGTCACCAGAATGTGACCAACGCCCAATGGAAGGCTATTTTCAGCATCTGCGGTGCTCTTTGGCCGTGCTTAGCATTCTACTTTTCTTCTTGGTGCCGACAAGCCCCAGAAAGGCGTGGTTTCTCAACCCTCAGGAGCGATTCATAGCAACGCAGAGAATGCAAACAGAAACTGAAAGGGTTAACCGGACAGATTTCTCTATTCCAGAACTGCAAGAAGCGGTGATGGATATCAGGGCCTATCTAAACTCCCTTTTTGGTGTCCTCGTGACACTACCTGCGCCAATTTTGCGGTAAGCTTGCATTTCTTCAATGGATCTGGATCGTATGTAGATTTTGACATCATCAGGAGGGCAGCTTGCTTCACTTATCATATACAATCTAGGATACTTTACTTTCGAGCCAGGCTATGCACACTACCCAAGGGTGCAATTCAGATTATCTTCATATAGGTCGGGGTTGTTCTGTGCGATCTATGACCAAATCGTCGGTGTGCCATTACAATTTGGCTCACAATAGTCCCACTCCTTAGTATCATTCTGCTCTTTGTGCTCTACTTGTCAGCAGGAGTATGACTGTTGTATCATGGTTAGTACGTAAATGACAGAATTCGTAGTTTCCTGCTATCTTTGGCAAAACTCATCATTGTCCTTCATAGGCCTCTATCATCTCAAAGATCTTATTTCATTAAGTCAAAATACTTCGAATGCTCGCGGAAATACAAAAAAGATCTATTATCAATACTCTATTTTTCGTTGGCTACGCTGTCGGTGCCATTTGAGGGCCATTGCTCTGGAACACTGAACATGCACCCAGAGATCGCAATGGCCTCGAAGGAAATACACATACCCGAGGCTAGCGGAACTAGGAATCGATGGCCAAGAGTATGGGCTATCAACTGAAGAGGGTGAAACATCCGCGGAGCTTGCGGGCGAAACTCTAAAAACTAGCAAGAACCGTATGGATACACACGAGCTTGAATGTTTTTTGGATATCCACGTGTTACGTTCATGCGAAATGTATTCTATCACAGATTCATGAATCAAGATAGCACCAGATACTGTGCGAGAGGTGTTACTACTCAGATCGACGTAGCAGAGGCTGAGTCGTCTGCTATGTTACAGCATGCTCTCGAAAAGACTGTTGCAACTTGAGATCCAACCAAAATCATGTTATGTTATGGTATAAACTTATCGAGGGCCACTGAACTTCAATGAGCAAGTTGCAACAGGCTGTCGAGGTAGTCAAGGACATAGTTATTGCAATCTTCAACAAGAGGAATGAAATATCACATCGCAAACTAGTTCCGAACGTGAGAGCAATGTGAGAGTATTATGGCCCAGTCCTTACTCCTATGAATATTGAAAGTAGGGAGCAAGTAGAGTGAGCATCGTTGGAGCAATGTATAACAGAGAGAAGCAAGTTAATATTGAATGGCTAATTAGCCCATGTGTGTAAGTAATGATGTTAGTTACCTCTGGAGCTACCTATGTTACTCATAAGCCGATTACAAGAGACTAACATGGATGTAAGCAAACCCGATCTGAAGGTGCTTCTTTCACCCTATCTTCTTTCACTCTCAGTCTTTCCTTAGAACTCCGAGCAAGATTAATAACTGTCTCTTTTCTAAGGGCTGCATGGCAACTACCTATACCAGAGACCCATCGTCCCAGATAGGCTTCGAGCCTGTGCCTAACCTAGTCAAGGACAAGTAGGGACATGAAATCATACGAAGGAGGAACTGTGACATTCCCAGAGATTAGAAAAGATTGTAACAATGCCAGGCTTATCAAGCACAAGACCAAGACCAAGACCAAGACCCAAAAAGACTTTACAAGAACAAAACTTATAATTCGAAATAACATTCGAGCGACTATAAATCTTCAAACCGACAGATTCCCTTTTGACCCAAGACTCCAGAAAAGAAAGTAAAAGCAGAAAATATGATACAGGAAATAGACCAGGCAAAGGGTTGGTCTTCTCTTCCTGGGGACATCTACTCGCTATCATCGCTGTCCTCAGCCTGCTTGGACTTTCGGCGCTCCTTCTTTTCCTTCTTCTCCTTCTTCTTGCGCTTGCGCTCGGCCTTCTCCTCGGCGGTCTCGCCATCGTGACGCTTGCGCTTCTTCTTGTCATCATCGGCGTCAGCCTCGGCCTCGGAGTTGGGGGACTCGGCCTCCTCGGCGGGGGCAGAGACGGGGGCCTCAGAAGTGGCAGCGGGCTGCTCCTCGCTGCCGTCAAGAGGAGCATTGTAGTCCTTGTACTCGGTCTTCCACTTGGCGGGGGTGGCCTCGTTGGTGCGGCCGTACTTGTCGAGCTTGCCAGCAGACTTCAGCTTCTTCTTCTCCAGGGCAATGGGGCCCAGTCCCCAGCGACGGGGGTACAGGTCACGCTCCATGATGCAGCGCTTGACCTTGGCGACGACACCGTGGTCGCAGGTGGTGAGCTCAACGGTGGACATCTGGGCAATACCAATGGCGATAGCCTCACCCTTGGTGGTCATGAGGACGACCTCCTCGTTGACCTCAATGCCGGACTCTGCAAATACATAGATTAGTCTTTTATTCTAGACGTCTAGAGTGAAAGGAATAAAACCTACCGAAACGAAGGAGACCAGGAATCATCAGCTTGGCACCGTAGCAGACGGCGTTGACAGCGCTGTCCTTGACGACAATACGCTTGTAGGAGGTGAGCAGACTCTCCAGAGGCTTGATGACACGGCGGAGGTAGGTCTCGTCACGCTGGTTGTCGTACATCCACTGGGCGTCCAGAACGTCGTGGAGAGTAACCATGCCGCTCTCCTCGTTCATGGCACCACTGCGGACACGGCGCAGCTCCTGCATGTGAGCACCAACACCGAGGAGCAGACCCAGGTGGACACAGAGGGTACGGATATAGGTACCAGCCTCACAGCTGACCCAGAAGACACCGAGGTGGCGCTCATTGTCGAACTCGTACAGCTTGCTCTCGTGGATGGTACGGATACGGAGCTGACGCTTGACGGCAGAGATCAGGGGAGGACGCTGGAAGAGAGCACCAGTGAGGGTCTCGAGGGCGCGGCGGAACTGAGCCTCGCCACCGGGGATCTTGTCGTGCAGACGGATCACGCAAACGTACTCCTTACCGGCACCCTGCTGGGACTTGACCAGACGGGTGGCACGGTCAATGCAGACAATCAAGCAGCCAGTGACCTTGGGATCGAGAGTACCACTGTGACCGGTCTTCTCAGATCTATCATGAGAGAATATGTCAGTACCCATTGATCTAGTCGAATTTTGGTGGAAACCGGCAGATGTCAGAAGGGATTTACCTGAGGATGCGCTTCATCCACGCGACAACCTCGTGGGAAGACGGGTTGGAGGGCTTGTCCAGGTTGATAACACCGGAGCTGATGTAGGACTTGAGGTCACGCTTCAGGGGAGAAGCACCGGCAGGGATAGGAGTGAAGTGACCGGTGCGAACGAGCACTGTAAAAGATTCGAGATCAGTTAGCCATGGTCAACGCCGGTTTTTTCACTCCCCCGAGAAAAAGTTTCACACGTACGCTTCTCATAGTTCTTGAGCAAAAGAGGCCAGTCCTCGCTGGACTGAGTCGGCTTAACCGCCTCGGGCTTGATGGTGTAGTCCACCTCCATGTTGTTGACGGCGGCCATCTTGGTGGTTAGTATGCTGTTGAGGTCCAAAAATTTGTTCGACGGAACGAAATTTTGCGAGTGCGGCAGCTCCAGTGCCCGATCAGGTTAGCGCCCGCTGGCGGTCATGTGACTGTGGCTGGCAAGGCTTTTCTACTGTTCCATTGGTTGAACGCAAAATTCCATGGGATTCGCACAATATTATAAGCATAGCAAAAGATGGACTTGCATGGTAATGAAATTTGATACCGCTATGGATTAAGGAAGAGTCGGTACGATGTAATGCTAATTTATACAAAATTTGGTGGGATCATGGAGAGAGCCCATCCTTAACGATGATACTCCCCAAGGTAAGAAGACCCTGGAGAGGGCATAACGAGAGAAATAGAAGACTACACTTTCTATGCCTGCTCAAGCCCTTCTAGATTGCATGGAGCCATTGAACTTAGCCCAGTCTGCGTCCAGATCCCCAGCTACCCCAACTGCTCCCGGTGTCAGCACCAGAGGCTCGACTCTGGGGGGCAGACTCGGATGGTTGGGGTGCATGGTAAGCCGTGCCGTACCCACGGTATCCAGAATTCGGGGTGTGCTTGTAGAAGAATTTCTGCACGAAGAGAGGGGTGAAGATGAAGTTTCGGCCGCCGCCGAAGGTCGGGTAGAGGCGGGTGATGAAGTCGTAGAGATGGGCACCCAGGATACCGGTACATTCCAACAGCATTGCAGGCCACCCGCCACGAACCATGGTGATACATAACATGGCGGCGGGCAAGTAAATCACCGGGATGTCAATGACGAAGAATCTCACACGGGTGCCACGTTTGTCCTGGGCAAAGGTCCAGACCAGGGCCATGATCAGGGCTAATTACGGGAATTCAGCGCCTGCCTACAGAGAATGCCTGCAATAAGTTGCATCAAGGGGGGAAGGGCTTACCATGGAGGAAGGAGCCATAGCCCAGATAGAAGCCTGCGGTAAGCTTTAAGAAGGTTAGCACGTTGGGCAATAATAGAGTTGGCTACCGTGGGAAGCAGAGTCGATGTGGACAGTGGATGAAAAGAGTGAATCGAAATGATATTTGGGAATGATAGATATAGGTAACAAGATGATGGATGATATGTAGAATGTAGGGCACCTTAACCACCGTTCGCGAATAGAATCACGACAGTTATCTCATAGGTAGTCCCACCAATCCCACACCGCATGCAGTACCATTTTTATTTTGCGAATGAGGTACTGCACGGGATGCAGGGGTAATCTTCCTCGCTTCCAGGAACCGCTTCAGCTAGAATGTGGCTGGGCGGGCAGATAATGCGAGGTGACAGGGCAATGAACGCGAGAAAACAAAAAGCAATGACTCTACAGTAGCTGGCCATGGGGGCAAGCAAGTCACTTACCAGAATGACGGTGCTTACGAACAGGATGTAGATGAAAAAGTCACCAGGCTTGGAGAAGCGACCCGACTGACTCTCCAGGGCACTGCTGTAGCGCCATAGATTGTACAGATCAAAGACGAACTCCAAATCTGGGCCAGTCAGGAAGAAGCAGGTTGCCAATCGCCAGACCTGTGGAGGCAAGTGGAAGAAGATTTTCGTCGGGACGAAGAAAATGTATTTGCCAGTGATAAGCCTGCCCCAAAACAGGAGTGACTCAATGAGGGTCAATGCAGTGAGTGTCCTGGGAATGACACGTTAGTTTTCGCCCCGGGACCTGCCTTTGGGACCGAGAACGACGAGCGTACCTGGCCACGGGAGGTGCCCGCCAGAAGACATCCATTTCTGCCGATTAAATCAGAGAGATGAATAGGAAAATGCTAGATGATGGGTTAGGAGACCGGTCAAGAGCTCATGTCATTAAACCCGAAGGCTATAAGCTTTGAGGACGGGAATTGAGAGGTGTAAGAAGAAGGAAAGGAAGAGCGACGTGAAAGTGGGAAGAAATAAAAACGTGTGCACACCCGCTACGGCAGTGAGTTTCTCCGACGTCCGCGAATTCTTGGCGCGGCTCTGTGCGGCTCACGGAGACACGGACGTCCGAGCTCAAGATGGCACTATACTAGACAGCAGACAACACACAGAAAAAATCTAAGGATGGAGATAAGATTACTTCAGAAACTCATTGAAACCAGCTACTGTGTCTTCCTAGAACTGCATTGTTCGTTCAGTCATGTCGAAGCTACAGGCATAGATAGTCTACCTACCCGATCGCGCTATATTTTGGACTCTGCTCTCCGATATGACACCCGGGTTGTCAAGCCAGAAGTATACAAAGTGGTGGTCAGCATTGTATTTGAAGATAGCCTCATCTACAGCCTTATGTCTAAATAATGGAAAAGCAAAATCAAATTACACAGCCAATAGTCTTGAGATTCGACACAAAAACTTAATGACTTTGCAAATGCTCTATTGAAAATGGACCTGGACCACCTCCAGACCGAGTCGTATGATACAAAGAGCACACTGCAGAACAGGCAATAAGCAGATAGGAATTTACACAATTATGAAGGAGTGTATTGGCAGGGTATCATTTTACAACATATCCAGTAAGTATCATACGCCACAAGTCCTCACCGTACCCCTCACAGCAAGCCCACCTTGAGGCCCCTCAATCCAAACATCCCAAGCGTCGCCATCCCTAGGCTTCCCACAAACAGTCAAAACCTCATCGACAAACAGCGGCGCAAGGTTTTTATAGTCAATATGTTCAACCCGTAGACCCAGGTCATGGAAATGTCGCTCCAGTACACTCAAAAGCAATGTCAATGTCAACGGCCCGTGGACTAGAAGATTGCGATACCCTTCTTCGTTTTGGGTATAGTTTTTGTCAAGGTGGATGGAGTGTGCGTTGAATGTTAGCGCCGAGAATCGGAAGAGGAGGGATTTGTTGGGTGTGATTGAGTGTCGTAGCGTTGCGCCGCCGGGGGCTATTGTGTAGAAGGAAAGTGAGTTGGCACAGAGTCCAAACAGAACAGTCAAGAGCGATGTCCTGCTCCGCAGATAATGTACATACCTTTTACTATCCGACCAGGATCTCCAAATAGCGCCTGGTCCGCCTTGATCTCCGCTGCGCTCTTAGTCCGCATGAATATAAGGTCTCGGTTCTCAATCACCGCCGCCTCGCCCGCAAGCGCCTCATCCTCCGTCCATATCCGGTGCCGCGTCTGGGCCTCGAATTCACCTTCGGGTACTGTACCCATGCGCCGCTCAATTCTCACAATCACTTTCTCGTCACCCTCGCGGCCCTTTACGGATACATTGCGGATCGATTCGATGCACACGGCCCGCCGGCCATCGAGCAATGGGCTCGTAGCCGGGAATCGCAGGTTCCCGCCGGCCCAGAGCCTTCGGTGGAAGGGGTCTCCCGGTGTATGTAGGACGTCCGTGCCGTCTGGGAGTAATTGCGACAGCGTTACTTGTGGCGGAAAGTAGATTAGATGGTGGGCGAGTGGAAGTGGAGATGGGTTCGTTATTGAAGGGAGACTCGTGTTTGTGTGTACGGGAGTAGACGCGGTCTTCGGGAGGAGATCACATAGTGAAAGATTGAGTAGATGCGAGGGCTGTGGGTGCAAGTAGTCGTAGAACAAGGGAATTTTGCGCGTAGTCAGCTCATGCTGTAGGCGCTCCGAGAGGGACGAGTAAGCACGGACTGTGTACCGCGCCATAGCTCCCCCTCCTCGCGCAAAGAGCAATGGCCGAGCTAGACACGTCGCCATCAGCGGGAAATGCAGAGCAAAACAGCCAGGAAGGCTATCAGCTCTAGATGCGGGGGAGATGTGAAACCTCCGATGGGCATCTCCGAATCTCCGATTAACCTTCGATAAACCTTCGAGTTTGCCTTGTTTGTTAACAAACCCGCACGAGGATGCCCTCACCGCTCGGCGCAGATCGCAATGCGCTGCTGGAGACCTGTGAACTCAATTGTCCGCGTCGTTTGCGCCAGACGTGGTCTTTCCTGTCAATCTCGTCCAGCATTCCTTTACAAAATGCCCGCCAATCGCTTGAAGGTGGCCTTCCTAGGTCCGCCGGCCTCATTCTCGCATCAGGTACGAGATCACTACAATTTCCCCCGCCAAGCTCATTCGTATTACCCCACATTATTGGCAGGATTGAGTTGGTCTCTAACAGTTGCTTTTCATCTCACAGGCCGCTGCAGAGTCCTTTGATAAGACGGACGCCGAATTAATCCCTCACGTCTCCTTCGCGGATGCCTTTACGGCTGTGCAACAGCAAGTCGCCGATTACGCGGTTATTCCCTTCGAGAACTCGACCAATGGCTCCGTTGTGCAGACATTGGATCTGCTTGCGGATCGTAACGCCCTCTACACGGACATCGAGGTCTGTGGGGAGTACTATTTGACCGTGCACCATTGTTTGCTCGTGCGCAAGGGCACGTATCCATCCGGTTGGGCAGGCTACGACGGCTCCATCACAAAGCTATACACACACCCACAGGCCTGGGGCCAATGTGATAATTTGTTATCGCAACATTTCAGGGGCGTCGAAAGACAAGATGTCTCGTCAACCTCCAAAGCCGCAGAGATCGTTTCGAAAGAGACGGGCGAGCATGCCGCAGCCATCGCCAGCAAATTTGCGGCCGAACATCACGGTGTCGATATATTGAAAGAGAACATCGAAGATCGCGCGGATAATACGACTCGCTTCTTGATTTTCAGGAATACTCGTGTTGAGCGTACTGCTCAACTTCAGTTCGAGCAACCGTCTACATCCACTGCAGCGACGACGCGCAAGACGCTGATCTCGTTTGCGATTGACCATTCTTCGCCGGGTGCTTTGGCGAATGCGTTGCTTATTTTCAAGGCTCATGGATTGAACCTTACGAGTATCAATACGAGACCGAGCTTGAAGCGTGCTTGGCAATATATCTTCTTCGTCGAGTGTGGGCGCACACCATCGGATGAGAACAAAGAGGCTGTTCTTAAGGCACTGGATGACTTGCGGCATGCTACGGAGTTTTGTAGGGACTGGGGATCTTGGAAGGATCAGCTTTGAGTGTGCAGTGCATTTACGGGGCTGTGACTGGTCGATAAGATTTTGGCTGTATATTTTGGGTGATCATAAAAAAGGGTCCAGAAGATAATAAGGGTGCTTAGATCTGATATCCTTACATTTTTATAAAAGAAATACATTGTTTCGGGGTTACTACAGTGGGCGAAAGACCTCTCAAAGCATAAGATCCCATAAGATGAAGTTAAAAGAATTCGTCCTCTTGCCTTACCAAATGGAAAGCAAAACTGGTCCAGTCAGAACCGGCAGGATGATAGGAATGAGTACACTAAGCCAGCGTCGTCATTCTTTCAATCCAGCGAACGTGTTTAAGAGCAATCGAATGTATTGAATTTTTTTTAGAAATAACGAATGCGATAAACAAAAAGAACGAGGACCCGGATCGACTTAAGGTTGATCCGGAACGACGGCGACAAATGGACCGAAGCAAGTAAACAATCACTCGCGCAATTGACCCTTTCCCTCCCAGTCCGCGTTTATGCGCGGTACAGACAGGTGGCAAAGGGCGAGTAAATGTTGCAGAGAATCGCATCCAACCTTTCAAATTGCAATTTACACCACATGTTCATCTCAGACACTGAGAGGACCTCAGTGAGCATGTCACGGAGCTTGGATGACCCTGTAGGAGGAGATGAGCGAGTTAGAAAAATGATACATTGACGGACGGTTGTATTGAACGAAGAACCCACCTCTGAGCAACTTCACGGGGCTTGGAACGGGGTGGTTGATGGTATCCTTTACGGATTCCTCGGTTCCAGTCTCGGAGTCGCTTGCTTGATCCACGGGGCGAGCCGTCAGAAGACTCGCCTCGGGAGCTTCTGGCCGTTCATCCTCGCTCTCTGCGAGGTGGCCGAACCGTCAATCGTCGTAGAACTCGTCGTCATCGCTGTAATCCGCGAGCTGCTCAAAGTTGACCTTGTAACGGAGAATGGCTCCGATACCACCGAAACCCTTGACGAACTGGTTACCCTCACTGGACCGGTCCGACACGAACTCCAGCTCCGCACCAAAGTCCTTGTAGGCCTCCGCCAGCCACTCCAGGAAGGAGGACGACTCGATGACTTCCATCTCAGCGCCGGTCTCCTTGTCTTGGAACAGCTCACGGTTACTCTCCTGGGCCTTGGTGGTGTTCAGGATGACCTCCGAACCAGCGGAATCCTTCAGAACCCAGCGGGTGACGTCCAGATTCTCGAAGACGATCAGGGTCTCGGCGGCACCGAGCTCCAGAGCCTTGAGGGTATCCTCGACACCGTAGCAAATCTTGCCAGTGTCCTGGGAGATCTCCTCGAAGTACTTACCAATTAGCTTCTTCTCCTGGATGAACTTGACGCTGCTCAGAGTCTCGGCTGCCAACTCGATGGCCTGGTTGAAACCGTTCTCACCACCGTAGGACACATCGACCACCTTGATGACCTTGGACTGCAGACGCTGGTCGAACATATCGGACTGGTTCAGGTCATTCTTGAAGTCGGCGGAACCAGCCAGAACGAGACCGGCGACGTTGACCTTGTCGTTGGTGATGTAGTTCTGGACAGCCAACTCGGCGATCTTACGAACGTAGTTGTGACGCTTTTCCTCACGAAGACGGGCGAAACGCAGCGCGGATTGACCACCACGACCCTATAGAGGAAAGAAGGTAAAGCGTAAGCAATGGTGAAGAGGCAAAGAAGGGTAAAGTATAACGCCTGGATACTGGGAATCCCGCAGGGGAACAATGGAGGAGTAACTGGGAGAAACTTACGTGCTTCTTGGGAAGATCGACGGACAGACGCTGCAGAATCTCACGAGTGTTACCGCTCAGGGTACCGAAGAGCGCACCGTTACCGTCCATGATGATGAAACCGAACTTCTGGTCCGACTCGAGCAGCTCGCTCAGGGCCTCGGTGTGGAACTTGTTGTCACACAGGTAGAGCGAAGTGTTGATAGGCTTGAAGGGCTCAAAATCAATGTTAATCTTGCGCTCCTTGCCTTCCGCGGTGATAATTTCACCACAGTAGACGACCAGGCCATTGGGAGGGACCTTGTTGTACAACTTGAGACGCTGCTGCGTGGAGGTAATGGCCGAAAGAACGGACAGACGATTCACACGAGACTTGATGTTGGAGGCAGTACCCTATTCGAGCGTTTAATTTCCGAAAATTTTCGGGGAAGTGGCGGGGGAGACCGGGGAACGGTATAGAGGAGAGGGGGGAAAGGCATACGTATTCTTCAGCCAACATCTTCGCGGCGCGAGAGATCTGATCCTTCGGGGCTGTATATGAGAGTTAGCGGGGACATGGTCCTTTTTTTCATATGCCACAAGGCCCAAATGATCAATATTGACTGGAGAGACGTACGGATAATGAGCGAAATCATGGAGGTACCATTTCCGCGGGCAGATTCAAGACGCTTGATCAGCTTCTTAACCTTCCAGATCTCAATGTTCTTCTCGGCTTCACCGCCCTGTCCCTGCTGTTGGGAACTCATGGTGGGCGAGGCGAAGGTGATCGGGTCGAGGGAGAGAGTATCCGAGGCCTTGCCTATCGACGCCTAACCGGGGTCAAAATTGGGGACCCGAGGTAACAAAGGCAAGAGTCCAAATACCTGGAATCAAGCGACAGGGACAAGTTAGCAGGATGGACGCGGCAGGTTTGAGCAAGAAGGGACAGGCAAGGACTCACAAATATATGTAGTGGAGAGGACTTCGACACCTTTGACGTCGTTGCAAAATTCCTTTTCGCTGGGCGTGGGGTTTCGAGGGGCTCTGGGTGGGCTGAGGTAAGCCGCATCCACGTTTTAGTTGGTCAGTTGGCGGTTCCGTTGATTTCGTGGGTTTCACTGGTTCGACTGGTTCAACTGGTGAGCCAAAAGTAACTAGAGTGACTGAACGGGTTTAGTTTTGGGGATCGCCCTGACAAAGTACCAAAAGTACCTGGATGTACCTCATCAAGGTACCTAATGTGTGTGATATGGTGTACGGTTTTTTTTTGCTATATCGACTCCAAGTGCAACCTGCATTACTGCCATTTGTTACTTCTGTTCTTATAATGTACACGTTTTCTAGTCGTTCGCATTCTCATTCTATTATTCCATCCATTTAGCAGGGTCCACCACTATTCGCCCCTCTTTTCCCGATCGAATTCTTCCAAATTTACCTAATAAGAGAGACCGTGATCACCCAAGTACTCCGTACTACTAAAATCGTACTACTGGTACCCCTGCAGCTAAACAAAACCCATAGTCTTGCATAATCATGTACTCATAACCTATGCATCTCCAAATTAAAATAAATTAGTTATTCTAGCGACTTCTACTGCCATTACATACTCGAAACTGTGGCGCGAGGTCAAAAAAGCGCTTATCAGCGCTGGGACGCTATCACCCCACACTACCAGACACTAACCGGAGCTTGGAGCTTCCCTTTCTCGTCTCCTCCGTTGCTTTCCTTTCCTTCTTATCTTTCCGGTTTTTTCGCCCCTTGGTTAAAAGAGTGCGCGTGCCGATCAAAGTCACTCTTGGTTCTCTGGAGTTCAACTAACCACAGATTCACGCCGAGACGGACCCGACACATTCGGATACGATTTCCGTCCCTGAGCCAAGCAAACGCCGTTGAATCTTCGCTTCGGAGTCCACTCGCCGCGATTGACTGGTAACTCCGGTGACACCTACTGGGACCTCCTTCAAGAAGATTCCAGGATACTGCCAGAGAATGGCACCTGGAAATTCAACCGATAATCGTGAAGAGCCCTCTAGCTTTGGCTCATTGCGGATCCCAACGGCCGCCGCCTCAAATTCGTACGATGCTGGACACCTCGGTCATGGGAACCCGCTCGGTGAGGCGGAGCACTTAGGAAGAGAGAGGTATTCCTGACCGCCCTGGGAAACCCTCTCATTTGGGTGAATTAACACAGTTGTGAATCCTTTGCTAACCTCCGTGCTAGATCCTCCTCTTTCTCGCGCATCCGCCAAGTCGGCGGGCCCAACAGTATCGACAACTTTGCCCGCTCATGGCAAAGAGCTGCCTATTTCCCCGAGGTCATTCCTCGTCGCTCGTCCTTTGTTTTTGCAGAGTCGGACGACGAGCTTGCCATTGCGACGGGGTTGGAGTATGGTTCGCGGAGCTCGCAGTCGTGGGGCCGCCAATCCGATAACGAGCGGCCTCTGCTATCCGAGGATTCGGAAGGCGAAGACTCCGAGCAAGAAGACTTGAGTGCCCCGGGGCGACCTAGGAAGAGCGCCCCGACTGCGGGTCTGCTGGCAACGTCGTTTGAGAGGAGCTTTGCGGCTTCCTACGGAACTATTTCCTCGCGCATTAGCGAGTCGACCCGCCGCAATGCGATCCAGTTCCACCGCGAGCAACACCAAGTACTTGGAGATGGCACTGGAGATCCTGACCGGGAGCCGTTGATCCTCAAGCATGTCGAACATGAGGATGGTACCCACGAGGATATTATCATCGGGCAGTCCACCGTGCCTCAAACGGTTTTCAACTCGGTGAACGTGTTGATCGGTATTGGACTGCTGAGTCTGCCGTTGGCATTGAAGCATTCTGGCTGGGTACTAGGACTGCTCTTCTTGATCTACTCGGCTGTGACCACCTCTTACACGGCTAAGATTCTGGCCAAGTGCTTGGACGTGGACAAGACTTTGGTCACGTATGCCGATCTCGCCTACATCAGCTTCGGACATCATGCTCGTCTTGTGACGAGTATTCTGTTCTGTTTGGAATTGCTTGGTGCCTGTGTCGCTTTAGTGGTGCTGTTCGCAGACAGCTTATACGCACTGGTCCCTGGCCTGAGCATTTTAGAGTGGAAGATCGTCTGCGGTCTGGTGCTGGTCCCGCTGAACTTTTTGCCGCTACGGTTCCTCAGTGTGACTAGCATCCTGGGAATTATATCCTGCACATCCAGTAAGTTCCAGAGCATTCAGGCTTGGTTACAACCGAATCTCGGGACCTTGTGAGGCTAACTACGCATAGTTGTGATTCTTATCTGTGTCGATGGCTTGATTAAACCCGATAGCCCGGGCTCGCTGCGACAGCCCGCGAAGACATTCCTCTTCCCGGAAAACTGGGCCACTCTTCCATTGAGTTTTGGTCTCATTATGTGTAAGCACTAAACTTTCACTGCCCTTTACTGATCCCAGTGGGCTAACCGAGAGTATAGCTCCTTGGGGCGGACACGGCGTCTTTCCTAACATTTACCGCGACATGAGGCACCCGAAGAAGTATGGAAAGAGTCTCTGGGTGACGTACATTTTTACGGTACGCAAGAAACCACCTTACTGGGGAAATACTCGCGCTGACAGTAATGGAAATAGTTCTCTCTTGATTGCTCTATGGCTATTATCGGCTGGCTAATGTTTGGAGATATCGTTCGTGATGAAATCACGGCCAACATCCTCACGGTGGATCAGTATCCACAGGCCTTGTCCGTTTGCATCATTGTGTTTATCGCGATTATTCCCCTGACCAAAGTCCCTCTAAAGTAAGTTTGACACCCGACTTGACTTCCAGTCTCAATGGCTAACCGAAGATCCAGCGCCCGTCCTTTGGTGGCCACCTTTGAAGTGCTCTGTGGTGTGGGAATCGGACCTGTAAATGGTGACCGCCAATTCGCAGAGGCAATCCAGAAGCTGATCCGAGTAGCCGTGCGTGTTTTCACCGTGGCTCTGATCGTCGTGTTGGCAGTGGTCTTCCCCTCGTTCGACCGCATCATGGCCTTCCTCGGTTCATTCCTCTGCTTCACCATTTGCATCATCTTCCCCATCGCCTTCTACCTGAAGATCTTTGGGAATGAGATCAGTCGACGTGAGCGCATCCTCGATTGGTTCCTGCTCATCACGTCGACCATCCTGGCGGCAGTGGGAACTGTCTGGGCATTCCTGCCCCGCGAGATGATCTCAGAAGACTAACCGAACTTGACTCGGTTCATGAATTTCCACGGCATTGATTTGTCGTATTTGTATATGCATGGCGTGAGGCGGTGTGTTTATGACTGTATTGCGAGAATGATAATCATCCCTCGCGCAGAACGATGGCGAAATTATTCCGTTTAGCACCCGGGTTGAGCATTTCCTTCTTGAAACTTCGAGGCGATGATTCCCCCGTATAATTCCATAGTTGATAAATCAACTTGTTGCTCCGCTTTGTTTGTACCAGATGGAATCCCAGACTGGATAGAATGTCGAGTAGTCTCTCCTCCGTCACGTATCGCGAGTTATCCACACACGCGACGGGTAAGACGAAAAAGAGGGTTGGAGTAAATGAGATGGAACATTGAGAGGTCAAGAATTGGACGCAGCGCTTGAGCATATCGCCCCGACCCGTCGCGTCAGGCACGTAATTCAGAACCAACGATAGACTGATAATATTAAAGCGCTCTTCGTCCGAAGATGGCAATGGCCGCTCCATGAAATCCTGCTGGAGAATACCCGGTTCCTGAGAATTCAGATCGATCCGGGTGACATCCAACGACGGCGTCCTCGAACAGGCATTCTTCGTGCTCAGCGCTCCAACCTCGAGAACGCGCAATTTAGGCAGTTCCGGTTTCCATTGATCCAACTGAGGCTTGATCCAATCAATGAGGAGTTTGCTGGAATCACCGCCTCGGTCCATGGATTGACCGAGCTTGCTAGCAATTTGATAGCTGTCGAGCCCACCATTGGCTTGGATTTGAGCATCGATGCTGCTCACTTTGGCGGCATCGCCGGCCTTTTCGGCCTGAGCTCTGGCCTTGAGGAGTTGATGGTGAGATCGGATGAGATTGCGGGTTGCTTTGGCGGACAATGCAGCCTGTTTGGGTTTGACGGTTGGTGGTCGGCCTTTGGAGAGTAGGCTTGGCCGTTTAGATCGACTTTTGGGTGCCATTTGTAACAGGGGGAGTATTGCAGGAGATGATCAATGGTGAAAATCAAGAGGCATTATGGAGAGGAATAACTTGGTGTTCTCCAGTTGCGGGATTGAGAATAAATTCCCCCAGACCAGTAATGATTCGACGTTCGAGATTCTTAATGTTCTCCATAAGGAAACCAACCGACTTTCCGCCAAAAAAAAAAAAGCGGCCGATCGGCGCGGTGGAGCACCGCTGACTCAGTCAAGATGACTAAGGCTCGAGGCCACCGCCCGAGATCACCTGACCCACACAGTGGTAGGGTTTTCGCTTAGCGAAGCCACCTCCAAATTGTTTGAACTTCGACACTGCGACGACAATCACCACGACAGCGGACGACAGCCATGGCCCCTACTACCAAGCAAGGTACGTTCGAATGACCTCGCCTACTTGCATTCGACCACCCTGTGAATTTTGTGCGATCGAGAAATTGGGTTCCGGAGAAAGAAGAGGTGGATGGACAATCTTTTGCTTCAAAAAACCCACATCGTGGACGACACTGCGCAATAAGAGGCGGAACAATATGGGAATCGCGGAATACATGATATAACGACCAGACTCGACAATGTGGCATTTTTCATGAAGACTTCGGAGCCCATTTCTCGACTGCACCGATTTGCAATTCTACAAAATTGTCATAATTTCGATATTTCAAGACCACCGAGAAACTGACCGGGTTTTTTTCTTTTCTACAGGCAATGCCTCCCGGGCTAACGCTGCCGCCAAGGCAGTCGTTAAGGGCTCTTCCGTACGTTTTATCCTCCCCATCTCTGCGATCTGATCATATCAGTCCATCTCCATCGATGTTGCGATATGGGTTGTGATCAAATTTTTCGACTATACACATTCTCCACGACACATCAACTAACATATCTTTGCGAATTCCTAGCTCCACAAGGCCCGCAAGGTCCGCACCTCGACCACCTTCCACCGCCCCAAGACCCTGCAGCTCTCGCGGTCCCCCAAGTACCCCCGTGTCTCGGTCCCCCGTGACCCCCGCATGGATGCCCACAACATCATCCTGTACCCCCTCAACACCGAGAGCGCCATGAAGAAGATCGAGGAGAACAACACCCTCGTCTTCATCGTCGATGTCAAGGCCAACAAGCGCCAGATCAAGCAGGCTCTTAAGAAGCTGTACGACGTTGACACCGTCAAGGTCAACACCCTCGTCCGGTATGGCTTACCCCTCCTCTATACATCCGACAGAACTCGATTATGCGAGATCTGCGATGTGACCCTACGAGACCTTCGTTTACTAACAACTTCCTGTACAGCCCCGACGGCTCCAAGAAGGCTTACGCCCGTCTTACGCCCGACGTTGATGCTCTGGACATTGCCGCCACCAAGCTGGCCATCGTCTAAAAGGGGAATAGGAAATTGATTTCTTTGGGTTTAGGCGAACTTTGTTTTCCACCGTGGTGATTCTCAATACCAGCCAGTTCCTTGGCTGTTATGTGCAGCAACGAGGGCTGAATGATACAAAAAAGAAACATTTTCTTGACACGATTTAAATACTTTTTCCTTTTTCTACGAGTATGAGTATAAGTAAGAGACTGGGTAGCATTGAGCTCTTGCGTATCCTGCGTAGGTAGGATTTGAAGTAGAAATGGCGTTGCCAATACTTGTCACTATCCATTTAGTCTCAAGGTCCATGTACACGGTGGAGTACCTCTTCGTCTGAAGATGTTCCATGTCTAGCCCAACTATAAGCATAATGGCTTACTCTCTCATTATTTGCATATGACTCTACCCAAATTCGATATTGCAGCCTTCATGGACAATGTCAAAGAACAAGGTTTGATCACAAAGTATTCATTCACTTTGATTCTAGTATACAAGCGACTCATGCATTTCCCACCCCAACAACATAGAGAAGAGATTCAACCTCTATAAACCCAACCCCCCGAACAGCCACCACCGACCACAATCCAAGAACAATTGGAAACCATATCACACGTCCATTGTCCTCGTCCTCCCACCGACCGTAACTGTCCGCACCAATCCAAAGAGTGAGTATCTTTCCCGAAATGCGAGTCGTATTGTTTTTAAGAACCCATGGCCCAGGCTTATTTTTCCGCCCAGAAACACGGTGTTCATGCCCCCATGGTATCAAAAATCTCCACCCAAGAGGAAAAAGGAAAGATATGACGAAGGGCACATATTTTACTGGCCACGCATGCTCCCCAACTTCTGCAGAATCAACATCTGCGAGTCCATCCACCGATCGACACAGTTTGAGGCGCAGGACTCCTCGCTGCGGTCCAGGGTTCCGGATGTAATGGTCTTGCCAGCCATGCACTTCTTGAAGCAGGTCTCGTTGAGGGAGTGGACGGCTGTAACGCGGGATGTTAGTGTGTTGATTTCCCCTCGAATGAAGTAGTGAAGTAGTGATTGTTCATTCTCTTTTGAAAAGAGGATGTCTCCGTCATCGCCGGGTTCTCATTCGTCCCACTTACTCTGCTGGATGGTAGCCTTTTGCTGCTCGTTGGCCAGTTGCTGCTGGAGATCGGCCTTGTCGGCATCGGTGAGCTTGGAGAGATCGAGGGAGGGGTCCATTTTAGCGGATGAATATGGAATACAAAACGAAGAATAGAGAGACAGGAGTATAGCGGGAGGTGTAAAAAGGATAATAAATTCAAGGGCTCGATAGTTCATGGAGCTGGCTCCATCCCGGAAAGTTAGCCTGGCGCACCGCAAAATCGAAGGCGGTCAGACCCGGCACAAAAATGACGCGGAATCGAGTTGCGCCCCCAAAAGTTGCAGCGATTCTTACTTTCATCCGGGGGAAACAGCTTGCCAAGTTAAGCACGGTACTTTCTTTTTTTGGGGGAGAAGCTAGACTTTTGCTCTATTCTTTTTTCTTTCTGGTTTTTCTTATCATCGACTGCCTGACTTCGCTCTTGTCTACGCTCTCGCAAACCACACCCTCGCCACCATGCCTCCCATTCGTACTGCCCGCAATCGCAAACCCCCACCGGCAGGCTTCGATGACCTAGAAGATACCCTGCTGGAGTTCAGCAATAAGATGAAGGATGCTGAGAATGCGCCTCATGAGGGAAAGAAGAAGCACGAGGTTCTTTGGCCTATTTTCCAGATTAGCCACCAACGTACGTCCCTCCCGATCTTTCCTTTCCTAGTCTCCAGCCTGCGCTTTTGGCTCAAGATCCGCGCGGATGGATACGGGGGCTATCGATCCGTCCTTCGTTCAAATATGATATTGATATCGATACTAACCTTTTATTTTTTTATTTTTCGTTCTTCCAGGCTCACGATACATCTACGACCTCTACTACGAAAAAGAAGCCATCTCAAAGCAGCTCTACGACTGGCTACTCAAGAACAACTACGCCGACGCAAACCTGATCGCCAAGTGGAAGAAACAGGGTTACGAGAAGGTAAGCACAATTCCCACTTCTCTCCAAACGCGCAGGCCGTACTCATTACATCCTGTTTATCCTCTTTGTCCGGCCCATATCACCAGTTTCCATCCCAGCTAACCCCCCTCTTCCTCCCATCTAGCTCTGCTGTCTGCGCTGCGTCCAAACCAAAGAAACAAACTTCAACTCCACCTGTATTTGCCGCGTACCCAAAGCCCAACTGAAAGAGGAGCAGACGATTCAGTGCGTCAGCTGCGGTTGCCGCGGTTGTGCGAGCAGCGATTAAAGCAAGTTGGATGAATCGCAAAATGTCGACTCGACTCCGTTCGACTCGGCATTACTTCAAGGTCGATTTGACCTTGTCTTCGGATCTGCATGGGCTTGATATGGTGGCAGGCACTGGTTGAAAATGGGTTTGGTTTGGGAGGGGGCGTTTATGGTCTTGCATGTTTCTTGCATACTGTGATTTTTGCTTGAGTTGTCATTTTTTTTTCCTTGTCGATGGCATTGTCCTGTCTATCATGTCTATCATGCGTTTCGGTTCAGTTGCATCGAATCCGTCAATCAGATACCCTTTTGACATCAGATAACAACCCTTCTCAGTAAGCCAAGGGTAAATTACTCAGTGAAATGGACAATTTCTACGAGGATCATGCAGATAGGTAATGAATTTCAAATTGCTAAACTAATCAATAGCGCCTCCTATGTATCCAGCCCAGCCCTAGTAGCTCCTTGATAGCAGGTAAAACGAGTAACAGCCGATGAAACAAACAAAGAATAGATCCCAACCCCGATATCCCGAATCATGAAACATCGCTTGCTCATGTACATCTTGGCGTCGTCATTAAGGTCGTAGTCAGGCCCATCTCGGGGCACAGTGGAAAACAAGAAAACAAGAACAGAAAAGAAAAGAAAAAAAAAAAAAAAAGGACAAGAAACAATAACAAGTCAGAGCCGGCGCGTCTCGGCGCAGCCTCGAGAAACTCCCAGAAAAAGAACAAACCGCCACGTGCTATCGAAGCCTGGCAGTTGTCCCAAAGTCCATCTTTATAACTCCATCAAACTCAGAACGCAAACAGGAGGGGGCGACAGAAAAACAATCCCCAAAAGCATGCCAATATGGTAAGAGGGTCACAACAAGTGCAGTAATAAGACACAAGGGTTAGCCCAGCAAGGACGGGAACGTATTAAACACCATAAAACAGCTCAAACACCAATTTTGTCAAATCAAAACACAGACGACATGAGGGGGAATCAAACCGGGCTTCAGTTCCTGCCCGAGAGCGAAAGAAGGTGAGAGAAAACGGACAGAGCGGGCGAGATAACGCAAAAAAAAAAAAAAGAGGAGTTCTCAGAACATGGTAGAGTTGCTGCGATTGCTCAAATGAGGCCGCGAATGAAGCTTGGGTTTCAAAAAGTCATCTTTGTTGGAACCGCCAATCTTCTGGAATCCTTGCAACAGATCAACACCGTCCACCTCGGTGGGGCTGTCACTGGTTTCGTCAAAGAGGTGGAAAGAGAAAAAGTCATCCTGGCTGGTATCGCCAAGGCGAGCTCCGTCCGCCACCTTAGACGGCGACTCGGGGAAGATAGACGACTTGGAGCGGGTGAGCGAGGGCATGCTCAGCCGGCTGTTGATAGACGAGTTGCTAATGTCGAGAAGTGCACGGCTTCCAGAATCGATACGTGCACGCTTCACTGAGCGCTTCTCGGGAGAACCGAACGCAGCAGAGGAAATGCACGCGTCTGCGCTGGCATCAGCAAAGACATCAAAGGTAGCGTGGAAGTGATCTGCCGGAGTCAAATTCTCCTCATGAAGATTGAAGGCAGGACTCCATGGCAGTTCATCATCAGCGATACCCAGGTGCTTGATAGGCGAGTTGACCATTTGCTGGATCTTGCGACGATGATTGCGGAGGTTGGTATTCGGCGACACCGATGGCGGAGGCTTGGCCGGCTTCTTGAACTTGATAATGGGTGTCAAGGGAGGCGGAAGCATGCTCACGTACTCGCCTCGAAGAGGGGACGAGCCAACCAAAGTCCGGCTATCTTTTCGCGGAGCGGGCTGGCCGGGGCTGATATCGTGAGAAGAGCTGCGAATACGCGCAATCTCCTCCTCGGCACGGCCGCGCTTGATGCGTGGGGGCTCAATGTCCAAATCGGAGGTCAGAATATGACCTGCCTTGTTGGGCCGCAACGCGGACGACTCCAATGACGAGAAGTAACCACTATCATTCATCGAAATGGACTTGCGCTTCCGCGGGCGCTGAGCGGGAGTAGGGCCGGCCTGGTGAGTTGGAGTAGGAGGAGTACCAGGGCGAGAAAACCGAGGAGGGGGAATAGGAGGAGAGGATCGAATGGTCTGCAGCGGCGAAGAGCGAACCGGCGCGGCGCGTTGCAACACGGGGCGAGGAGCTTCGTCGTCATCCTGCAATGCTGGGTCGGACGCTGGAAGTGTCGCGTCCGAAGAAAGGTCTTCGTTTCGAGCCGGGACCTTGGGTGGGGGAGGCTGTCGCGTAGGCGGAGGTGGCACCATCCACGTTGTGGTGGTCACGCTTGGCGGTTGTGGAACGATTTCTCTCTGCGCAACGGCGGGAAGAGGAAGACTCGACATCGTAGCGCGTCGCACTTGCTTGTCCTTGAGGAACTGCGCCTCCATACCGGGCTCGATAGCCCAGTAGTTACCCTTGCCGGGGTCATCCTTGGGCCGCTCTTGCTTGATAAAGGCTTTGTTAAGACTGAGGTTGTGTCGAATACTGTTCTGCCAGCCGGCGTCGCTGTTCTTGTAATACGAGAACGTGTCGGAAATCCACTTGTAGATCTGAGCCAGGGTCAATCGTCGGTTGGGCGCGCGCAAGATGGACATGCCGATCAAAGTCGCGTAGCTGTACGGCGGCTTTGTGCCGTCATCTTCGATCGTCGGCATTTGATGGGGCTCGGGCAGTTGTTGAATAGGCGCGTCTTCGCACTTTTGCTTCTTGACCGGGCGCTCCTTCAGAGGAGCGGCTTCCATGAGGGTGCGCTTCACGGGGACCTTGGATTCATAGGACGGTTCGGGGAAGTCGGCAAAGCTGCCGTTAGCCGAGTCCTCGGATAGGTAGTTCTCCTTGGGGGCCTCCGGGTTGACGCTGGGAAAGGTGGTGAAGAGGGCCGATTGCGGTGGCATCGAGGACTGGGTGTAGACAGGGAAGGGCGGTTTCTTGATTGGGGAGTCGGTGGTAAACATGGGAGGGTTTGGGGCGGTGATAGGAACGAAACCAAGTTTTCGCCCGGGATGTGAGCCCTGGGTGGACAATCCTTTGGTCGGTGATGGCCTGTGCGTGCCAGCAGATGGGAGCAATGGGTTTTCAGTCATAGGCTGGAGTGGTAGCGGTGAGGGGTGAAAATGGGGCTGTGACTTGATCGAGGCTTGGGCAGAAGGGCCCAATGCCGAAGGATAAGCGTGTGCGCCGAGCGCAGGACGCGTCGATCCCATAGTCTAGAGAGTCGGGAACGAGGCTAGGGCGTCACCAGTCACCAAGAGGGACCATATGACGCGTCGATAAACAATGTGGAGGGCGCGACAGCAACGGTGGCAGCGGGGACAACACAGCCGACGGCAACGTCCAACGGAAAAAGGTGAGACGAGGAGGAGTGAAGGGAATTCGCGTTGAACCAATGATAGACCACGGTAGAGAAAGGCCAAGTCAGTAGCCTCAGGCTGTCATGCAGTGAGACTAGTTGTGATTGCAAGCGTTGGGCCACCAGGCGCTAAGAATCGACACGTCCAATCTTGGAAGGCGAATCAGCGGATGATGGAGACTCGTGAAGTGGGAATCACCACGAGAGGATTTGCTGCACAGAAGGTCGAATCCTCCGATGATCTGTCAACTGGCGATGATTGAGATCAGATGGGGTTGGATGATCAAGAGCCAAGATGAGATGTCGAAGAGTACACGTTAGGTTCAGCTGGAGAAAGAGGCAATGTTGGAAGAGAGGATGATGAGATGGAGAGTCGGGAAAGGCAGCAGCGGGAGGGGGGTTTGGGAAGAGGGAGAAGAGATCCTGGAAGTCGCGTCCTTTTGTCTTTTCCCTCTTGAACAGGCCGACCCTTTCCTTTTGGTCAAGTCGAGTGTAAGGGAAGACAACGTGTAGGCGCAATTGGGATCTTTCGAGGTGGGGGGTGGTGGAGGAGGAGGAGAGATGGTCGGAGGTGAGGGTGTCGAGAGAATACTGTACTGCCCAGTTGGACGATCCGTCCGGTATGGTATGAACGCGGTCGCGTCACGCGTCGTAGTATGGGGAAAGAGATATGCGGTACGGTCACGGCATGACAATACGAACGTTCGGAGGGCGTACGAAGGGATTGGGGCTCCTTGCTCGCGGGCATTCGCAAGGCGCCGATCGACGGGCCCGACTGGTCCAAGGGAGCTAAACCGGGTTGACGAGCGAGCTAGTGGTTGGCCCATTGGACGCCGGGAGTTATGTGGCTCCTCTCTGCTGGCCCTGCAGAACGGAGACTCCACTGGGATCGGAGCTGGCTGGAGAGATCCCAGAGGAGTATGGTATATGGTACAACTACCGTATGGAGTAATGTGCTATTCATATTCACCAAGGTGACTACTAACCATCTACTGTACTGTACAGTACTTGTATGAGCTCCGATACTACGGATCTATACGATATAACTGCCAATAGTCGGTTACTTTATATCCCCTGCTACACTACATCCCCCACCACCACTCCCTCACTCGTCAAAAGTCTAGACTCTGTCCTTCCCTCGCTCTCCATAGTCCACCCATATTCCCCTCCCCCCCCAGCCCAAGCAACCATCCCATGATCCCACCCATCCTACACCCGTCATATTCCGGCTTCTATTCCCAACGGTCCATCCATCCCGGTCACTCCATTGGCCCTTTCCTCTGGAATGCACATGTAACTCTGAGACAGCGGTTGCGTCGGATCATCCCTTGCTCTAGCCAGCCTATGGGACTCGGGCCCTGCAACGCCCTGGCTGTGGAGGCTTGGCTTGGCCGTGATGTCTATATGGTGTCTGCGAGGAAGAACCCAATTACTCGTCCAATAAAACCCTACTTTTATTGGATATCCTCCCCCCGGGTACGGACCTGCTGGAGATCGCTCGAGGGGCACCAATTGGGTGATCCGCATGTGCGTACTTTCGACCCTGCAGAGACGACGGATTCTTAAATCCCATCGGACATGCAAGTGGAATTATTGTCTGGTCAAACTTGTAGTACACGGTAGTAGACGATAGTCCAGGTTATAGTAGTGAAATATATTCAGACGGGCAAGAAACTGCCCTTGCTTTCTTTTTTGAGGATCATTTGAATTCATATACCAGGGTACGGTGTAGATGCCATGCATTAAACCGATGAAGAAAAACCACCTCTTCTCACAACTCATCCCCCAATCGTAAAGGGAACCATCTCTCGATCTATACTCTAGTTGCAGAAATTCAAAAGGGTCGGGTATGGCACATGAAAATGAGAAACGCCAATCCCATGCAGGAAAAAAAAAAATCAACGACAGGACATGATGCTGAAGCGAACCCGAGTCCCTCGATGAAAAGAGCAGGGATAAAATGCACACCAACTTTTCTCTATCACGAAAGCATTCCATCAAAAGTAGAAGAAAGCGGCATTGGGGAAACATTAGAAAAAAAAAAAAAAAAAGGGGGAAACGGGCCCAAGGGATATCTCAAACGACAATGTGGATTGCTCAACGACTCCGAGGACCTCTAATCCAAGAAGGTGAACATGCTGGTGTGGATGATATTCAGAGCGCGGTCGGCATCACGCTCTTCGATGACGCAGGAGATGTTGATTTCACTGGCACCTGCAGGAAGGGGAGACCCCCATCAGTTAGCTTTCTTTTTTTTTCCCTTTCTCTTGAGTGATTCGTACTTGTACGTAGAATGGGGGAGGGAAGGAGAGGTGGGGAAGGTGGGATCGACACCGAATTGCTTACCTTGTGAAATCATCTCAATGTTCACATTGTTCTCCCCCAGGGTAGTGAACATACGCCCCGCAACACCGATCATATTCTTCATCTGCTTGCCGACCAGGCTGAGAATGGCCATTTCAGGGATGATGTCAACCGTTCCATACTTGGCCAAGTCAGTGAGCGCCCCCTTCAGGTCATCGTCGATCACCTGGTAGTCGTCCCGGCCGTTGCCATTGAGCAAAGGCATCTCCGAGTGAAGGGCCATCGACACATGAACCTCACTGGTCGAGATCAGATCAATGGACAGACGCCACTTATCCAGCACGGAGAAAATGCCCGCAAAGAAGCCGTGGGACAATGATCGCTTGTTCGAGTGTACGTTGATCACCAGGATCTTATGCTTGATGGTCACGGCCGTCGGTCGCTTCGGCTTCTGCATAAAGCTCGGACTCCGCGTGCGGAAGAGGCGGGGGTCGTGGCCGGGCGTGGTGCGCTCCAACTCGGCGGTGGAATCGGGGAAAATAATGGTGCCGCGGTTCTTGGGGTTCATCACGTTCTTAATGCGAATAGGGATCTTGGCGCGGATCACCTGCTCCATGGTGAAAGGGTGAATCACCTCTGATCCATAGAAGGTCAATTCGGCCGCTTCGGCGGGAGTAATGGCAGGAAGGAGCCGGGCCGTAGGGACCTTGCGTGGATCAGCCGTAAAGATACCGTCCACTTCCTTCCAGACCTGCAGTTCCTTGGCATGAGTTCCAACGGCGACGAGGGCGGCGCAGAGATCGGTATAACCACGGCCGACCTGATCCAGCAGACCACCGGGGATAGTACCGAAGTAACCCGTAATCACGGGCACTCGGTGCCCGCAACCCGCGACCAGCTTACCCAGGGTCGCTGCTAGGGAGTTGTAAAAGTCCTGATCGAGTCCGTGTGCGCCGATGGGGAAATCGATTACGTCGGCGAGATCAATGTACTGCGAGTCCACCCCGCGATCTTGCAAGAAAGCGGCCATGAGGCGACAGCTAAGCTTCTCACCGGCGCTCATCACCTTGTCCACACAGCGAGCACTGATTTCCCCGAGGGTCTGGGCGGCCTCGAGGACCTTCAGCACTCGCTCGCATTCTGCATTAATATCGGTAACCACTTCATCCCTTAGGTCCACAGATTGGATCTGTTCGTGGGCCACTTGGACATGATCCAGCCGTACGGCCTCGACGAAGGTCTTATATTGTTGGGAGTGGGGGTTCTCTGCATCCCGGGCTGCCCGCAGTAACCTATATTCGCACGGAGTTAGGAACCCGATCGGTACTTGTCATTTGTATTGCATAACCGTCGAAGTCGAGAGCTTTATGCCAGGTGTTGTCGAGGATCCAGATGACTCACCGGTTGGTAGTGCCCTCTGCCTTGGTCGAACTACTTCTTGCGGAGCATACAACGGCAACTCTGTTGTCAAGGAGGCTAGGTCTGTAAAATATTGTATTCGATGGTCAACGTCTTGTGATCTTTTGAGATCGATGAGATTGATCATCGACCGGAGGCGGATGGAGGGGTAATGCGTACTGGACCACCTGCTCAATAATGTTTAAAGCAAACTTGCCAACACTGGTGCCGCCGAACTTTTGAACGACCCAATTGCTATGCACGGCACCGAAGGCCGGACGGTCTGCTTCGAAGGAAGTCATGGCCAGAATTTCCAGGAACCAGCAGGGACCAAGGACGAGAGAGATGGGAAATCACAACATGTAAAGAGAGAATCGGGGGAGGGGAAGGCGAAAGCGGAGGAGTGGGCCGGCTGCGGCGTTCCTTTTTTTTCTTCCTTTGCGGTGACTCAACTTTCCATTGACTTTTTTTTTCTCTGCGTCGGCGAGTCCAGGCACGCGATGTCGGAGGAACCCCGCCAATGATGACCGCCCACCGGGAGGGGCCAATGATAATCACCAATTACAATCACGCCATCGTGTGCCCCGCGATAACTCTCGGACAAAATGACGCACTGCCTTTTTCCAAGGCCGTAGGCACGAGTGCTGCAGGACTAGTCACTCCACCGCTTCTTGAGATTTCATATATGTACTCTCACTCTTCATAGATCAACATATGGCCTTGAATGCTATTCAGGGTTTTTGTTCCATGACTAAGCCTCGGAGTAACCGTGGCAAATCTCTCTTCCCGCCGATCGCCACCCGGAAATGTCAATTGTATTCCAATTGTAGTAAATTTAGCTTTTCTTGGCATGTACACTGTCTGCAAACAACCTTATCCGTAGTGTGAACAATTATTATTCATTTTCGAAACAGTGCAAGTATCACCGATCAAAAATACCATTTTATGAGAAAAATCCAACATAGCTGCCACGTTGAATATCTAATGAAAGCTTTCCACAAGCTTGCCTTGGGGTCTTTAAAAAGCCGAAGAGGCGCCGAGGATTGGTGGTCAGTGCTCACATTGACCCCGGCCAGGTATCCTTGCAACAAGGAGGCGTAGCGATGGGATATCAGCTATCGAGCCATCTACAATGAACTACCTTATATCTTAGTTAATTATCGCGGCCATGGCTAATATATGCTGAAGCTCTCTATACGGGAAGACAGCATCATCTAAGTACTTAACAAAACTAGATTGAACGATGGGATATGTGTACTATCACAATCTCAATGAGCAGGTAGTGCTAAAGTACCGGGAATAAAGCATCTTGGTATGTTAGATAGCTGTGGTAGTGATTGTCTAATATGCCCAACAGGAACCATCGTCAGATGGCTCAGAGTCACAGCAGGGGCCTATCGACTTTTCTCCAGGACCGCCTGAAAATATCAAGAAATCCAATAGAATATATATGTAAATTTTCCAGACTCTTCTGGCTTTGCAGGCCTGGTAGTAACCCGTTGAAGATCAGCGGCCTGCTAAACTTGGAAGAGTAACCCATGTAATGAATACCGTTCACTATGACCGTGTTGTCTCTTTAGAGTTAGCCCGATATATATTTCATTGTGATTCGTATACCCCTCCTATGCCGCGACCGCGACGAATACTAAAAAGCTGTCAGGAGAAAAGCTTAACATATAAACACACCAGGAAATCTCCATAAACTAGAGTAAACAAGTGATTCCGGGTGGCTACCACCCATAAGGCTGTTCAATTAATTGACTCGCACTGTGACGGAAGGCGGGCGACTCGGCGGCCATCTTTTGTTCCAAGTGGGTCTCATCCACAACTACCACATTTCAGGCACCGCCCATCAAAAATCTGGAGATGTGAATATAGCCAACCCTCCAGAGAAATTGATCCGGGTCACCTCAGGCTGCCTCGTTGAATTAATCAGCTGCGATTGCTTGGCATATCTGTCGCGCCTGCAGGTTCCCGACGTGGTTCTAGCGTTATGGTCTTCAGCTGATCCCGCGCCGCCTAAACGACCATTCCAACCGAACTGCTTCCACGAGACAGGCGCAACACAGGAAATATGGACAACCCCGATCTTCTACCATGTCCATTCTGCCCCTTCTCGGATGCAGACGCCAGCTTTCTGGAGATGCACATTGATCACTGTCATCCAGAAAATGGGGCCCCGCAGAATCTCACGCCTGATCTGCATGGGCTAGAGGACACGCGATCTCTGTCGCCGTTGCCGACAGATGATGACTCAACGGAGAAATACATTGATTGTCCACATGGGTGTGGAGAAACGGTGACTGCAGCCGAGCTGTCAACACATCTAGATCTCCATTTCGCGGAGGGTATGGCGTTTGAAGACACGGTGGATGACTCGCCCCATTTCCATGCAGACTCCACAAGCCCGAGTGATGATTATGACCTGCCGCTTGATCAAGAGGACAAGCTTGACCTTCAGGGTGCTCTTCAAGGCGGTAAAAGAGGCTCAGATCGTGACTTTGCACGCACGAATAACAATACCAAACCAACTCGAGCAAAGAGCCCACCTCGGACTCGTGGACCGGATGGCGCAATGAGACTTGGGGTATGATACACTGCCAATTCATCAATAATCCAGGATACGCGCTAAATATCTAGCCAGCGCGCGGAACTGGGTCCCCATGCCCACGAGAAAAAGATGCCTTCATGGCTGAAGAACATGCTGGAAAAGGGTGGCCGAACCTCGAAACAGACCCATATCACCACTGACGGAAAACTGGCGAGGCAGACTACGGTAGAAAACGAGACGGACAAGCTCATCCCGGTCATTGCGAAGCTATGCGAGCAAGATGAGACCGTCCAACGGGCTTTTCTTTGCAACCCCAAGGTTCGACACATTTGCAAACTTTCCCGTGAAGGTGGATTCTGTGGGTATCGGAATATTCAGATGCTTGTGTCGTATATTACAAAGACGCAAAGCTTGGGCCACACGCATTTTCCCCATGGTGTGCCGTCGATTCTGGATATCCAGGATCTGATCGAGCAGGCTTGGGACATGGGATTTAACAGCACCGGAAGAGCCGAGACGGGAGGTATCAAAGGGACACGGAAATTCATTGGAACACCCGAAGTAAGTTATGGCAGCATCATTATGGTGGGGGGGTGTGGTCGTCTGCTAATACTAAATACTAACATATCATAGGCACAAGCTCTGTTCCAAAGTCTTGGGATTCCGTAAGTTCTCGCACTAGCAATCTGATGATACCCAGAAAACTAAAATGATACAGCTGTGATGCGAGTAGCTTGGCTGCGAGTGAAGGAGTCCCGGCACACGATAAACTCTACATGGATGTAGCGAGCTACTTCCGATCCGTATGCTCACTAGACGATGAGACCAAGAAAGTCTTCCAGACCGAGCTCCCACCAATCTATTTTCAACATCAAGGTAACATTGGTCCCCAGTCGAAACCTTCCAGATACCGATTCTAAGAAATATATTAGGGCACTCAATGACCATCGTGGGATTCGAGATCCGCGACAATGGCTCCGCAAATCTACTGGTGTTTGATCCCATGTTCAAGACATCACCGGCAATGCAACGTCTGATTGGCACGTCCGCGAAATGCGACAATCCCGTCCGCCTACTCAAGGCATATCGGAGGGGTACCAAGTATTTGCAGAAGTATAAGATTTTTGAGCTTCTCAAGTGAGTAGGCCAGATCAATCATGGGTTTGGAATGATTTACTGACTTGACGCAGATTAATCCCAGGAACCGCCTCGCCCGAGACGACCTCGACGTGATAGCATGGCGCATTCCAGGGCATTTTTTTGAAAGACACAATGTCTGAGTAGGATGTAAATAAGTCTGCACCATTACATAAACAGTCGCCATCTCTTTAATACTCGCACATCTGCAAACACGTAGTATAGTTACTGTTACTACGGGGTATATCACCCGATAAGAGATAAGCGGAACCAACATTAATCCGAGATAATTTCCATCCGGGGAAGAGAGTACTCTCTTCAGAACCCCCGCCAACAACCATTTCCTTTGGTCAAATTGCCCTCTAACAAAGTGTCAAGTACCTCACAAAAGCATGCGCTCCTCCCCGAACGTGATCATCACCGGCACTCCCGGCGTCGGTAAGACCGTACACTGCGAACAACTCGCCCAAGACACCGGACTCAAGCACTTGTCCGTCAATCAGATCGCCAAGGAGCGCGATTGCTTCGAGGAGTTTGACGAGGAGCGGAAGAGTTGGGTTGTTGACGAGGATAAGGTATGTCGCTCGTTATACTTTTCTTTATACCAGTGCGCAGGAGTTGTTGCCCGCGCTGCGGGCTTTTCTGTTTCCCCTCACTTTTTTTTTTCCTTGGTGGGGGGGATGCGCGGGGTGGTACTATCGCTGTCGCATTGTCGCGTGGTCGCATGTTAAGCTAATTGGTCCTCTTCGTCTAGCTACTTGATGCTATTGAGGATGAAGTCCTTCAGGGTGGATACTTGATTGATTGGCATGCTTGCGACTTATTCCCCAAGTCCTGGATTGATCTTGTCGTGGTGATTCGATGCCCGGAGACATCTATTCTGTATGACCGGTTGAGCTCAAGGTAAGTCTTACTCCTGTCAACAAGCTCTATGCGATTTCTAATACCAAATGCGCTGCTTTAGAGGCTACCACGAAGAAAAGCTACAAGAGAACCTGGACGCCGAGATCTTCGGTGTCCTGTCCGAAGAAGCCCGCGAAGCCTTCGACGAAGAGATCGTCGTAGAACTCAACAGCGAGAAGGACGGCGACGTCGACAGCAATTGTGCCCGGATCGCAGAGTGGCTCGAGAACTGGAAGAGGCAACATGCCGAGGATGCGGAGTGAATATGGTGGAAACGTACGATGTTTGAAGATCTTTCTCTATATTCTGTGTCTGTGAAGGGGACTCTCGTTTTCGACCCTTTTGAGACGAGGCGAGGATTCGTTCTCTATATATACCCATACCCGGCGCCCCTTACTGTTGGCCTTCGGCCAGCCACTGCTGGAACTTGACGAGCGCCTTGTACCGGTGAGAAATCCGGTTCTGGAACGAGACGAGGCCAAGGGGCGTTAGTGACTTGAATTATTCTTGGATATTTATGCATACCCGTGCCGGTGCTGGTACTGGTACAATCATAGAGGGCTAAAAAAAGCGCTTACCTTTGCTTCCTTATCCATCTCTGCGTATGTTTGGCCCTGGTACTCGAAGATAGGATCCCAGCCTGGACAACTGCGTTAGCAATAGTACAATTACAACGAGTACTAGAGTAGCCCGGCTGCGCTGGCCGTGCTCTCAGCATTGATAGATACGCACCAAAGTTCGTCGGGCCTCGCGGCCGCACAATAGTACCCTGTAGCAGTCCATTAGAGTCGAAACTCCTCATATCCAAACATAAATAGAACAACAGAAACGTACCGCAGTCCGACCCTGGAAAATAAGAGGCTCCTCGCCAGGCCCCCGACAAAACGCAAAAGTGCAAACTGCCTCCGCGCTCCGGTCGTCAAAGCCATCAAGCATCTTGTTCAGACCCTCATGACCAAGAGATTCCATGAAAGTTTTGCTAAACCACTACCAGTCAATACGTCACTGCCACATCGGGTTGCTTCTCCCGTCAGGCAGGATATCCTTACATATAAGGTCCCGGAAGACCCTTGAGCGCGTTGAATTCAAGCGCAGTATCCTCCGTTAGCGCGGGGCCATTGATCTAAGCAACTTGAGTATCAGCCCGGGAATTTTTTTTTCATAGCCTTTCAAACTCAGAGAATATTCGGTACTTAGGAGCTTACCGCTTCAGCAGCACGGCGTGCCTTTTCCTTGGCGATCTCTTCGATCGTGCCTTGGATTTCGGGGACGTCCACGGCCTGGTTGTCGACCTCGATGACGCTGCCCAGGATGGCGCGCACTTCGATGAGCTTGTTCTTGTTTCCTGTGATGAAGTTGATTTTTGTTAAGGTCATGGTGGCGGATTGTGGGGTGGGGTGATTGGAGGGGGTGAAGTGGTGGATGTAGTGGTGTAGAAGACTTTCGCTGGGTGCTCCGCCGATAAACCAGCACTAAATGACTAAATGATCTCTCCGCAACACCGCTTAACCTGCCCCAGTCAAAGTAGTAACTTGACGGTAGACATAACATAAATCCTAGGGACAGTAGTGTATAAATAATATTTCCATACCGCAAAAGGAAATACATCGGACGAAGCACTCTTTCATTTAATCTTTAGACAAGAAACATTGCATCACTGTATCAAATCAAGGTCGTGGGTGTAAAGATGTAACACTGATCGTAATCCGTAGCTCACAGAACATTTCAAGGAGAAACATGTCTAATATACACACACGCAAACTACTCCTCCAACACCCCGTTATCTATCCCGAGCTTATCCTGCTGTGCGATCGCTTGCGCAGATACAATCTCAGCCAGCCGCTTCAGTCGTGGCGTTTGGAGCCCTGTAAAGAGTCGTAGTTAGCAAATGCAGAAGCGGAAAGGGTGCGTAAGAGCAATAGCATGCGAATCTTATCTCGTCACTTACAAGATGGGGTATAGGTCTCCAAAGCGGTGATCACACGGGGCTCGGCAATCTCGTAGGGCCCGCTGTCCTCCATGTCGACGGGGGTTAGGAGGAGCACGTCGCTCTTCTCGGTAACCCGAGAAGCAACGGCCTTCATGATCTCGCCATTGATGGGCTGTTCGTAGTCGGCAACCAGGTACTGATTCAAGAGCTTCTGGATTTGGTTGGGGGAGAGCCTGGGGAAGAATGGTCAGCACACTAGCAAGACACCGCGGGATGGTTGGAAAATCGCTTACATCCAGCAGATATCCTGAATGATCTCAATGTCATTCAAGGTGGCCTTCTTCAGTTGAAGAAGCTTGGTCGCTTGCTATCGAAATATTAGCGTGTATCCTTGCTTTCATGAACGCCAACGGTACATACCATCAAGTGCTCTAACTGCAGCGTTCCCTCGGGCATATCATGGCTCTTGCACCACTCTTCAATCCGGGTAATGTTGTAGTTGATCTGGAGACCACGCTTCCACGACAGGAAGTTTCGCCGCATGAGAAGGTCGTTGAATGCAGTGACACCCACCAGCTTCAGAAGCTCGGTGACGGTCTGCGTGATGATGGTGTCCTCAATATAGAACGCCTTCATGGCCCGGTAAACTCCATTCAGAAGGCTAAGTAGGTTGTCCATGCTGTAAGCCGGGTTGTTGTTCGAGGGCAGCAGTTTGCCGAGGAAACGGTTGGTTTCGCTCGTCACGAAACCAGGCAGAGACTGAGACTCGATGATCGCGGGGACGATCATCTTATACAGCTTCTTCTTCAATACCTTCATCCATGTGTGGTAAATATTGAACTCCAAGCTCTCCAAGTCGTGCTTCACAATCTCCAGCAGACGGTCATATTCATAGTTGTCCGTCTTCTGTGCCTCGTACCAATCCTCGGCCAGGAAGACAAACGACAACATCTCGTGGACGTTAGAAAGCCAGAAGGCACCGGGGTTGATCGCATCCTCGCCATCGTGCTGCATAACCTCCTGCTGAATGGACTGCATCACGTTGGCCAAGAAACGCTCCGACTCCTTGACAAATCCATTGTTCCACATCTCCGAAGTGACCAGGTTGATCAGGTACGCAGGGAAGAGAACCTCCTTCTCGGTAGGAGGAGGGGTCGAGCTAGGCAAGGGGATCTTCAAGTTGCGGATCAGACCCATCGTGACCTCATCATTCAGATCGTCCTCCGCAGCCAGCAGATTCTCGAGCTCAGCCTCCACCGAGTCCAGACCCGGAGAAATCGCAGCAGTTGACCGAGCGGTGGCAGGCCCGGGGATAGCCATAGAGACTGGGCGCGGGTTGTATGCACCGCTGAAGCGATCTGTCCCAACTCTCTCTGCACCCGCACTGCGCCGTTGGGGCTTGGGCTTCTTGGACGATACGAGGTTGATCAAACCATTCGCAGGGGTAGGGGCCGCAGCGCCATTTTGCAGATCGCCATTAACACCGTTAACAGGAACCGATCGCTTGGCGATTTCCAGCTCTTCCTCGAGCTCCGCAACCCGTTGCCGGAGGACGGCTTTCTCGGCTTCGGCCTCGGCGTTGGCAATCTTGAGACGCTCCAATTCATCGCTCGTGACGCGGATCGTCTCGCGGGTGACCCGCTCCTCTTCTTGCATGCGCTTAATGGTAGCCTGGTTTTCGGCCTGGGTCTGGTTCATCTTGGTCAACTCTTCCTCGACGGCTTCCAATCGAGCTGCAGTAATACCGGCCTGGTTGGCCTCCGCCTGCAGCTCCTTTGCACGTGCCTCAAGCGCGTTATGCCGGGCACGCCATGACTTCAGTTGGGTCTCGTAGTTGTCCAATTGCGAAGCCAGGGACTTGTTCTCCAGCTTCAATGCCTGCAAGATCTGGGTAAGCTCCACGACCTTGTTCTCCAGCTTGTAGGAGATTTGCTTCAGATCGCGGGCCTCTTCACGCAGCGTCTTGTAAGCCTTACGAGCCTGCTTTCCTCTATACAAGTTCTGGACAGTGATAACCTTTTGACGATACTGACGCCAGGCACGCAATTGACGCCACGAACGGAATGCACGCTGAATGACCTTGGCTGCATTGCCATTGATCGAGTCCATGATATTCCGACGGCAAAGGAAGCCCTTCATAACAGACTGGAACAAAATAACGTTGCTCCGAATCTCCGTGTAGCGCTTTCTGTCCTTGGAACCACGCCAGACCCGCTGAATGGTGGTCGCGGCCTTGTTCCGGCGAATCTCCTGGGCGCGCTGGCGAGCCAGGAATCCTCGGATGAAGGCCTGGGTGGTGAGAATGGACTCACGGGCCTCCAGGTAACGGCGTCGGTAATATTTGCAGCGCAGGTTCTTCTGAATCATGATCGCACACTCGTTCAGGCGCGAAGTTCGCAAGTTCTCCAAGAAGGCAAGCATACCAGCCCGGAAGAAAATCTTGGTCAAACCAAGCTGGTACTTATCCTGCTTCTGGTGGTTCGCATCACCGAGGGCCTTGCGCAAGATAGCATGGCACATGTCTCGGATCTCAGACGTCCACTGCGAAGAGTGGCAGAGCATGTAGTAACGAATGGCAAACTCCTCATATGTCCAACGGGTGGGATAACCAGCCGTACTGATTCGAACCGTCTCCAAAACACCACAAGCTCGCAACTGGCTGAGAACCATGGGGCCCTCGAACTTCCAAGCCTCCTTGGCTTCGTTGGGCTTGATACAACGAATGTAGTGTACATCAGTAGAGTTGATGGTGTTCATCAGCTCGATAAGCGAGGACTTGAAGATTCCACCCAGCGTGGGTTTGCGGTTGACAGCGACACCGATACGACGTCCAGGCGCCGTAGCCACGGCCTTGGATGCAATCGCTGCGGAGTCCTTCTCGCGAACGGCGGCGGCAGTATCCAGGATCTCCTTAATGAAGCTATTAGACGAGTTGCGCAGCACCTCCATATGCTCGTCAGGAACGGTATCTCGGTTCTTCTCAATGAAGCCATCCGACTCGTAGGTGACATCAACGGCATAGTGGCAAACAGTGAAAGCGGACTTGCCGAAGCGGGGTTTCTTGTAGAATTTTTGCTTGTCAGCAGCGAAGTGGTGGTGAAGCTTGGTGACGAATTGCTCGTCGGATCCCATGGGAAGTCTGGATTCTTCGTCCAGAAGTGACAGGATTCCAAGCTTAGCCTCGATTAGATCAATGCAGGGCTGGTTGTCAGAGAAATCAATGAATGTCCAATCAATCTCTTCTCGCACATATTCCTCCTGCTCGAGCTTGAACACGTGCTGGTTGAACTCCTGCTGCAGCTTCTCGTTCGCGTAGTTGATGCAGAACTGTTCAAATGAGTTCTTGGCGAAGTGCTCGAAACCGTAGATATCAAGGACACCGATGAAGGTCTTGACTCGCTCAATAACCTCATCCGTGGCCAGTCCACGGTTGATCGTATCTACTAGCCAGTCGAAGAGGCTAGAATAGATGAATTTAGCAACCGAGTCTCGAACCACGATGGCCTGCTGCTGGGTGAGATTGGAGGTAATCTTCTCGCCACGAGTGATCAGCTGCTTCTTAACAATCCACTTGGCGAACTCGTTGGCATCAATCCCGAGCATCTCGCTGACACGCACAAGAGATGGCTCCGATGGTGAAAGAGATGAGTCTGTACGAGTAGCCGTGATCTTCACATTACCCAGATGCAGCAGAGCCGCCAGGATACGGAAGATTTCAGTCTGGTGTCCTGCCGACACACCGATGGTGGCCAGAGACTTCCTCGTCGCATCAAACTCAGCCTTGTCGTCCACGCCGTCGATGATTGGCGTACCACCCTGGTTGAGATATTCGAATTCCTCAACGGGCAGCAGACCCAGGTCCTGCCTCTCCTCATCGGTGGCACCGGCCACGAGCTGATAGAAGATGTGGTAGTTTCGCTCCTTCAGTGGCTGGAAGACAAGCCTAGATCGCTCAAGCAGGTATGTCCGAATCTTTGCGCCAATGATGTTCGTGCGCTCGTCAAACATGATCTCGATGTACTTTCCGAACCGAGAGGAGTTATCGTTTCGGGTTGTCTTAGCGTTACCGAACGCTTCCATCACCGGATTGGTGGCCAGAATCTGCTCTTCGGTCTCGGTAGTGGCGTCTGCGCGACTCGTGCTGTATTTCCCAGGCTGGTCGGAGGACTCGCGAGTCGCAAAGTAGCGCATAATGTACTTGGCGCTCACGGTCTTACCAGCACCGGATTCACCGGAGACGACGATCGTTTGGTTCTTCCCATCGCGAAGCATGTCACTATATTCGGAGAAAACAGTGTATCAGCAAACCAAATTCGAGTATACAGACCCTTCACACGGAACGAGTAATTCTTACGCGAAGGCTTCCTCGGCGATAGCGAACAAGTGAGGTGCCTGAGAAGCGCGCTGTTTCCCGGCATAGACCTGGACCATCTGCGGGACATAGAGCGAGTCCACTCGGGCGAAGGGATTGGTCGCAATCAGCACGATACCACTGTATGTGTAGATCTCTTTCTGGGCATATCGGAGCTTGATAGCCTGCAGGACTGCATGAAGCTGTCAGTTGAAGCTACGGGAGTCAACGTGTTTTCTCAAGTTGAAACCAACCGGCAGGCTCATTCAGGTGGGACAGATTCGTCAAGTCCTCGCTCGCTTCCAACATGGCCGGGTTCATCAGTGGCGGCAGTTTCGAGTTGTTGTCGACCTGCAGTTCGGCTTGGGTGGTCTCGACAGTTTTGGTCTGTTTTCTCTCGCGTCTGGTCAGCCTTTCCCCGTTACCCCAGACTCGTCGACCAGAACTCCTTCCAGTTCTCACTCATGCGGGGATCGAAACACGCACCTCGCCATTCTCCAACTCAAACACCAGCTGAACCTTATCTCCGTCCACCAGCTTCTCTTTCACCTCAGATGCGACCCATCCTTCCGTCGGGTCGGGCTGCCAGGCCCGTGTCCCGACCTCGTAGATGTGCGCCATGACAAGATCCGGTCGAGCGAGCGGGCTCAATCTGATCGCACAGGGGAGGAGGACGATGTGGCGTAGGTATATTCCGGAGGAATGTCGGTTTTGGAGTGACAGGTATCCAAATGGGGGATGGGGAATAAAAGGGCAAATCAATCACGAATGAGCGGTCGAAAGACAGAGTCTCACGGCAACCCCTCATCCACTCATGATCCGAAAGAAAGGAAAAGAGAAAGAAAAGAGAGTCTCTAAATGCACGGGTTCAGAGTTTTGGGGGGGGGAGGGGGAAAGAAAAGCGCGTCGGAGTAGAGTGAACTAACAGCTGGCCCATTTAGCGAGCGACAGCCCCTGAAGGGAGCTTTCGGGACTAACTTGGGGGTGCCGCGCCACACCCCCACAATGTTCTGTCACCGCCCTTCTGTGCGCTTTGGAGTCCCTGCACGGTAGAATTGACGACGATTTGATGAGACGATCGTGCGGAGGTTCTCCCTATATAAACAAAGATAATAGTTCTGAATATGATTCTGTCTCACACTAAAGCATTGGGTATACAGCCATAACGAAGTTGGTCTTTCTACACTATATATCTCAAAACAACCAACCATAGATACATACCTCTTATCGTGCTTGAAAACTGTAATATATGGCCACAAGTCCGCAGAAAACCCCAAGACATATAAAGCATCGAGAAGATCAATCAGATAACCCCTTGAAGGCCCCGTATGGATTGTTCCGGACTCTTACCCCGGATTTGGATCTGTAGAAATCTCGAGGTCCGGACCCACGCACGAGATCATCAGCGGCCCTATTATGGGTTAGGTAGTAGGATATATGGTATACTACGACATCAGGATATGCAAAGGTCGGACTCTATACTAAGGAATGGGATTTTTGAGAAGCCATCAATATACCCATGTCAATTGCCTGCACCCAGCAGAAGATCCACATTGCCTCCCTTTGCAGGCTTGTCTGTCCCGTTTCTTGGCCAAAAAGCAAGTCATTACACACTGATTATGTCAATTGATTGGAGAAATATTAGGTAGACAGGTCAAGTTCACGCAGTGCAAAGGGGAGGGGACAAGAGCATCAGTGAGAGAGAGAGACAGAGAGAAAAAAAAGAAACATAGCAATAACGTCAATCACAAGGAATTCCATGAAGCATGTCAGTGAGCTGCTCCGCTTGATGGCGAGCCACTTTTTTATCCCGGGGAAGTTCTAGTTTTGCTTGCACTCGGCGGCCTCCTTCTTGGGCTTGGAGGAACCATCCTAAACGAGGAGAATATCAAATCAGCAACTTTGTCACGTTGGCGAATTAGACCTCCAGGGGGGGCTGTCGTCTCACCTCTTCGTCCGAGTCATCATCCACATCCCGGTCCGATCCTCGCTCATCCTCATCATCATCATCCTCGTCCTCATCCTCATCGTCCTCATCTTCAAAGTCGTCGGGGTCGATCTCGTCACCCAGCTCCTCGAACTGCAGAGCCTCGCCGGTGAACCAGTCGATCGCACGGGGAATCAGCTTCTCCTTGATATCCTCACCCAGCTGGTAGTCCAGCTCCAGACGCTCCTCGATGTCGCTAGCAACGGATTCGTCATCATCGACGGGTGGTTGAGGGGGGGAGAAGAAGTTGAAGAAGGACTCGGTGGGCACGCTGATCTTAACAACGCGGGTCTGCTTGGTGTCTGTGGGGGAGGAGGGAGCAAGAAAATTAGTCTCCTGATCGTCGAAAAGCTTGCGGGGAGGGAAGAAGGTGGGAACGGCTTTGCCCGCAAAGATCTCAAAACTTACTCTTGTTGCGCTGCTTCTTGCTCTCCAGGCGGAGAGTCAGATCCTTATCATCCTTCCAGTCAATCTTGGAGCCCTCGGCGTGGTCGTAGATGAAGTCGCCACCGTAGCCGTTCTCATCCTTGTAGTAGTAGGTCTTGGTGATGGTCTTGTTGGTGAAGAACTCGTTCTCGGCGAACTCGAAGATGAGGCGGAATCCAGGTCGGTCGAGGTACTCCATGCGAATGTCGGTGAGCTGCTTGAGAGCCTCCTCGTCGCGCTCGGTGATCATCTCGGCGAGCGAGATCTGGTTCTTCATGGCAGAGAGCCAGAACTCAGGAATACCGTTCGCCGGCTCACCCTCCTCCTTAGTCTCCTCCTCGGCCTCCTTGGTCTCCTCCTCATCATCTTCCTCCTCATCCTCCTTTCCGGCCTCGACCTCGTCATCGGTAGGCTCGACAGCACCGTTCACGATGGTGGCACGGCGCTCGTACAAGGGGGTGAATTTGCCGAAGTACTTCTTCTCGAGCTCAAGGACCTCCTCCTGGAACTGGGCCTCCAGCTTGGCGTGCTCCTTCTGAATGCCCTTAAGACCGGCCACGCGGCGGCGGACGACCGGGGGAAGAGACTCGATATAGCCGGATGAGCGACCGACGAGCTGGCCAAGCTTGCCCTGGATCATGTTGATCAGAGCCGGGTTCCGGGCGAAAAGAGAGGCGGCAGCCGCGCTATCCAAGGGTTCTGTTCGAAACAGCGGTCAGGAACGCGACCGCGAAATGGGGGATGGTACGGGGGACTTTTTCAAAAATTTCCCAGCTACCTACCTTCCTTGATGCTGGACACACCAGGCTGCTGGGCGTGAGATGAGATGGGGGCATTGTTGGCCGGCGTGTTTTGCGGGGTCCTGAAATTTTCGGGAGCTGGATTAGTGATTGTTTTTTTTTTTTGCCTTCGCCGATAAGCCGGTACCAGAGGGGCAGGGTAAATCCTTACGGAGCGACCGGGAAGTCGGGTTTCTTATTCCTGATGGGCTCAGACATGGTGACGGCGTGTGGTTGTGTAAGAGGGAGAGGGGGGGAGGAGGGGGGAGGTGGAAGGAGGAGAGGTTGGAGAAGGAAGGGAGGGGAAGAATTTGATACGGGCGTTTTGAGAGGGGGCAACCTGGAAGATGGTGGGATTAGGTGGGATTCCTTAGCGCCGGTCGCCGGAGGGGCCCTTGGCGGGACGCGCTTCTTGGTTGAGGGCAAGTCTCGCGCTCCCCAACAAAGTTCTGGAACGTCCTGACGAACTTCAGTGCTTGGCCTGTTCTACATGATAATACCTTAGATAGACTACTATAGGCCGATCATGGTATGACTGATCATGTTGCCTATGTATGCTCCATTTTTCTGTTTCACCCGTACAGAGTGGACCGGTGCAATCCTGAGGCATCCTATGTCCATATCCAAATCCAAATCCCCTCTCGGTGGCGTCTTGACCAGATAAAATCAACTTGGGTAAAAGGGGGGCAAACCCGACATGGGAAAGCCAAAATAAAAAATTACCAGTCAATTCGCCTTGTCCCTTGGTTGCTGGTCACGGTGCAGAAGTGGATACATGGTTACAGTCTGTACCAATAAACTATTCGTAGTCAGAGAGGCTCAGCCATTCCGGCCTCTGCACCATCCCACGCCGGTCCATCACCCGTCAATCTTTGATCTTTTATATTTAGAAACATGGTTCGGGTGTTGTCAATCGACTTGGTGGGTACGGGGGTGTATAGTAGTCCCTTGATGAATTGAGTCCAGTCGAAAAAAACATGGCTTCGGACAGCCTATGAAGGTGCAACTCAGCTATGCTGTATAAAAGGATCTTGCAGTGAAGCTGATCGTCCTGTTGATGTAGATATATATTTTGTCAACGTATCACAGTTTTCAACAAGGCAAGTTTTCTGGCTATACTATGAATAAAAAAGATATATAGTATCGACATATGTTATCCTCAGCCACGTGGATCATAAACATATCCACCCCGTGAATTCATCAAATTGTCATTTCGCGGTCCTCCTACTGGCTGTAGAATGTCAAAACGTCAAGAGCCCCGGAAGAGGTCCGGACGTTCGCCTGAGATCCGACGTGGGCTTATCGGTCACATGGAGATAAGGGCATATCACCAGGAGGTCGGGGAAATCGCCTCCCCTCACTGGTCCCGATGAGCGTCCCCACGGTTTTCATCTTTGTCGCGTGTGGAAATCTCGACCTACTGATTGGCGTGGTTATGTATCTACTGACGGTAGCACCATACAACAACCACCCGTAAAGCACAATAGGTGTTATTTGGCCGGACCTTGATTGCTGAAAACCTACCACACGCGATCAACTCCGCACCGAAACCAGATACCGGAAACTAGAAACCCAGCAACTGAAGTTTCAACACCATGGGCAGCCGCCCGCAGTCCCCGATGGGGACAGGTCCTATGGATCTCTCGATTCCTCGACCAAGCCGCCGTCGGGACTCCTTGAGGAGCAGGTTGTAGACCCTTGCCAATGTCATATCAATCGCGATTGCTGACCGTTTCCCTAGTGTGAGCGTAGTGTCCGACGTCGAAATGGCCCGGAACGAGGTACGTCACCCTATTTCACCCCCGAGGATATCGTCCCTCAATTGACGACGGTTGGGACAGGTCTTCGACGGCCCCATCTCCGAGAGTATCCCCTCAAGCGTGGTCTCATTCTCGCATCGCCGTGCCCGAGCTGGATCTACGGTGAGTTTTACATACTTTCAGGACGAGGAGGATTTTGCAGAATGGTCCAATGAAGATGCGGTGGATGTGGACAGCGATATCGAGGTAGCATCGCCAGATGGTCTGGATGAAGCAGATCTCGAGTCCCACCGAGGCTCTTTCGTCTCCAAGAGACTTTCCCGTGATTCGGTCGAACATCCTTTGCTCTCTCGGTATCTATCGGCAAGCTCATACGGTCGGGACCGAAGGACGGGCGGTAGACTGAATCAGAAAGTGTATATCGCTTCGGAGGATCTCACAGCTGTCTTTGCTGGATTCTCGACGAGCCCGACCGGCTATGCCATTTATCTATCTCTGTGCATCCTCACTGGCGGCCTCGCTTATCTGCTATTTCGATGGCTTCCACGTTGGCGAGTCAGACTGATTGGAAAGGCAACACAATTGGGAAAATGTCAATGGGTTGCGATCGAAGTGAGAACCCTTCCCTTTACTCTTCCTACTACGACACCGCGTTATGCTAATCTCAAAGCAGGATCAATGGAGTCAGTTCACAATTCACAAGATTGATAGCCAGTCTTACGGGCGTCCATTGTCAACGGTATTTGGAGACCCACCGGGGCATGTCTACGACGAAGACACCGACCCAACGATGGTAAATCTACGGTTCCTCGATTACAGGCATATCCGTTTCTGCTATCATCCACTTGAAGACAAATTTGCCTTGATCAGTGGCTGGAAGGACCCATCATGGGTCAATGCGAAGGTCCTGAGAGGGGGTCTCGATGCCGATGAGCGTGATAGCAGGGAGCAGATCTTCGGCCAAAATGTCATTGATATTCAGCAGAAGACTGTTCCCCAACTATTGGTTGATGAGGTATGGAAGATCGGTTCGAATAGACACGAAAATATTTTCTAACTCCACCCTCCGCCAGGCCTTCCATCCGTTCTACATGTTCCAGGTAGCCAGTCTGCTGCTTTGGTCCATAGATGAGTATTACTACTACGCCGTTTGTATTTTCCTTATCTCTGTTTTCAGCATCGGGACTACTGTGTTAGAGACAAGATCGGTATGTTTTCATTTTGGTCCTGGAGTCGGTTCCTAGCAGCTGACCCGATATACAGACCTTGCACCGCCTGAGAGAGATTTCCCTGTTTGACTGTGATGTGCGTGTTCTCAGAAATGGATTTTGTAGGTCAATCTTGGAATACACTGTTGCACAATCGTTCGCGCTAATTCTCATTCTCCACTATAGGGAGATCTGTTTCCTCTCAGGATCTGGTTCCCGGAGATGTATTTGAGTTCTCCGATCCTTCGTTGAACCAAGTCCCATGTGATTGCATCTTATTGTCAGGCGACTGTATCGTGAACGAAAGCATGCTTACTGGTGGGTAGCCCCTGGCGCAGGCTTATCGCACAGGGAAGCTCTAACAGACAAGCAGGCGAATCGGTTCCCGTGTCCAAGATTCCACTCACCGACGAAGCTCTCAAGTACCTCGACCTCAGTGCACCTTCCATTCATCCCAATGTTGCCAAGCACTTCCTCTTCAGCGGAACGAAGGTCATCCGTGCTCGACGACCTCAGAACGCGGATGATGAAGAAGCTGTTGCGTTGGCAGTCGTTGTGAGAACAGGGTTCTTGACGACCAAGGGTGCATTAGTTCGCTCAATGCTGTTCCCCAAACCTTCGGGCTTCAAGTTCTACCGAGATTCTTTCCGCTATATCGCCGTGATGGGAGTGGTCGCCCTTCTTGGCTTCATTGCGTCTTTTGTCAACTTCGTTCGACTGGGTGTAAGTTTACGATCTCATAGAGGAAGAGCTATTATTCAGCCTCTAACCAACGACAGCTTGCCTGGCATCTGATTATCGTTCGAGCCCTTGATTTGATCACGATCGTCGTTCCACCTGCTCTCCCTGCGACTCTCACAATTGGCACGAACTTTGCTCTTTCGCGTCTGAAGAAGCAATCGATCTTCTGTATTAGCCCGCAGAAGTAAGTGGCCTCCTAAGAGAGCCGAGACTACGTATCCATTTACTAAAACACTTGCGATTTAGGGTCAATGTCGGTGGAAAACTTGACGTCGTCTGTTTTGATAAGACTGGTACCCTCACGGAGGATGGATTAGACGTTCTCGGTGCACGAACGGTTGGCCAAAACCACAGGTTGGTTCTTGTTTTGACAAGTGTTCTATCAGCAATAACTAAGATCGTCTAGGTTCTCCGAACTTCTGTCCGAAGCATCATCCGGCACACTGATTCCTCCACCAAATGCGAATTCCCCCTTCGATTTGGAGAAGCAGCGGAAAATTATCTACACCATGGCGACCTGTCACTCTCTTCGAGTTGTGGATGGCGAACTACTTGGCGATCCTCTCGACGTGAAGATGTTCCAATTCACAGGATGGTCATACGAGGAGGGTGGAGGTCACGCTCCCGAGCAGACTAGCCCCAAATTCGACACCATCATTCCGTCTGTTGCGAAGCCTCCGGTAACTCACGGGGGCGACAGCCAACCGAATGGGCCAAATGTAAGTTGTACCTTATATCCTCTGAAGCCTCTCTTAGACGTGGTGCTGATACTATTCTTCCCGTTGTAGATTCCTGTCGAGCTCGGAGTCCTTCGAAACTTTGAATTTGTCTCGCACCTCCGCCGTGCCAGTGTGGTTGTCAGACAGTTTGGGGACAATGGCGTGAACTTCTTTGTTAAAGGCGCACCCGAAAGTATCAAGGACATCTGTATACCCGAGTCTCGTAAGTCTCATCCCTCCTTCTACCGTTACACGGATTGAAGTCGCTGACTCGCTACTGCAGTTCCTTCCGATTATGACGAGCTGTTAAACTACTACACTCACAAGGGATACCGCGTGATTGCCTGTGCTACCAGATACGAGCGCAAGCTTAGCTGGATGAAGGTACAGAAGATGACACGTACCGAAGCTGAAAGCAACTTGGAATTCGCTGGCTTCATCATATTTGAGAATAAGTTGAAGAGCACTACGACCCAGGTAATATCGGAGCTCAACCAGGCCGGTATTCGCAATGCCATGTGCACGGGCGACAACATCTTGACTGCGATCAGTGTTGCTCGTGAATGCAAGATGATTGGACCTAATGAACAGTGTTTCATCCCGCATTTCATTGAAGGTAATTCTTATTCTTCGCTGGTACATGAACCGTCGGTGGAACTAACAAAACACCAAAGAACCCGGCCTTATCACCAAAACTTCTCTTTGCTGGGAAAGTGTAGATGATCCAGATCTCACCCTAGACCCAAGAACGCTTCTGGTATGAGATGTCTCCTTCACGGTCATAGCTATCAACTAATTTCTCCTAGCCCACGGACACCACTGCAGAAAATGATGTATCCATTCCTGGAATCGCCATGAACGAGCGTAATTATTGCATCGCCGTCACGGGTGATGTGTTCCGCTGGATGATTGATTACGGAAATGAAGATGTGCTCAACAGGGTAAGTTGGTCCGACTTCCCACAGTCTATATTGAGACTTTCTAACCACCACGCTTTACATTCTAGATGCTGGTCATTGGCAAAGTATTTGCCCGGATGTCACCAGATGAAAAGCATGAACTCGTCGAGAAGCTTCAGTCCATTGATTACTGCTGTGGTTTCTGCGGAGACGGTGCAAATGACTGTGGTGCTCTGAAAGCCGCAGATGTTGGCATCTCTCTGTCAGAAGCTGAGGCCTCCGTGGCTGCGCCCTTCACTAGCCGGCAATTCGACATTTCTTGCGTTCCGAAATTAATCCGGTATGTATTGAGCATCTAATGCCATGAGGAAAAGAGACTGACTGTTAGGTAAAGCGAGGGACGAGCTGCCTTGGTGACTAGCTTCTGCTGTTTCAAGTTCATGAGTCTTTATTCAGCCATTCAGTTCTCCACCGTCAGCTTCCTCTATACATCGGGGTCCAATCTTGGTGACTTCCAGGTGAGTGTACAACCAGTCTCACTACGTACATGAGATGTTCAAGTCTCCCCCAGAAAGCCGCTGACTCGCCATGTAGTTCCTGTTCATTGATTTGGCTCTCATCATGCCCATTGCTATTTTCAGTGAGTCCCAAAGCCATCGCATTACGCCTTTGTTCACACGCAAGCTGACAATAATGTAGTGGGCTGGACTGGTCCCTATCCTACCCTTTCTCGCAAACGGCCCACAGCGGATCTTGTCTCACGAAAGGTTCTTACGCCCTTATTGGGTCAAATCGTCCTGGTTGTCCTCGGCCAGTTGGTTGTTTTCAAGACCGTCCAATTGCAACCTTGGTAAGTGGACAATGACAAGTCATGTCAAAGCGTCGTGGTTACTGATTATCCATGCCATCCAGGTATCTACCTCCTCAGCTTGACGTGGAAAAAAGCAACATTTTGAACTCGCAAAATACCGCGTTGTTCCTGTTTTCCTGCTTCCAGTACATCCTGACAAGCATTCTCCTTAGCGCCGGGCCGCCGTTCCGGCAGCCAATGACCCAGAATGGTGAGTAATATCCATGAACTTATTATTCAGCAGAAGATTACTAACGGCTGTCTTGGTGTAGCTCCTTACTTGTGTACCATTATTATTGATCTTGCAATTGCGGGCTACATGCTCTTCCGCCCCTCGGAGTGGGTTGCGAGCGTGATGGAATTGACCTTCATGTCAGATGGCTTCCGCAGCTGGGTTGTGGCATTGGCCCTTGGAGCATTTGCTCTCGCCTTGATGGCCGAGACAATTGCTTTCCCTCGTCTGGCTCACATCATTGGCCACATCCGCGCACGTCTGCAGCCCAACTACCGCAAAAAGCGCCGCCAGTACAAGATTCTATTGGAGCAGATGCGCCTGTGATCTGCGACGGTCACATGGCATTAGAACTGTACTTTGTAATAAGAGCGAGGAATATAGATAGATAGAGCGTTTTTTTTCTTTTTTGCACTTTATCAGTGTCGCATTGTCTCCAAACGGAAATGGTATAATACATTTCAACTGAACCCGGTCAAGCCCCACCTAGACCAAGGACTCTCCAGATGAAAATAAAAGCATGATAGAGCGCTCTAATGGATCGAGCCCGACTTCAACAGAATTGCGCATGGTATTGTGGAAAGACGGATATGTTTCGAGGCATACGGGATCCGTCGTCTAGTGGTCCCATGGGTGCTTCCAGCCCAGAAGAGCCGGGCCGTCCTTCTTGGCGCGGTACATGAGCTAGATGCCGGGGTTCAGAGTTAGCGTTTCGATATTTTCGAGGATCGAGCAGCGTTGAGAGACATACGAAGAACCACATGCTGGCGCCCAGGGCCGTGGCCGTGAAGCGGTAGAGCGGTCGGACCGGGTGGATGTGGATTGGGTGGTGGGCCTTGCCTGCCATGACTGAACGAATTGGGTCAGCCTAATTGAGTCTTTACTTGACAGGATTCAGGGTCTCTCACTGTGTGTGTCGTGCAAGTGGTTGCTTCACGAACGGGGGCAGATTGCTGGGGAAGAGAGACGAGAAGCGGGTCGTCGGCGGAGGTTCAACTCCTCCAAATCACGTGACCAGTGACGGCACGCGGCCATTTTCCAGTCACTTCGAGTTGCGCAGTTTTCTTTAAAGGTTGCTGCCTTTTTGACAACTTCGTTTAATACGGATTGGGGTACCTTGGAATTCATGGTCCTCGCATAACCCACTTTTTCCTTGGAGACCCCTGCCCAGTGACCGCTGCCTGCGTCTGCTACGAGCTGTTGACCCGAGGCCCTTGAATGGCCCGTCCTGGACCACGGCATCACACCTCCCGCAATGTGAAGACCTGGTGTTCGCCTCTTTCTGCTCCTTCGGAATTTTAGCACTGTCTGCTACGAACTTGACCTCGTGAACTTTTTATCAGCACCTCTCCTTCACCTCTCTACGAGACAAACTTTACGACCCAAGCGACTACCGTTCACGAACACCCTCTACCAGCCCACGCTGCCAACTCCAAGGACGACGATTGACTACTTCGAGCCACCGAACACATTCTTCCACTGATACCGGCGTATACCACAGCTTGCGGTCACTCCGAACTCTGTTCTTGTTGGTCGTCCCACGGCCGTTGGTAACAAGATGTCTGTTGCTCCACTCGAGAAGGACAGCGAAGGCGAGCCTCGGTTTCCTGGCTGTTCAAATATCCGAGACTTTGAATTCATTGGCAAGCTTGGCGAGGGAACTTTCGGGTACGTTTCCGGCAGAGATTCTTTCAAACAACAAACTTGTTGACCAGCGAGCAGTGAGGTCTACAAAGCGAGGTCAAAAAAAGATAACTCGATTGTGGCCCTGAAGAAGATTCTTATGCATCATGAGAAGGAAGGTGTAAGTGATGTGCTTGTTCTGTCCTCTCGGTAGTCACTAATTCTCATGGATTACAGTTTCCTATTACAGCGATCCGTGAGATCAAACTTTTAAAGGCTCTTTCTCATGTCAATATCTTGCAACTCAAGGAGATGGCTATTGAACGGAGCAAAGGTAAGGTCATGCTCGGTATACTATCTGTTGAAGCATCTCTCTGACCGCGGTTCCAGGCGAGGGACGAAAGAAACCCAGCATGTACATGGTCACTCCGTACATGGAACATGACCTATCAGGCCTTTTGGAAAATCCCGCCGTGCATTTCACCGAGCCTCAGATCAAGTGTTATCTGTATCAATTACTAGAAGGCTTGCGATACTTGCATGCGGTACGAATTCCTTCAAGATTTCAACTTGAAGACCATTGAACTGACATCTACCTCATAGAATCAAATTCTACACCGAGATATGAAAGGTGTGTGTGATAACAGAGGTAATCGGTTTCGGAACTCAGCTAATACAGCACCGCGTGCTAGCTGCCAATCTATTGATTAGCAATGGCGGCATTCTCCAGATTGCCGATTTTGGGCTCGCACGACCCTTCGATGAGCCCCCTCCGCAAGCCGGAAAAGGCGGCGGAGAGGCAAAAAGGGAATACACTGCTCTGGTCGTCACGCGATGGTACCGTCCACCGGAGTTGCTACTACAACTTCGACGGTATACGTCCGCGATTGACATGTGGGGAGTTGGGTAAGCTTATTCTGCATTGCTTCCGTTCTTGACGTTACAGATGTGTATACAGCTTCTGATCCTTGCAGGTGCGTCTTTGGTGAGATGTTCAAGGGAAAGCCGATTCTCTCTGGCAGCAGTGATTTGAATCAAACTCAGCTCATCTTCTCCTTGGTGGGAACTCCTACCGAGGAGAACATGCCTGGGTGGAGCTCGCTCCCAGGATGCGACGGTGTGAAGAGCTTTGGTCATAAACCTGGCAACCTTTCACAAGTATTCAAGGAGTAAGTGGTTACCAAGCATGCAACGACCCCAGCGTGTTTTTTGTAAGGTCATTGGCTGACTCCACAATAGCCTAAGCCCCGTGGCCGTCTCTCTCCTGACAGAGCTTCTCAAGCTGGACTGGCGCAAACGAATCAATGCCATCGATGCATTGAAACACCCATATTTCACCACACCTCCCCTTCCCGCAAAGCCTGGCGAGATTCCTCATTACCAGGACTCCCACGAGTTGGACCGAAAGAAGTTCCGCGACCAGCGCGCTCCTATGCCCCCAGCCCCGGCAATGGGATCTACCGACCCTACATCCAATGGAGGATGGACCGGACCCGGATCTCGGCCAGACTCCCGCAACAGCAATCACAGTCGGATACCGGGAGCCGCCCGTGGTGGTCGACCCAATGGTCCCCCGGGTGTTCCCCACCGACGTGGACCCTTCCCGCCTCAACGTGAGAGCGGGCTTCCTCCGCGTCCGCCCTCTGCGGCTCCTCCGCCGTGGGAAGGATCACAGAGTGGCAGGTCCGACGGGCGAGATGACCAGCGTCGCGATCGGTCCAATCAGGGTCAAGGTCGTCCCGGTGGTAGAATTCCTCAAAGCAACCACCATCTTGACTCGTACGTCCCTAGCTACGGAGGTAGTGCTCACGACCGTGGGCGAGAATCTGGTGATTACAATCCTCAATCCAATCAAGATTGGCGAGGAGGAAATCGACGTGACTATCGCCGGGAACCGCCTCGGAGGAGAAGCCGGAGTCCTGGTTACAGAGATCCGGCCCGAGGCTGAAGATATTCACACTTTGAACCTTTGATTTTGTATACCTATTCCTCCTATCCTCCGATACCTCTTTCCCTCCGTACCTCCCTATCCTCCGCCATCCGTTCCTCCCATTCCATCTGATACACTCGACCAAGGAGTCGATCTTTCGAAGACGACTATTAGGACCCACAACAAAGACGAGGCTCTCGCACGCTCAAGGCTAGCGATGATGCATTCTACATGACTGGCCTGCATAACGTCATGCCCTCGTATACCTAGAACCCCAAATATCTAAATCAAACCCGTTCCATGTTATGACTTTTATCTAACCTCTAATAAACAAAAGTTATCAGTACATGTCCTTGATTTCACACAGACTAGTGCCTCGAGAAATTTAGAACTCTCCAATGAAAAGTCAGACGAACGTCTTACACCACGCCCTTGGAGACTACGCCAAAGAAACATTGCAAACTGGATCAAGTAATATATGAAGCTTTTCCCAAAGCATGTAAGAATCTTCTTTCAAACTTTTGAGGTTGCCACTGTAGATTTTGGTCGCATGAATCACAAAACGATACCATCGCCGGAACAAATATAATAAGAAAGAACAAAAGGTATTTGCAAAGAATAATCCTTGAGGGACCTCGTTGAAAGGGCCCCTCACCCTAAAATCGTGAGATTTGAATCACCGTGTAGATTCCAAACATGTCAAGTTGATTACAATAGCGCGTTTTTTTCGATGCGCTGTCTAGTACAGAATGCGGGTCATGATACGAGCTGTGTGGCTGTAGTTAGTATGGTTGTGCGTGGGAGGGAACAAAGCTCAGTAAGGGAGGATCTTACAATTGAGGCTCTCGAGGCTCTGGTACAGTTCCTTGATTTGCGTGGAGTTGACATCGCTAATATCAGCCATCAAATAGGCAACCTGTTGAGATTTGATTAGCGGTTAACTTCTCTTGAGACTTTGTCGTTTCTGAGAGACATGGATACTTACGTCGCCTCGGCTATCGGTCATCTGCTTGTCGACGTTGTGGTCGCCAAGAATCTCGTTGACTATACAAAACTGTCAGTTTCTCGCTTGAAGGACCTCGAGGAACATGAGAATGGATCTTACCCTTGCGCAACACACCGGGAATGTTCTTGTGAATGTAAACCACCTATATGACAAGTCAGATAATTTCTTTCTCTCAACTTGGGCGAACAACCGAGCGAAGCTCCACGGTTGCAGATAATCGAAACTTACCCGAGCGTGGCTGGGCTCATCAATGGTCAAAGAACGGAGGGCAACCTCGGGCAAGTTGACGGCACCGAGGGTGGTACCCTCGTTGACGTAACGAGTCAGAGCCGTGGCAACCTCGACACCAATAGCACTCTGGGCCTCCTCGGTGGATCCTCCAATGTGAGGGGTCAGGATCAAGTTCTTCAGCGACCGCAGATCGGCACCCCAGGTGTTCAGCTCGTTGTTGAAGTAGTCACCGTTGCCAGCGGGCTCGTTGGGGTACACATCAAGAGCGGCACCGGCAACCTTGCCGCTGCGCATGGCCTCAATGAGGGCGGGGATATCCACGACGGTACCACGGCTAGCGTTGATCAAGTAGCTACCGGGCTTCATCTGTTCGAACTGCTTCTGACCGATCATGCCCTTGGTCTCGGGAAGCTCGGGAACGTGGCAGGTGACGAAATCGGCCTCACCCAGGAGTGCCTCCAGAGTGTTGACCTGACGGGCGGTGCCCAGAGCCATGAGGTTGAGAACGTCGTAGAAGATGACAGACATGCCCATGGACTCTGCCAGTACTGACAGCTGAGCGCCAATGTGACCATATCCGACAATACCTATGAAAACGAAGCGGTCAGTCTCGAACTCGCGGATGATAACCCAGATTTCTCAATACACGGCTCCGGAACCGCGCAAGCTAGAGAGTCAAAAGGGTCCAGTTCACATACCCAGAGTCTTTCCACGAATCTCCCAGCACTTGTTGCTGACCTTGTTCCAGGTTCCGCTGTGCATTTCGTTGGAGCGGTCACCCAATTGGCGAGCAAGGCAAATGATCTCGCCAATGACCAGCTCGGCGACACTGCGGGAGTTGCTGAAAGGAGAGTTGAAGACGGCAATACCGTGTTCGGCGGCATACTGGAGATCGACCTGGTTGGTACCAATGCAGAAGCATCCGATCACGATCAAGTTCTTGGCCTCCTTGAGAACTCGCGCCGAGAGCTTGGTCTTGGAGCGGATACCGATCACATGAACGTCACTGCGCAGAGATGAGTAGGAATTCCCTTTGGACCTGCTACTCCTGGGTAGTAGTATCAAGCAAGACGTACCGAATCTTCTCAATCAGCTGGTCTTCCGGAAGAGACGACTTGAGGAATTCCACTTGGTAGCCCTGCTGCTTCAGAATATCGCGGCCAGCCTGGTTGACATTCTCCAGAAGCAAGACCTTGATGTCCTCAGTGGCAAAGGGCTTCAAGTGCTTCGCATTGACCAGAGGAACCGTCCGCGTCAGGGCCGAGCCGTGGCTGGAGGGAGAGTGGAAGGAGGCAGAGGGGGAGGTCGAGAGGTACTGGGCCTGAGCAGCCAGGTCGTCCGCGCGAGGACGAATATCTCTTGCCGACGTCATGTCGTGGGTGTGGAAGGATAGGCGGAGGAATGAATGAGGTGTCGAGAATTGAACTGAAGATACGGGAGGGAGTTCCACAAAGAAGGTTGTGGTAAAGGAAGGATGGAAATGACGAGACGAAGAAGAATAATTGAGCTATGAATCACCGGTGGGATGAGTAAGTTAGTTACGATGACTGGAGTAGTGTGGTCAGCCCACCAAATTAGCTAAGCCCTTCAAGGTTGGCTCAGTCTACTCCGGAATCGGACCGTCACGAAAGCAGTAGTTCCTTAGGCCAATGGGCAGTTCGGTTGGAACCCGGCGATTCGGGGTTTGCGTTGATTAATTGACTCAATTCTTTCTTCGTTATTTATTTTTTTTGCCCTCTGCAGTCCGGAGGGTCCCCGTGAGTCACGAATGTCGTGATGTCGTGATTGATGGAGGGGCAATCGCGGGGCGGAACAATTTTTTTTTTTTCTTTTTGCCGCCAGCCTAAAAGTCCAGACAAAGTGATAGTCTTCGAAGCACCCGATTAGAGTATCTAGCTGAAGATACAACCATTTGCTGAAGTAATTCAATTGAGTAAGAAAATGAGCTTATTATTCATTCTTTCTCAGGTCGAGCAAACTTTACACTGTGCAGCAAACTGCAGGATTATGTCATCGGCTCGAACCGGCAAGCCGAAGAGGAAGTACAAGACTACGCTAGACCGTTCAGAGTACAGACTGAAGTGTCGTAGTGGGGCGCAATCGGCGATCAACACGTTCGATTCGGATCAACTGCGGGAGTGAAGCGCATACTCCGTACAGTACACATGGACCTTATAGTGCACTACTAATAGACATGCTTGGCCAGGTGCAATCAGACCCCAGCCCAAGACAGAATCATGGTCTATTATTCCTCGGCTTTGTAGGAGTATAGTTTGTCTTGTGATTCAAGTAATTCAGTACAATATCTACCAATGCGCAGACATACATGCGTTTTTTACACGTTCATTTCCATGGTATCATTTGACGCTCGAGCAATGAATTTTGGGAGGTAATATGTATTTCTTTGCGGCCTATCCCTTCAATCCCCTTAGACCTTCAGGTCCTGCATCTTCTTGGTAGCATCCTCAGCGCCAGCTGCGGGCTTGTTGGACTGCTTGCCCTTGGTCTTTTGCTGCGAAGTGGAGCCCTTGGGAAGCTCCTTGACGTAAGGGAGGAACTCTGGCGCACCGGGGATGTACTTGCGCAGGACCTCGGGAACCTCGATACCCTATTATGACGGGTTAGCATCAATGATCTACCTAATGTGGCTATCCTGCTTATCGGAAGGCAGGGTAGAGACTCATGTTTGCTGCTGTCACTTACATCTTCTCTCTGGTAGTTCTCCAGAATACAGCACAGAGTGCGCTCGGTGGCACACAGAGTCGCGTTAAGGGCGTGCACATAGGTCTTCTTCAAGTCGGTCGCCTTCTTGACACCGAAACGGATCTCCAACGCACGAGACTGGTAGTCGAGGCAGTTGGAACACGACACGAGCTCCTTATACTCTTGCTGGAATGGGAACCAAGCCTCCAAGTCGTACTTCTTGGAAGCGGCGTTGTTCAATGCCCCGGAAACGATAGCCGCGACGTGGTAGGGGAGCTTCAGGGACTGGTAGAACTCCTCGGAAGTGGCCATCATGTCCTCGAAGGCTTGCCAAGAATCCTCCGGCTTGGTCAGGACAAACTGCTCGATCTATGACTTGGTGTGAGAAAGATGAGATGTAACGGGACGACGGCTCGTGAACTCACCTTCTCAAATTGGTGAACACGGAAGATACCCCAGGCATCCTTTCCGTGGGCACCGGCTTCCTTTCGGTAGCACGTGCTGTATCCAGCATACCTATATGTAACCTCCTCGTCAGTTCTCTAATCAGACCAGGGGAAAAAAAAAGCAGAATGAGCCCTTACTTAATGGGAAGGTCCTTCTCCTGTAGCCACTCGCTGTCGTGCAGCGCGGACAGGGGCTGCTCCGAAGTAGCAATGAGGTACTTGTCCGTAGACTTGTCATCGCTTTCTGTGACCTTGTACAACTCCTCGTCAAATTGCTCAAGCTGGGCCGTCTTGGCCATGAGGTCCTTGAGCATGAACTGAGGGGGTTGGTTGGGGGTGTATCCCTTATTGAAGAGGAACTCCAGGCCGTAGTTCACCAGGGCGAGGTTCAGGAACAGGCCGTATCCGGTCAAGCAGTATCCTCGGTGGCCGACGATCTTGACACCGCGCTCCGGATCATATCCATCCAGGCGAGTCAACACCTCGTGGTGAGAAAGGCAGTTGGGGCGTTCCATGACAGCATCGGGAGGGGTCCAGGTCTTGATGACCTCGTTGTTATCCTATAGAGGATTCGTCGGTCAGTCTGGGTAAAGTTCGCCACTCTGTAGATATCCTGAAAAAGCGTTTACCTCGTTGTTGCTAACAGGCACGGAGTCGTGAACGTAGTTTCCGATTGTGCGAATCTTGCGGTCACGCTCCAATTCCTTCTGGGCAGCAGCTTCTTCAGCGGCCTTCTTGCGCTTCTCCAAGTCATCTTTCTGCGCCATAAGTTCGCTCGCATCCTCCTTGTTCTGTTGAAGTAGACTGTATGAGCAATTGTCTTCGTGGCCTACTCTTTCGCCCGAAAGGGCAAGAGAAATGATCGACGGAGCAGGTAGGAAGACGGTACCTTCTTCTTCATTCCAATTTGCTTGAGAAGCGGGTTCAGCTGCGAACCAAACTGGGTCACCTCATAACGAGCTTGAAAAAGTGAGGTTAGCGATCTGGCGGACTCCCTGTTGTAACGTGCGCAAACTTACCTCTCCGAGCCTCCTCGTACAACGCGATCACTTCATCGACAGCTTCCTCGGGAGCGAAGCGCTTGCGCTGGCTTTCCTTGATCTTGTTCGGATTTCCGCCGCGCTCGGCGATGAAGTCATTGAGGTCGAGCATGGTTGAAGAGCAAGAGGGAGAATCGAGGACTTGAAGAAGTGAGTCAAAAGACCGTTCAGTTGTGGAGGGGTAAAATCCCAAAGTGCGCACGCCCGCGGGGCATTACTTAATCCACGGTTTCGCCCAGCGTTTCAGGTCCCCCGACGAGAAGACTACTACCACTTATTGAAAGATCTTTAATTCCATCCTAGCCATAACCGAACAAAAGAATGGAAATTCCAAGTAAAGGCCTGCGTGGCCATTTGATTATTCTATGCTCGCTGTGTACCCAAAATCCAGATCCCCTAGCCCGTAAGGTACGTAAAGAAAGACGAAAACCAAAAGAATGAAAATAAAGCCATGATCCATGCAACCAAGCCTGAGCATGCCACAAAATCCAGAAAACCACAGAGAAGGTAACCTTGAATAAGCCATCCCGACAGAAAAACAGTAATGATTGGGAGGTGGGAGTGGTTGGTTGGGGTCGATCCCACTTTGCAAGCAAGGCATCCTATCCACGCCGATGAAAAGAAGAACAGCAAATGAAAAAAAAAAAAAAAAAAAAAACAGCAAATAGGACATTCACGACCGGCATAAAACAGCTTAGACTAGAGCCCAAGGAGTATGCCGGGTGGTGCTCATCATCCATGAGGGAGTATTGGTGTAGGAGGAGGCAGCATTGTAAGACTCACTGCGACCATTTCGAGACTCGCACGTGTATCAATCAAAACTTCCTCTCTCCGCTTCTCCACTGTCGCGAATGGAAAGATTGATGATCAGTTTATGGAACGCCGGAATTACATCACCGTGCATTTGTTGTTCCCGGCGGGTTGTGATGGGTTTTGAGACTTCTCGATCTCTCCGATGATAAGATCGAATGCTTTGGCGACATTGAAGTCAAGGAAAGCACTAGCCTCGGTGAAACCACAGTTGAATTCTTCTGCCAATTGCCGGCCCTCATCGAGAGTCACCTGTCGTTGGTCCCCCTTCAGATCGCTCTTGTTTCCCACCACGACTAATGGTACCTGGTCGGCGCCCTGGCAGAAAGAAAAGCATTAGCAAAGGCGTAGATTTAGTGAGCATTCGGCAGAGGCGCAGGAGGTATTACCAGGTGATTCAGGATCTTATCTCGAATAACCCTCACCATCTCGAAGGACTGGCGTGACGTGACCGAGTACACAATGATATATCCATGAATGCCGATGAAATGTTTCGAATTTAAGATACTATACTCGTCCTGTAATAAGAAAAGGGGAAGTAGTCAGCAAGTTGTGCATAGAGGCGACGTCAAAGGATTTACCTACCTGTCCTGCGGTATCTACAATCTCGGTTGCATAGTCCTGGCCGTTGTGCTTGATAATCCGACTGAAAGTATTCTCGATTGTGGGGTAGTAGCTCTCCACGAAATGTTGTTCAACAAAGCGAACCGTGAGAGAAGACTTGCCTGATAGTCAAGACGGACACGTTAGACAACGACGAGACGAAGATGGCTTCCAAATTCCGGACGATGGAGAGACTACATACCCACGGAGCGGCTGCCGACGATCGCGATCTTTCTTTGCTTAGGAGCGGCGGGCATCTTGAGAGAAGGGCAGCGGAGTATGCTGCACCGGGACGGGGGGTGGGGGAAAGAATTGAGTAGGGTGAGAAGGAACAATTGAAGATGGCTGGTCAAGTAGAATTGGAGAATGAGTGCTTGATGAGAAAGGAGGAGTTGTGGTCACTGCGGTCGCGGGTGGCAAAGTTCCATGAAGCACATGGAGCTCCTACTGCAAACGCTGCAAACAGCTGATTAGATATCTCACACCATCTCCAGCAACCCCGGACTATATATATGGGTAAAGAAAAATGAAGTAGCTGAAACGGATAAAACTTGTGATATAACCCCCACATCTGACCGTCATCACTACTGGAGGAACTAGGTGGAAATTATACTGGAGGAACAAGAGCATCGTTGGCTCATCTCGCAAAGGGTATCATTCATATAATGCCTATTATGTTCCATGCCGCCAGCCGGATTCCTGCCTGGCCTGGTAAACCCAACACCAAAACCCAAAACGCTGACCAGCCCATCTATGTACATCAGACCCAGGCCGGACGTATCAAATATCGCCCAGTCTCTCTCCTAATCAATGCGTTGAATTTCATTGATAAGGTCTTGAAGCCGTACCAAGAACCCACTGGCCTCCTTATTGGCTTGGGCAGGGTGTAGCTCTTGTTCAATCTTTTGGTGGTACTGCAAGAATTCATTCACAGTGGACATGATGATTGTTAATCCATTGGGACGAAGGGACTCCTTAATTCGCATGCGGGCGCCTGTGTGTAGGCAAAGTGCTAGGAGAAGAACAGCCAAGTACCCCACAGCGACATTGTGATGTACCTCCAAAACCGAATGAGCCTGGAAGATAATTGATTAGCTATTGTGTCGAGTCAGTAAGAGAGTCGAACGAGGTCATACCTGAGAGGTCGAATCAACTCGAGCCAAGAAGAGTTGTAAGAGTTGATCAAGAATGGATACTGCACCACTACCAGAAGTGAGGAACATCGTGCGCGATGCCTCCCTCTGTTCGACCAGATTGATTAGAGCCCCCAGAGCTAGAATCACGGTATCGAGAGAATTGTTCTCGTGGGTAAGGGTGTCCTCGGTTAGTTCGCCAAATCTGGCTATCGCAATCATGGCTAGCTCGTCAATCATGGCTGCTGTTGCAAACTTGTCACAAAGCGTTGGGTTGCTATTGGTGGTATTCAAGACCACGCGAAGATAGAGTGTCTGCACCTGCTGGCGTATCGAACTGGCTTCTTTATCCAGTCGAAGCAAGCTGTGCATGCCAGAGAGAATACCAAAGGCATCACGCTGATCCTCTTGAGCAGAATCTCCGGACGTGATCTGAACCTCGAGAATGGATAAACCCAATATCAATACATGTAAACTCTCCGCATCATCCGTCGGCTTCTCTTGAAGATGTGAGCTTTCGGACACAAGAATTTTTACAAGTTGACTCAGCACAGGAGCAGGCAGATCATCAGGTATTTCACCCTTGGCCTGGAATGCTGAGATGGTCACCCTCAAACAGTGCAGTGCCAAGACACATGGAGAGAGCCTCAGTGCGGATGCATCGGCAAACAAGGCTGTGTGGATTTGGGGTGCGATATTTTGCACCGATCTTTGGGCAGCCTTGGACAAATTGCTGCCTCGAGCGCGGACTACCGCACATAGGTCATCCTGAATTCCCAGAAGAGGGGGCAGTATGTGAATCAGCTTTGGCCATGCCGCAGCTGCAAAAACATAAGGCAAAGATCGACCTAGTGAAGCTAATCCAAACACGCACAGAGCTAGTGAAGCAGAGACCGTGTCGAGGTTCCTAGAGAGGCAATCGACGAGCCTTCTGTCAAAGTTGCACTCGACAAATTGACGTGCTTGTTTCGAATCGAGCAGCTTGTCACAGATCTGAACGAAAGAATTGCATCGACCAGATATGGACACGTGGGGGTCTTCAATGTCTTCAAAGATCGACTCAACTGCACCCCGGTAACGGGCATTCCCTCCAGCTCGACGAAGCTCATGGATACTTCTAATAGACCCGTCATCATTGTTCACTTCCTCAATCTCGAAAAGACGGGTGCGGGGGAGGTCGTCAAATCTCCGGGATTGAGACGTCGACAGACCATCTTGCTCAAAAGCAGCTGCCATGTTGTGCCCAGTTAAGTCATCTGTCAGGCAAAGGTCGTCCAGAAACGAACGTTGGCGAGCATATGTGACTCGAGTGCCGGTTAGATGTGGTGAAACCGCGACGGTTGATTCCTGGGTTGAATCTGTAGCCTGACTGTCCACGCGCGTGCTTTGTGGAGGTAATGCCTTTGGTCGGCTAGGGCTGTGGGGTGTAAAAGGAGAGGGTGGCTGGCTAACAGCTGCATTGCTAGGTGACGCATCCACCAATTGTCCTCGTGTACCCAGTGAATCAATTAGCCTCCTTCGTGTGGGTGTCGTATTTCCACCTCGAGTGCTTGCTTGCGTTTGAAAGCTCGGAGATCCCGGCTGCTCCATTATTGGACTAGGTACTATGCTTCCATATGAGGCTTGCTTGGCCTTCGAATGACTCGATTGTCCCCTCGTGTCGAGAGGGGGGAGCGAAGTCGGTTCAGTCCTTTGAAACGCACTCACTGGCAAGTCTCCGGCGGGCTTTCTCGAGTTTTTAGCTGATGTCTTGTCACTCTGTTGTGGCTGGGCACCTCGCCGGCCTGACACGTGTCGTGTTGCGCGAGGCGAATCGACCTTGAGAGGGGGAATCGTGGGGTTCAATTTGATCGAATGATCTTGAGATCCACCTTTTGCTTCAGAATCAGGTGGAGTTCTCACGGCGAGAGAATTGCGGAAATAAGAGGCACCCCCGTTCGTGTCAACACCATACCGCCGGCGCTTACGCCGCGCAGCTAGGTCCAGATCCTCTTCATCGGATGATGGAAGGTCATAAATGCTATCCTGTTCGGCTGGGCGCAGCGCCCCCGAGACCTTGGTCGCTTGCACCGTCTCTGAAGGTCTTGCTTGTTTGTTCCGATGCTCGCTTGCAGACTTTTGGTTCGTTGTTGAATGCGATGCGCGCATCTTCCCGGCGGGGTCCAATGATTCCTTAGCTGCCGACGCAGTTATTGTACGGGGTTGATTTCTCGTGGAAGAGCCATAAGTCACAAGACGTCGACTCTGCGAGCGTGTATGCTCCATATTTGCGGTCTAGAGGCGGTTGTAACGCTTCGCAATCATTCGAAGATGGAAGGGATGCGGGAACGGCGAGCACGGCGTTCACGGCGTTCACCGTAATGAGGAGGTCAAAGTCGGATTCCTTAGTGAGATCCCTCAGGATAGGTCCGCGCCGAGGACACAGTCATTCTGAGAAGTGGATGTAGTCTTGAGCGAGGGCAGGCAGGTGACGGCCGGTCAGCGCTCCAGACAGGCGAGTAGCTGCGAACGGCCCAACCTAATTATGAATACCAGCAGTCGGATGAGGTGGCGGGTTGAGAATGGCTTGCGGGTAATCGCGTAAAGGATGTAATGATCGCGCCAGGGTTTGTGAGATTGTGTACTGTGCTGGAGATGGTGGAGATGGTAAAGGACTGAAAGAGGTTGCAAGGGCTTATTCAGCGGAGAACGGATGATGCAACGGAAAGAGGAGGTTGGACGGCGCACGATAAGGTCTAAGCTCCCCGAAGACAAGTGCGGAGGACCAGCCAAGCCTCCTCTGCAGGACGATATGAGATAAGAGAAAAAGTCCGTCCCCGCTTCCTCCGCTCGTCTTTCTCCTCGCGTGCTCCTCATATGGGCGAGGTTCCCCTCCTTGGCTAACATCGTGCTCCTGTGTACTTTGCCCCATTATTTCAACCACTCTTCGATCCGTTCGCTTTCCTTTTCTCCCCCTCTTTCCCAATGGCGAGCAAAGAACCCGTTCCGTCTCCTGCCCAGGGAGTTGGTCCCATCTACCGTCCGGATGGCGAGAAACCCACGGCCACAGTCTCTAAGGAAGTATCCTACGAGAATGTCCATGTGCTTGCGCAGACCCCTCAACTGATTGCGCTCTTAACGTAAGATCCTCTCCTGCTTACTGCGTGACCAAAATCACTAACTAGCCAACGCACCCACAGGATGATCAGGGATAAGCGGACAGCACGTGCCGACTTTATCTTCTATTCCAATCGAATTATTCGACTTTTGGTAGAGGAAGGACTGAATCATCTTCCCGTGGTCGAGCAGTCTGTCACGACTCCAGTTGGCCGAGCTTACCTGGGTGTCAAGTTCGAAGGAAAGATTTGCGGTGTCTCGATCATGAGAGCGGGAGAAGCTATGGAGCAAGGCCTGAGGGACTGTTGCCGGTCTGTCCGCATTGGAAAGATCCTGATTCAACGAGACGAGGAGACTTGCATGCCCAAGCTTTTCTACGAGAAGCTTCCTGCTGATATTGCTGATCGCTGGGTTCTTCTCCTAGACCCCATGTTCGCGACCGGTACGTACAACCCGCCGAGTTTTAACGTAAGACTTTACTCACACCGCTTTGCAGGAGGCTCGGCAACATTGGCCGTAGAGGTATTGAAGCAAAAGGGAGTTCCTGAGCACCGAATCTTGTTCCTGAATTTGATCGCAAGCCCCTCGGGCGTTGCGGAATTCGCGGAAAGATTCCCTAAACTCCGCGTGGTCACTTCATTCATTGACCAGGGGCTTGATGACAAGAAGTATGAATCCCGTCTTTTATGGTAGCTGTGATGATAACTGACCCGGTCAATAGGTATATCATCCCAGGCCTGGGAGACTTCGGTGATAGATATTACACCCTGTAGGCTTCACTGACGTCACCTTGCCAAAGTCAGTGCAGAGTCGCAAAGACTCCGTTCGGTCTCTAGCCGTTTTGGCATATTCTGAGGGCCGTTCAGAGACGGGAAGAAGGTCATATCTATAGTAACCCTCATTATGAAGTTTCTTGCCCCATTAACGGATATGGAAGACGCCGAATCTAAGTTTGCTTGTTTCATGAAGCGGCATCTTCAATGAAGGGGAACACCCTAGAGCACACACAACGAGGGATCCCAGTGTAATAAACGAGGATTCATTTTGTTTTGGAGTGTTCTGCCGTAGTTGGATATGGAAGAAGAGAAAAAGCTTATCAAATTGATACCATGCATATACGCCGTTCGCCCCTTTCCGCCGTAACCTAATCAATAGTCATCGTCGTCCTCATAGGCATCTCCATGTCCAGCATTGGCTAGAGCATCCGATTTGCTATTGCCTATCGATCCCACGGCCCCGTCATACTGGTTGGCAGTGTCCTTGGCCACGGCGTCGCAGGCATCCACCCAGTCGGAGTACACGTCCACGGCGGCAGATAAATCTGATGGAATTGCCAGCATTAATGAGAAGGTGCCCAATAATTTAGGACAAAGCCGACTCACAGTTGATTCCGGTCTGAAACTTCTGACCGCAGACCTTGCAAGAAAGGTCACCCAAGCCCAACTTCTTATCGAGTTTGACGACGACCGAATTCTCGTGGTTGCAGAAGAGGCAAGCGAAGGTGGTTGCGAGGGGTTCCCGCTATCGTCAATGGATTAGTTTCCATGATCACCGGGAAAGACATGCTTAGAGATTGATCTCCCACCTTTCGGGGCCCTTGGGGCGTTCTGCTTGACTTCTTGCGCTTTCCCTGTTGAGCAAATTGGACATTAGCACCTGCTCGGGAGATCTGAGCTGAGGAGGCGTGAAGTTCGAGTGGTGATAATCCAAGCAGCAAATAGCAATAAGCTACAGCCAGACATATCAAGACGTACCATACTCGTGGCGGGACACTTGAGAGCGGGGAATCGAAAAGATCAGGGTCGCAAAAAGGATGGTCTCGTCCGCGGAGAGAGCCTTGCAGTGAGGGGGTGGCTCGTGCGGAGATTGGGAAGGCGGAAGAACGGGTCTTCCGTGCTGCCCCATGAACAGCAGTAGCAGTATTACATACTAGTCCATGGCAAATAATTGTAGTAAAAATCGACTGTTGCTGGCAATAGCAGCATTATTCGGACAATAGAGGAGAGTAATACCGACAACATCATATGGAATATTTATATATTGACTTGAATAAATGTCAACCCCTCGTTTCCTTCTCCAGATTGAGTCATGGGCATGCTTTCATGACGGAGAACTTGCAATTACTGTTGATTTTATTTGGGGATACTTCATTCTCGAACGGGGAATGTATAATTTATCCTTTTTGAATGGCGATTTTCCCCTGTTGATCTAAAATAATTATTCGCGATTTATTAGCAGCCTACTACAGTCAATCCTTATCCTTGACTATGTACTACTTACTACAGGAGTAACTAGTAGAACCTCAAGTCAACTGGGCAAGACCTTCCGCTGATTAAAGCACGTGACTATGAGACCTGCATTGCGAGTGGGTTATGTAATCAGTACAACCCGCTGGCGGTGGAACCTCAGGGCTGGAAAGGGCCCAGTGTGTATCACGTGGCCTGATTTTATGTCAGCAGTAGGGCCCGCGTTGGCTCGCTTAGCCGAGTTTTCTGTGGGTTTTTGGTTTTCCAACCCTCCCGTCGACTAAGGTAGCGTGAATCTCGAAACCCTCCGAGCGCCGTGGTGCGATACCCTTCGTCTGTCTTTTTTACAACACTCAGATAGACCCGACTCGCAAACATGGCTGTTGGAAAGTATGCGCATTCTTCCTCATTGCTCATTGGCACCGTTTCTCTTCACCTTGGACCTGGATATTCTTTCCAAATTCCCTTCGCTTCCAGTGGGATCATCTACATCGAACGCATGGGCTAACCCGTCTCGCCTTCCAGGAACAAGCGCCTGTCAAAGGGCAAGAAGGGTATCAAGAAGAGAACCGTCGACCCCTTCACCCGTAAGGACGAGTACTCCGTCAAGGTTGGTCCAGTCCATCAACGACTTCCATTCGAGTGACACCGCTGATTTATTGTCTCCTTCATCAGGCCCCCTCGACCTTCCAGACCCGCGAGTAGGATCTCCCTGCCATCTCCTCCACCCTCCCTTCATTCTGAGTCGATTTTCGCTTCGGTTTGGAATCTGGTTTACTAACTGATATTTTTACTGAAGTGTCGGCAAGACTCTCGTCAACCGTACCAGCGGTCTGAAGAACGCCAACGACTCTCTGAAGGGCCGTATCTTCGAGGTCTCCCTCGCCGACCTCCAGAACGATGAGGACCACTCCTTCCGCAAGGTTAAGCTCCGCGTCGACGAGATCCAGGGCAAGAACTGCCTGACCAACTTCCACGGTCTGGACTTCACCACCGACAAGCTGCGCTCCCTGGTCCGCAAGTGGCAGTCTTTGATCGAGGCCAACATCACCGTGAAGACCACTGACGACTACCTCCTCCGCCTGTTCGCCATTGCCTTCACCAAGAGACGCCCCAACCAGATCAAGAAGACCACCTACGCCCGCTCGTCTCAAATTCGCGCCATCCGCAAGAAGATGACCGAGATCATTCAGCGTGAGGCCGCCAGCTGCACTCTGTCGCAGCTCACCCACAAGCTCATCCCCGAGGTTATTGGCCGTGAGATTGAGAAGTCCACCCAGGGCATCTACCCCCTCCAGAACGTAAGTCGCTCGTCTCGGACTGTTTCGCCCACGGCATAGGTGTTCTTTGTCTCTTGTTTCATTGTCTAATCCTGTAAATCTGTACAGGTCCACATCCGCAAGGTCAAGCTCCTCAAGTCCCCCAAGTTCGACCTGGGTGCTCTGCTTGCCCTCCACGGCGAGTCTGCTACTGATGACAAGGGCCAGAAGGTTGAGCGGGAGTTCAAGGAGCAGATCCTCGAGACTGTTTAAGGGTGTTTTGATTTTGAAGGGGTGTCAAATACTGGTCAACCATGGCAATTGTTGTCTTCTGATCATAGGAAACAAAAAAAGTTCATGACATGTATGACAGATTTTGCATCACCCGCACGGGGGTTCGGTTGTCCCGGTAGGTGACCAGTCAAACCAGGACAGCCAAAAATTCAAATTAGTTTGCAACGATTCGACTCTTTTCTTATGTATTCTGCATTGAAACTCACGTAGTCAAGTCTCGAGACCTCTTTCTTTTAAGCGACAACCGGTGTGGTTTCGTTCCCGTGCTTCTCTTTGAGGATGACATTGGTCAAACTTCAAGGCCGGCAATGTCTTGAGCCCCCGATTACGCTTGAGCTTCCTGATAGTCTTGTTTCTTTCCTTCTCCCCCACATCGGCCGCGTAGCTTATTCATAAGTGGTTTAGCCTGGCTTGAATCAAAGCTCCGGCTTGAGCCAATAACGTATGGGCTGATTATCAAGTTTAGGACGGAAGCACTCTTGCTGCTTTCATTGTATTTCAAATCCCACCAATACTGGGAGACTGTAAAAGCTTCCTAGAGCATGCCCAACTCCAGTAAGGATCTACTCTGCCTACAAAGTTGGTCACGGTACGGATGGTGACCGATGCCCAATAGAAAAAATTAAGTAATAGGCTAAGTCTATCTCTGAAGTTTCGGTTAACGGAAATTTAGATGTAACGCCGTTTCTGCCATGACGGTTTATGCGTGAGATAAACTCTAAAGCCAAGTTTCATGCACCCTATAGAGATCTCTGTTCCTTTCTTCTTCCCTTATGTACTTACTTTCACCGTCGGAATACTATTACTGTGCTACCTTTCTGTGCCAATATCTGTACTAGGCTACAATAATTACTAGTATCAATGGTGAAGAGGATCGGACAGTTATATGGTACCATCATCTTCACCGATATATCTTGTTTTAAATCTCATCGTTAAACCTACTGATAAGCTCGCCTCGAAACCATGCTGGAACCGGTTTGCTAGACTCCCATTCAAGTATGGCTCGACCAGATGATTTTTCATATTTCCGCAAAATCTTAGATAGATCTAACCCTAAGTAGATATATAACTAGCGGTGTTAGATTATGTGACCCTAATAACTATACGGACTACTACTATATATGCTAGTAGCCTAATATTGAATGGAATGTATAGCACGTAGTACAGAGCAGGATTCAAGTTTTAATATACTTAATCGGGGTTAGTGACTGTAATTGGACTCCACCCTTTAAAGCTTGGCACTACACTCGCATGTTACTATTCGAACCTTCTACCACTCTTTCCCTCCTGAGTCCTGCCTAGTGTCGAGAGTAAACACGAGGTGATAAATTTTGTTAAGAGAAAGGTACATTACATGCAAATTAGGAATAAGATACCCATTATATCGAGTAGTAGATCAACGACGGCGTTTGGCGCCGCGGTGAGTTTACTACGGGACTAGATGGAACAGAAGAAGAGGGCTGAGCAATGGAAGGAGGACGAAAATCCACCTGTAGAAGAATGGAGTCAGAGCTAAGACTCTGCAGAGAGTCAGTCAGATGAAGCCTGCGAGCGCAGACGGTCTCATTCCTCGTCGTCGCTCTCGTCGCAGTCCATTCCTGGGCTCTCGTCGCAGTCCATTTCTGGCCCTGAAGCATTGTCCTTCAAGACCACCGGTGTTCCGGCTTCGGACTCGAATACCGGCGCTGGAGATTCAACGTGAAATTGCGCCATCTGCTTTCGGGAGTTCGTGGCAAGCCTGATAAGTAGACAGCGATCTGCTGTCTTAGGGGGGAAGGCAGGGACATATTGTACATAGGCGCTGGAAAGCTATGGATCGTGAACAGAAGGATCTTGCAGTGGCAGACCATACATACCTATGCATATGGATAGCAGACCGGAGTCGAGGTGTTTTTTCTACACAGGTCACCTACTTCTAGCTATCCGTCGTGCCCGTATGATAGATGCCAGGCTTGGAGCTACGGTGTAGCTTAGCAAAGAGCCTCGTGAAGAAATACTACCCTTCATAGAAGCCTAAAGATGTATCTGCACTGTCCTCCAAGAAACCCGTTCATATCATGCCGGCTCTCTCATTGTTAGAGATACGGCCGATCCGCTCAGTCGCACTGAAGCGGTATATAATGCGCGGACGTCGTCCCAATGCGCCCCGGGCCCTCAAGTAGCGTCAGATTTGATCTGAGTGTGAATGTGGGTAACATGTGTCATGATCTTGAAGATAAGGGTGACTGAAGTGAGGATGGAGTGACCTGGGATGTCCACTCATTGATACGCAAGGCTGTCCTTGGAGAGAGACACGAGCGAGGCGTATATCTGGTCTCCTATTACTTATTGCCTTTCGACTTTGCATTGATTACGGCTCAATGGAAGAGTACTTTGAGTAGGAAGATGGGAACTTTGCGAGGGCAGACTCTCGCCTAAGTAGAACATTAATGACATGGAAGAAACGAATGACAGTGCACGAAAATGATCTCAGAACTCATCGCAGCAAGAAAGGTCGAGTGGAAGCGGCGGAGATAGTGGGCCTTCCAGGAAAGCACCCAGGGACAAGAACTGGCAGGGGATTGATGAGAAGAAGCTAGGCTGGTGGGCATGCCGTGATTTTGATATCAGCAAGCGAGTGGCCAGCAAGCGAGGATCATTCGATGGCTGTGAACAGCAGAGGAGAGGAGAGGAAAGAAAAGTAAAGACTGAAGCCAGATAGGAGATGGCGAGGAGAGGGTGGATGAGGAGGTGATCGGTTAGTCCGCGCTCCATCAATACTGAATGCGCGCCTTCCTAAAGTGGACAACATGACACGCAAGTCACAGGGCACGGCCCTATAAAGTCATGGCCTCTGTCAACCATCTTGCTTTTCCTCCCAACTCATACTCCTCCCATACGTCTTGCTCCCACCAGGCGTCGACCGACCTTAGCTTCACAAAGTGCCTGTAAGCCTTCCTACTGTGTCACAGCTCTAGAGGTTACTGACGATGCAGTCCACAGGAATCGAGCGCCCTTTTTCCCCTCCCTTGTCCCCTGCCCTTTCTCGTCCCTGGGTGCTTTCCTAGAATTCTTTTCGATGGTCTTTTCGATGGTCTTTTTAATGGTCTTTTCAATGGTCTTCAGTCGTTTTCTTCTTACCTTCGCCTCTTTTCTGCTTCGTGGCGCTCCTTTCGCTTCTTTCTTTTCTTTTCACATTTTGTGCGGATCTCTTCTTCGAGGATGGGAGTTTTAAGAGGAGGAGAGATTGTAAATGATAAGAGACCTTACTTTTCCCCCGGTCTTCCCCCACCTTAGCCTTCACGCAATGAAGGTTGACACTACCACCGAAATGGTCAAAATGGCGGCCCCGCCTTTCGATAAGCCACTTGGTCACGACTGCCCTCCCGAATCATGGATCAAGGCGATCACCTGGAGGCCATGCCAACTGACTGTTGGCGACAGGCTCTTCTCGGGCAAATATCACGTTGTGCTCGAATCCCAGCAACCCCGAATGGCCTTCAAACTCCACAACAAAGCCCGAGGCCAAGTGGTATTCACGGCCAAGAACTGCTCTATCGAGACCGGCTTTGAGCAAGATACGCCGGACCTTGTCAATCAGCATCGTGGCCAATTTGAACTGAAAGGCGGCCTGCTCTCGTTCATCAAGATTCGGCCCTCCGTCCCACCAGCAATGCCCTCCAAAGCAACGGGTGAGTTTGGCGATCAAGCTGAGCGCGAGATTTGGCAGGCCCTCAATTCTCTTCATTGGCGAGACTCTGAGACAGTCATCTGGGTATCTTATGAACAGAAGAGTATGCGAAACTGCCAAAGCGTCTTTGATGGCCCGACTTCTCGAGTGCGGCTACCCGTCTACATTGCTCAGTGTCAACTATCGGAATCACCCGCAAATCCTCGAGCTTTTCAACAGTACTATCTACAAGGGCACATTGCGACCCGGTCCAAGTAACAGCGAGCCCGAGCGCGTGAGGGACACGTGGGACGATTTCACGAGCAAGCGCCACCATTTCCACGGTCAATTCTTAGCTGGTGTTCGGCGCTTGTTCATCAGTGTCATTGGAAATGCCACGAGGGAGGAGCATGGCACGTCGTTCGAGAACGTATTGCAAGCAGCGGTCATTCAGGATCTCTTGGCTGAACTATACTCCTTTACCACCGCCGGGGATCAGAGTATCAGGGCTGGAGATGTGATGATCATCAGCCCGTACAAAGTTCAACGCCGGCTTATTTCACGCACCCTAGGTGAAAGTGGCCTGGAAGCCCGCAACAATCTAACATTCGACGCTGCTCAAGGGCAAGAGGCACCCATTGTCCTGCTTTCCTTGGCAAAGCCCGGGGAGGTAGCGACCAGTCTGGGCTTCATGGCAAATAAAGAAAGACTGAACGTCGCGTTGAGCCGGGCCCAAAAGGTCTTGATTGCGGTTGGCAATTTGTCAGTATGGGGTGAAGGATTTGTCAAGTCTCTCGCAGCCAAGAACAATTCAGGAAAGGTGCTTCGAGAGCTTCTGATGGACGTCAAGCAAAGAACCACGTCCTCACATGGGTTGATAAGCGTATGGTGACTGAAGTAGATCCAGAGCCCAGCTATGTCTAATACAGCCCAATTCGACCTACCATACCTGCTAATCAACCTCGCCACACAAATCCAATCTCGAACCAGGATGCCATGGAGATTGACGCCCCCGATGAAGGGCCACCTGCCATCCGGCATGCTTCCCAGGGAGGCCTACTTCCGCCTGTTTCGCTGCCTTTGCGCCCCCCTCCCCCTATGGCGGAGCAAATGAGGATGGAAGACCTTCAAGTCCTCGAATCAAGGAGGCAAAGGTCTCTGGAAGAGTCCCGCGTCTTCCAGAAACAAGCTGCGCTTTCCCAGACACAAGCGCAGTGGTACGATAGGCAGATACAGGAGTTTCAACGTAGGCGAGGTGGAAGAGACGAGCGTTCTCGAAGCCCCATGCGACGAATGGCTTCAGTCATGTAGTGGTCTTTATGTGCAACAGTTAGGATGCAACAATTAGGATACTTATGTTACAATGTCCTTGGTCAAGTCTTTCACTGGTCCCTTTCCCTTTCTTAGTTATGGCCCTCCTAGGCATATGCTATCAACGCCCGTCGCCCACTCTCGTAGGAGACATTCTTGTTAGCTACGGTACTGGGTCGCGAAGTATATTCTTCTTTTCTCTCGCTCAATAGGTCGTTTTGCCCTCTCTCTTCCCTTTTCTTTTTCTCTCTCTCTTTCTCTTCCTTTGCAAGCTTCTTTTCCGTCTCCTATCCTCCTTTTAATCACTCTTCTAGATTCTATCTTATGCTCTTCTATCTACTTGAAGTAGTAAAAATTCGCGTATTATACAACATGATAGAGACCTACAAGAGTATATCTACATGCTTGATGCCACCCAAGATTCTATTCGCCGGGGCAGGGCTGAGGCTACTTTGACACTACCTAACTCTACCCGCCGACTATTCCGCCCGCTCTGCGCCAGCAAGCTTTAGGCCTACCCGTAATTAGATACCTGAGTGTGGGAAGAAAGAACCGGCACAGCCGATATCGTCATTGATTGGTATTACTTGATACTGCTAAGCACATCAAGTCTCTAGTCAGGAAATAAGAAATCGCTACCTCTCGGCGATTACATCGTTCTATTCTGATAATAGAGATGAGGATGACCTTAAGATCTAGAAACAACCAAGACAAATTTAGCATAGGACTAGCTAGGGGATCGCTGTAAGTCTGACTAAAGATGATCTATATCCTCAAACCTCCTCCTTTTCATCTTCTTCTGCTTGTGATCCATTACCGTCTCCGAGGGAATATCGCCTCCCTCTCAATTACTCACATCTTGGACAAGCAGCCAGTCATCATCTGTGAGCTCCGTATCTGGGTCATCACCGGTTGGCAGATCCAAGATTACCGCAGTGTATTCCTTCATGCTTGCCACTGGAATGGGACATGCCCATTTTGTAAGCAAATCCATCATGCTATAAAGCTTGCTCTTGATGCTATCAGTTTATCGTAAGTCCATAGGCTCTACTTTGATACATTCCTTGAAATCTAAAATACGGGTGAACTGAATATGGAGTTGCCCATCAAAATATCCAACCAGGACTCGAGAGTGCCCGTATTTGTCGAAGATGACAAGCAGTGTCTGCGCCAGGTATGAGTGCTATGATGCATCAACAATCTTCATCTGACCAAGTGGCTGGCTTACCGGAAATATATCTTCTCGACCGGGTCGTTTCTCCCGGACTGACAGGTTCTCTTGCCACATGAAATCCAACATAGTAGATGTCAGGGCTACGACTTCATCTCTTGAGGGGCGCGAATTATCGCCACATATACCAACATCAGCCATGGCCCATATGTAAGTCTGTTTGTCTTGTGCTTCGAGCTTTTTTGGCCACGAAAAACGTAGACTATGGTGTATCTCAAAGCTTTGAATTTTTCCTCAGTACATCCGTCGTCGCGAGCGTTATGCACCCTGTCAAAGGCTTCGCTCAAGAAGATTAAAGTCAGAAGGATATCACCCATCTGCGCACAAACGTGGAAACTTACTCATCGTGAATCCAGCCGTACCAATTGAGTGGCCCGCCCTCGCAATTGAAATCTCTAAATTCATCTTCGAGGTCCCTGCTTCCCTCGAACGGAACGATGTCGAAGGTGAGCGACAGGCAGGGGGGGAAATTAACAAGGCTACGGGCACGAATGCTTTCAGCTCTCCTCCAACCGAATATGTGCTGCTTTGCACATGCAAAAATATCAGGGTAGTCACCATTTGCCATTCCTGCCATCCCTGCCATCCCCATCCACACTGAGGGAAAATCGGTCCTTGGAAGAACGCAAGGCATAGACGATGGTGAAACGTCGCCAGTCTTGATATCTAGATGATGAAACTGGATTCGAAGGCGTGACAATTCTCCATCAGAGATGACTCGTTTATAGTCAGGTGAGTACAAAGACAAAGATTCCGGGTCCGAGGAAACAGGACGTAAGGCTCGGAGAATAGCCAAAATCTCATCTTCGGAAAGCTCCGGACGTTCCTGATTGGAACAATAATCCAGGTCATATGCGGTTTTCAGGTTAAGAAATTGATCAAGGTCATATGAAGCGGTGTCCATATTGACGAGAAGCCTCAGGTTGTGTGAGAGCGTAGTAGAAGGACACAAAGAATGGGTGACGGGGATGTTGGGTAAGTGGAAGAATACTAATCAGCGTGAAGGCATTGCTTGAAAATTATAACCCAACGAAGACGAAATCTAATCTAGATTCCACGTCAGAATGGGCTACTAATCCCAATTCAAACATTCATGCTGCCAAATTCGGTATGGTAGGTTGTACACCTAAAAATCCAGGGATCCATGGTCCGGTACCAACCTCAACCCCTGACTAATGTAGGAATTCAATAACATCATTTAACTGAATAATCCTCCTGTAGTTGTATGTTCCGTATTGATGACCTTCAGCGTAATTGAGTGCTACGTCGCGTGGAAACGTGTAGCGCTGTCATGGAAATGCGATATTATTTGGTATCCGAACTGCGAAAACAGATGCGATGATCAAAAAGCTGCGGTGTCGAATTCAGAAGATTGCACTGTTATCTTCAAGCAAGATATCCTACTAGCATAGTATCTTAGACCGCCGTATCCTATTCCTGGGGGTGCCAACATGGCTGATGAACCTCGCTATCAAATAGTATATGGGGAAGTAGTCAAGCAAGAAAAGCGCGCTGGTATTACGCAAGACCTACATTACCAGCCTTGAAATAGTGAGCAGTCAATTTCTATTATGACTGAACAGCGAGTTGAAGCGTCGGAGGGAGAGCAATTAGCGCTATGAATCAAAAAGCCCTATTTGATCATACATGCGTCAACACAGTAACAAGAAGACACCTAAGCGATAAGCGATAGCAGTGAAAAAATAATGCCAATATAGCAAGCAGAGCACAACTGCGAAAGCAAGTTCAGTCTATGCAGGTGTAAGCGATTTAGCCAGTTCAGATCAGCTCAGATCAAGTCATCGTCAGCCTGGTACGTGATAGGCGCGAAATCGCAATATAGGAAATGACTCGTCAATTGTGTCCCACAAAGAAAGGGGAAATGTATAGAATAAGCGAAAGCTGAAGAAGAAGCAAAGCAAGGGGAGAAAAAGGTAACTTCAGGAGCGGCTTAAGGCCAGTTTGGGACACTGAGTATGGCTGTGAATTGGCATGTGTCTGATGGAGGACGTTCGAGGAATGAAGGATGGTATTAAGCAATATAACTGTAGGCCTAATCAGATATGATAGCATGATGCGAAAATCAAAAATTAAAGATAGAAGCAGAGGTTTAAGTCTATAGAAGGGCGATGTTATGTTGTGTTATATTATTCTTTTATATCCAACGGGAGAGAGGGCGGAGCCCTTCTATCTACCCGTATCTCCCTAAGGGTATTTAGATATGCTAAGCTAGTGGTATATATATATCCCCTTCCTAGAAAGCAAGATCTAGCCGAAGCTTAGCTATTAAGTAGCCGGTTTCTTCTCCCAGAGCCCTAACCTATAGGCTCCTAGTAGTCTTCTAACGTATTGGATAAGCGAGCCGGCCACCCGACCGAGCCGGTCATCCACCCCCATTAGAAAATATCAAAATCGAATATCTCTACCAAAACACATTCAATTTTCTAATACTAAAGATTAATACACCGATTGATTTTGTGGCCAATCCACGCTTATCTATAGAGAAGATCCATTTAATAAGCGAATCCTCTTCTAATTAAGTAAGCTTCCGCCTATTAAGTGGTTTATCAACGCGTGATAGCCGGCCACTAGCGCGGTCCTACAGAATAGAGCGAGGTATATCGTATAGCTTAGCTACCGCGCGAATAGATTAGATACGGCCTTCTTATAAATTAGATAGGGCTAATAAGATCTTACCCTCTTAATTAGCTAATTTCTATCGAGATTTCGAGCGAATTAGTGGTATAGTAGGTTATTAAAGTTAGTATATAGGAAGGAAGACGCGATTTTAGGTAGGGTGGCTAGCTCGCTATGAAATACGTTATTATTAGGGCTTACCTAATCCGTTTCCGCCGGCGGTTTATAGCGCTTTAAAATTATCTTATATCTCGCTAGTTAGTAAGTTATATTTATTAGTTTTATTAGATCGCTCTTCTAAGGTTAATAATATATATCCGTTAAGGGAGGGGACTAGGGATTATTAGTCCCTAATAGGGTTATAGGAAAGGGGAAAGTACGAGAGAATAAAAGAGAGATATTATAGTAAGTAAGAAAATAAATATCTCTTAGCAAAATCGATTTCTTAGTCTATCTTAAGATCTAGGGCTTATAAAGCCTTATAGATACGTTCAAAAATCATCTAACCTCACGCGCTATCGACCGATACCGGTTTCAACCTAGCCCGACTATTATAGTATCAGTAGTAAGTCTAAATAGTATTCTGCTACCCTAAAACTAAGGGTTTTTAAGGTATAGATTTTACGCTAAGACCCCTTAATTTAGGGGAATATAGATAGTAATAATAAAAGGGTCGCGACTAGAATAGTAATAATAGAAATAAGTATAGTTTAACTAGTGTAGATAATATCGCTAGAGTAACCTTATTAAGGAAGTATCTACTTTATAGGGTAGATAGCCTATTAACTAGGTAGGAGAGGGAAGTACTAAGTCAGATTAAGATAAAGACTATTTCTTAAGGAAGATAAATCCCACTTCCTTAAGTATCTATTTAAATATATCATCTTTTGTGTAAATAGGAATCAAACACGAAGTAAGGGGGAAACCATAGCGAAAGGCTACCGTATAGCTAACGTATGGTATATACTATAGGCGTGGCCTATATATAGCGTGGCTATCGCGTATTGCGGCCGAGGGGCCACCGACTAACCGCCGGATAGCTACCGTCTTAGTAGAACCCTCGGTCTACGTATACCTAAGGCCCTAATATTAGTGTGTGAATAGTCTTATCGAAATATTATAATAATTATCC